TCGAAAGAGGATGTCGATAATCAATCCATTAAGAAGTAAGGCTCGTCATGCTCGTATATTTAGATAAATTTTATTGAGTCGCCATCGGCGACGGGCATTCAATCTATATAGTCGAATACAAATGTCTGAAATGTATTATTATTGTTTTTTTTTATACAGCTTCCGAATGGAGAACCAATAGTTGATTGAGCGCACGAAATTATCATTCGTTTAATATGAATGACACTTACATTGCAAAAGTTAAATCAATTTCTAAAATGTGACAAAAATTGAAACATGAAAATGCATCAGATTCCTGAATCTGTAAATCTCTTTCATTTTCAACTTTATCGGTTCTAGTTAATAATTATTAAATTTTTTCCGATCCTATAATTTTTAATAAATCCTCTTTTTCACACTCTGTGAAAACAATTCTGCGAGGTCAAATGTCTAGAAATGTTTCAAGCTGTATCTCTCTTGGTCAGACTTTAGTTTTTGTACCTGTCAATTGCATAATTTTGAAGTCAACGAATTATAGACATTTCGACGGACAGGTTTATTATACATATAGAATTTAACATCGCGCGTGTCCTCACCTGGAATTTAAGGTTGTAACCCGGCGCATAGTGCTTTGCTGAGAAAAGGTCCTTTATTGCACAAGCTTCAACTATCGCCCGCGGATGCTCACATCCTTTTGTCGCCGCCTTGTCATAAGTCATCCACATGGAGAGAATTTTCTCTTAGAATTTAATCTCAAAATCATATAGTAATCGTGGGACAATATAGTATTGAAGAATTTTTCTAATTAATATTTACCACAATAAAAAATATTAATATGTACATATAGTCAAATTGATCGAACATATTTTATATCTTATTGTGGTAGATATTAATACTTTTTATAATAAATATATTAATCAGAGAAAAACTCTTATAAAATTTTTCTAATTGTTCCACGATTATCATATGATTTTCAGAATAAATTCTAAAAGAAAATTCTCTTTGTGCATTGCCGATCTCTCCTAGAAAAGAAACGCAAAAATTTATTCTTTGTACGTGGAAATTGCGTAGCTTTTCTTAAATTGACATTTCGATGTATTTCTTTCTCATTAGAATTAACAATAAACTTTTTTCATGAGCGATGTAACGACGCAAACTTGCAAATCGCCTTTTAATTGCCGAATATAACGACTTATTAATCTCTTCTAATGTAGGCTTCATCTTCAATATATTTAAGATTTCAAGCAAAATATTATTCAAGCCGGTTTCCTCTTATTTATACATTTTATACGTAAATTCTATATATAGTCTATAAATATATATTCGTATAATATGTATAATATTCTAATAAAAACTCGATTCTTAAAAAGATTTGGATTCCCTCAGGAATTTAAAGATTAAATCATCGTGTTGCTTGATTAATTATAAACGTTTCATAATGACGACACTAATGAAGCAGAGCCTTGATTTCAGAAGATTAATAAATATTAAAGTCTAGAGTTTTATAGTAGTAGTTATCTCGGAGTTGACGTAAGAAATCAAATAAAATTCTTCACTAAAGTGGAGGAAAATAAAGTGATTTGTTGCGCTTACGCATGCAATTAGCTACCCCGCGTATTTTAAAGATGTAATTGCTCATCATAAACTGACAATATTGTACGATTATGATTTTTTTAACTCAAGAGAGAGAATCATTTCTGAATATTTATTCTGGATATTTGTGTCTAACGACATACAGAGAAATCAAGATGTTTAATTTCGCGCGCAAAAGTTGTATTCAAGTTTGACGTAAAAGTGTTTGTCTAAGAAAGAAATATTATAAATCTTATTATAAATAAAATAAAATCTTATAAATAAAATAAAATCTAAAAGGTTTAATTGATACAATTGCGAATTTCTTGTCGCATTTGTTGGAATGTGAACGAATCGTGCAGTTCGACGGTCTCTAAAAAGAGAGAAGGAGAGGGAGACTCGGTCTTCTTCGTGATCTTTGCATAATCAATGTATAATCAATCGGAGTCCACGTTTACGATCGCGAATCGTGACGAGCACTGACTTTCTCACGTGCAAAAAAGATAAAGACGAAAAGATGGGAGCCGCGCTTCAGCATTAAAACGACAGAGACTAATATATATCTTTACGGCGAAGTTGCAAATATAATTCGCCTTACATCGAAATAACATTGTTCATATTTAAGAAAAAAAAAATTAGGAAGAGGTTTCAAGAAAAATTACATATATTTTATGTATGCGATATTTTCTCGTAATTATTCTTTGAGATTCTCCCGCTGTAAATGAAAAGCAATGTTACCTCGATGTCGCAAGATTTATTTATACAAGTTTGTTCTTGGATAAAATATGTCGAAGATATTTTTTATCATCAATGACGATATTGGCTAATAGATCCAGAAATGTGAGGATTGCGCGATATCCAAGAATATCCGCTAGATTTCTGAATGTAAATAATATATTTCGGAAGAAAAAAGAGAGAAAGAGAGAAAAAGAGGGAAGAAACTAGAGAAGAGAGAGAGAGAGAGAATAGCATCGACGGAAAGGAGACCGAGAGGATAGCTGGAGGTCTCCTCTTCCTTTTCAAGCGCTTCGCCGTCGCATCTTCTGAAATGGCAAGGTCACCGGATAGTTACGTCATCAACTTTCCTCCGCGGCGCGCGTACAACTTCGAGAAAACCAAATGTCACAATGACCAAGGACGTTTCGATCGTACCGTATAATACAACTGTCGCCTCTGGCCGAGATGAAACCGATGGAAACCGCCGCCATTGCCAGAATCCCGTGTCGGGTCGATCACGATGAGAGATTTTGGCTTTCACATTTTTCGTTCAGGTCAACGAGAAGAGGGAGATGCTGGGTGCATCCTGCACCTTGCACGACCGTGGCGCGACCTTGTTCGAGTTGTACCAAATCTGAAAAAAGAAAAACGAAAATTCAAAATCTGCGGAGGGTTGTATGTATACATCTTTTAATAAACAATTTATTTATATATTTAATGTAAAAAAAAATGAAAATAAAAATTAAATTTAAAAAAATTTAATTATGCCTTCCTGGAAAAAATTCAAGATAAAAAATATGAAAATGTATCGAGTATCTTCTATCTATGCAATTTCATATAGAGAGATACTCTTATATACATCTCTGCGATGTATCAAAGCTACATTTGACCTTTTTAAATCTATAAATAATGAATTTCATATAGAACAATGAGAGAGAAGGAAATAATTGATATAAAAAATTGACGTGTTGACGTAAAACAAATAAAGATTAGATACAACGCATTGTACTAACATGAGAGAACGAGAACAATCGTCTTTGTTGGCGAGACGAGTTGCCCTTGACAGTGATTCCTTCTGTAGAAAATGTTTCAAAGCATCATCTCGAGAATGATTTGCACCTGAATGAACAACAGGTGAATTAAATGCATACAAACAAACGAACGCGTTCGTTTCGTAAGAGATCGTTGCGTAACATATATATCTAAACGCACTAATACAATATCGAAAAATGCATTTACAATGCTGCTTAACGTTGTAATATCTAATTTAAAAACAATTATACAAGTTAAACATTATTACGCGTCGCGTAAATATGCGCAAACGTATAACGTCAATCGATGCTAATTTTTATTTTAGAGTGATAATTCTTCGCGAAGACGAATATCTGCGGTGATGCTGGAAGACATGATGGAAGTATTAGAAGCGTCTTGAATTACGTCTTTGTCGTCCTCGCGTAAGCACATTTAACGAATGACATTTTTATTTGCGTGCGTGGAAAACTAACGGCTTATATAATCTGTGTAATTTTAAATTGCACTTATATTTGATTTTTTTTATTTATCTACGTACGAGATGTCATCATGACACGGGGAGAATTCTTAGTAACGATTATATACGAATAATATTAATCGCATGAGGGAAACTTGTTTATCGTTATTTCCTCTCTACTACTTAATTATTTTCAAAACCTTCTCCGCACACAATTACACACATATTCATTATTTATAAGCAAGATGAATTCATTAGATAACAAAAAATCTTATTCGATAATGTGATAAAGTCGAATATACAAAGTGTTTTAGAAATATTACGACTAATATTTTTTTTAATATTATATCCTAAACCTTGAAATAATATTTAAAAAAATTAATATTGAGGCTCCTCGCCGATTATGTTGGAATTGTGACGTCAGCGGAAATACAGACTAAAAATTCTTGCGTACCATTTTTAGATAAAAAAATATTCGATTAAACATATTACTTCAGATGGCTTTAGCACACTTTTAAAATAGTCTGAGAAACTATATCTTTTCCCTTTATAATCAATCAATAGCTGTAAAATGACTGTAATGCGAGGTCCAGTTCGTCTGCTCTTTACACAATCATTATCACGATCATTTTACGGTTGTTGATTGACTCTGTCAAGGGGAAAGAATAATTTTCGGACTATTTTACAAGTGTGCCAAAGAGACTTGTAGTATTGTTTCATCAAAATAGCTTTTTATGTTAAAATGACACGCAAGAAAATGTTCAGCGTGTATTTTCTCGTCTCTGACATCACAATCCAACATGGCCGCGGCGAGGAGCCTTAAATAAATATAATTAAACATTTAATATTTAACTATAGAGTATAAATATAAATATTAAAAACTATACATGTAAGAAAACACATCAAACTATCGTAATATAATATAATATCGCAATATTTTCTTCATAGAATAAATGTGCATGTAAATAAGACGCATTTTTGGAGTAAAATTCTTTCTCTCCCTTCTTTTCAGATTGTTGGAGTCATGTGATTGAACAACGGAGTAATCATTTGCGGTACCATACACATAGAATGCAAGGTGGTCTAATAGTGGCTGCATCTTTGGTCGTATCGCGGATGCATCCTAACCGGGATGCGACCGCGGGAGAGAGACTCGTGCGCAAATCTCTGTCAAAGCTGCTACAAGTGGGGGGTACGTGCGATAGGTACATTGCGATTTTCCGCCTATATAAAGACGAATGCGCACTAGGATTCTCTGGTAATCTACGTATCGGTCGTCGTTTAAAAGGACGAAGGGCCGCCGTTCGTTTTTTTTCCGAGGATCGAAGGAACCTGAGCGCGATGAAGACGGTGGGTGGAAAAAATCGAGATACATCATATATATCGATCATCACGATTTATCGGCGACGTGATCGGGAACGGGTGGACCGAATCGATATGAGGGTTACGCCGGTTTCGGGGTCCCCCTGATCGAGAGGCGCAGCCTCTCAATTTTTGCGCAACAGTGAAAGTGAAGAGGATTTTTGTGACATTTGTGCGCGCGTGTTATTACGCACACTTCTCGTGACACACGCAGTCATGAGAGAACGTCTACAGGATGTCTACAGAGAACCCGATAATTATATGCAATTTTTTTGTAGGTTTTTTTCTCGAAAGAAATTCTCGAGAAAACCTCATACAAGTAATTATTCCAAATTACAACTTTTATAAATAATTGAATCTTGAAATTCCAAATGGTAGTCAACTTAAATTTAAATAATTATAACATTTAACTTAATTTCGTTTCAGAGAACTCGAGAGAGCGACATTTTTTAATATATATATGTATATATATATATATTGTCACTTAATTGTAATTCAAAATATGAGCTACTTTTGATCATTTAATTAATAAACTGTCGCTATACTCTAAAGTGACCAAAAAATGATCAAGATCAAACTCTAAGACATCCTGTATATATCTCCGACTTGTCACTTCGTTTCCCATGAAATTGATTACGATATTTTGACTTAATTTCGTAATGTAATATCTAATACTGGTATTTTGAAAGATCAGGTTTCAAGAAATGATCGAATTTTCGACATAACTGTTGCGCCTTTGCATAGTTACGACATATCGATATACATTCGAGAAAAAATGTTTCATTTCTATCTTGCGATGTAAATATCTAACAATAAATAGTATCGTTATAATAAAAATAAATACGTCTCATCTTAATATAAATGAAAACGACAGGAAGATATTATTTTCTTGCGTTTATCTTCTTTTCTTCAATAAAATGATGTTGCTCTTCTTCCTCACACAGGTCTTCGTCATTATGACGCTTCTAGCTTGCGTTTTCGCGGCGCCGCAAGGTAATCCAAACGAGGTCACGATTGTGAAACAGGAAGAAGTGAACAATATAGGGGTAGGTGGATATCACTTCAGCTATGAGCAGAGCGATGGTCAGAAGAGAGAGGAGACGGCTGAATTGAAGAACGAAGGCACCGATGACGAAGCTCTCAGCGTTGTTGGTAGCTTCAGTTACATCGCGCCGGATGGACACACTTACAGGTACGGGAAATTATTACAATAATGAACAATATAATAATATATGTAGCAAAGTGTTATCTATTATAAGGAGAGACAATCATTTCCATTAGTTTAAAAGTTACAGTATTAAATAAGGCTCTTGGCTCCTCGTCGACCTGCTCGTGTTAGAATTGTCAGAGGTGAGAAAACGATGTTAAAAATTCTTAAACCATTTCGAAATAAAAAGATATTTTGGTGAAAGAACACTTCAAATATAACTTTAACGCACTTTTTAAAATACTTTGAAAACTGTATTTTCTCTTTATAATCAATCAACAACTGTAAAATGACCGTAATACGTGGCCCAGTTTGAAAAAAAAATAATTTTTGGACTATTTTAAGTGTACTAAAACCATCTGAAGTTGTGTTTCATCAAAATATATTTTTGTCTAAAAATGGCATGCAAGAATTTTCAGCGTGTACTTTCTCGCCCCTGACATCACAATTCAACATGGTCGCGGCGAGAACCCAGGAATCTTAAAAGAAGTATATAATCGTAAAAATTGTTAGAATACATAAACATCTAAGAGATTATTTTCTCTGATAGTCCTCGAATGTTTATATTGTGTGTTCGGCAACAAATATGACAGTTACTCTATAAAATTAATCTTTCGCATAAATAAAAACCTTTCTGATTACAGGGTCGATTACACGGCGGATGAGACCGGGTTTCATCCTACTATCAATCTCGTCGCAAAGTAAGCTGAAGTTACATTTCATTTAGGATTCTATGGTCGACGACGCATTCGTGTAATTACACACACGCATTAGAATACATTATTACATGAAACATGCGACTCATCGATGTACAGATACAAAGTGTTAAGGAAATAATCGACCTCAGTCCATCTTTTTCGGCCAACTCATCCTCTGTGAAAATAATCGCGTTATCTTGCATTGTAAAATGCGCATAATACAAGTTTTTTTTACAAGCGTAATTTTTTTTTTACATACATTTATCTATGTATATGAATCTACAAACGCAATTTGTGCAAATAAATCTTTATACCGAAATTTCTGATTGCTGAAAAATGTCCTGCTTTTCATATAATCAACAGCATTAAATATATTTATACTTCATTCTTATATTTCTTTTTCCTTGCTTTTTAAATATTGTTATTATAAATGGATAAAATGTTTATATATAGAATTATACATAAATTTAGAAATTCCTTTATGTACAGATAGAGAAATGAGATATATTTAATTAAATATAAGAATTGAGTATACACTTGACAAATTTCATTTAAAAAATATCCTTAATTATGGTATTAACCTTAATTATGGTAATTATAAATCAGGTTGCATATATAATTAATTAAATATCAATGAGTAAAATCGTGAGTTTACAAGTATAAATATTATTACATACATTAATAAAGACTAATTTCTTACGATTAATCTATTTACAATCTCTTTAATGTATATATAATACTATAAATATTTAATACTATAAAAATAGCGAAATGCAATTACAATAATATCAAAATTCTTTCTTGAACAGCATACAAAATGCTGCTAATTTTAATCTTGTTCAATAATTCTAAGGCATAAAGTTAAGGCAAATATAATCGGCACAATATAAGATAATATATATGAACATTTAATACATACATTCTGTATGTAATAAATATTTCAATAAAAAAATTTGCGGGTAAATTTTGTAAAAGTTTGTATATATATATATTATCTTTAAATTTTAATTACTAATAAAAACAATTGAGTATAAGTAGTTTAATTAAATGTTTAATTAATTCGTTTTATTAATGTATATGATTAGAAATTGCATCTAATTAATCAAGCAATATTAAAATAATTCGATATTATATATTCATAACAAATATATATATATATAAATGATATATTAACAGATGTAAAATAGATGTCTAAAGTCCCCAGGCTCTAATTAAACTTAGGGTTTTATTTAATTTAGACATCCATTTTAAACCTTCTTCTCTTGTGTCTGCTAAGAGAAAATGCCTGCAAATAATATTAATAATATTAAAATAAATTTACCTTAAATGACAAACTAAAAAGTAATGGTGTACTAATAACGATACGTACTCTATTGTGGTTTCTATCCCATTTGTTTTCATAATGAGACTTTCAGCATCCCCGGGTTGTGCTGGTCTCGATGTCTGGAGCATAAATGTATATGGACGAGCGCATTTCTCTCTATTTATAAATTGTACATTTTTCGTGACTACACCTATAAATATATAACATATCGATATAAATCCAGAAATTAAATTGAAAATAATCGAGTATATATGGAGAAATTGTAATGTTTAATGGAAAAATATATATTCGATTATTGGACAAATAATAAGAAAAACGCGAAAAAACAATGAAAAGTTCAAAGAGTATTACCTTCCAAGTCTATATATCCTTTTGGACTTTTTTTATGTTCGTCCTCGGGATGTACCCAGTAATAGAGCTTAGCGTCATTAAGCCAACACCATCTTCGACGCCAGTGACCCAAGTTTGATATATCCTCGTAGAGTGTCAAGAATCCACGATGCTCTGTCGATATCGAAAGTTTGCGCGATACACGCATTCGCAAAAGTCCTTCTAGAGGAGAATGCGACGAGACCTGGATGAACAAATGCATATTCATTATTCAATATTATGCACATGTAAACTTTTTTTTATAAATCGTCATATTAAAAAATTCACAGTACACATACCCCGCGCAGAGCAAATTGTTCGCAATTTATATCCTTGATGGTAAAAGTTGCAGTCCCAGACAATTCAAATGCAGGCGATCTGATTACATTTGGTCCAGCTGGACTCTGTATATCCGGCATTACAAATTGATTTTTTTTCTTTGGCGTCTTATTTACCGTCTGTAAATAAATTCAGCATTAATTCAACATTAAATTATTATTACATTGCAATTTGAAAAAAATATACATAAAGATCTTACTTTTATGTTATGATGATTGATATGATATTTCTTTTCATGTGGCAAAAATTTTGGTTGCGTCTGCAAAGTATATACTTCAACATCAACTTTAAAGTCACTGTACAAGTTGTCAAATTTCAGCATCGAAGTGAAACGAATGCATGAATCGCCTGGTTCAGCAGTAGCTGCTTGAGTGGCAACCATTTCGCCCAAGTGATACATCAAGCAGACACAGTGAAGATATGTATCTACAACAATTTATACAATTATTTTAATATAATTTTGTACACAAAGGTAAGAAAACTGTACATCACTTTACACTTACCAAGACCCATATTTCGAATATATTCTTGTTTCAGCGATAATGTAATCGCTGAGATAGATAAGGCTCCACTTCCCACATCTGGTGAGCCTGCCTTGGCAGGTCTTAGCGTGCCTTCACGCTTCAACCTCTGCACTTCATTTAGCGCAGCTTGTCGTTTACGAGCTAAGTGTGAAAAAGAATATATTGCTTTTATGTTTATATCATTTTGTTATCTAATAGTTTTGTATATATTAGTCTTTCAATTTAATATCTAATATATACAAAACTCTGTGTATTGCATAAAAATAAAAACTTACTAGCAACAAGTAGAGCCCATTCGCCTCCAACATGCTCACTAGAACCATTAAATTCTATACTAGCTGTGCATAAGTTTAATGCTTTGCTAGCTTCTTCCATTTTTTTGTTCTGTGTAACAACTTCGTCCAACAGCTTTTTCACTTTATTTTCTACCAGCATCGATTCGTCTTCGCATCTCTCTCCACCAGAAATCGGATCTGATCCTACTTCTGGCTTTACAGTTGAATAAGGCTTAGTCAACTGAAATGATAAAAACGTCTTAGGTATTTTTTTCATTCGTATCTATATTAAAATATTTAAAAATATATAAAATATTATATTAAATTTACCTGAGACTGCTGTCGTCTGTATGCACTAACAGTACGTACTAATGGTACGCCTTTGCCATCACCTTCTAATTTGTCAGAATCTTTTAAAGGTGAACGATATCTGCGAAATTAAAAATCATTTCTTGAATAAGGTAAAAAATCTTATTTTAATAAAATTAGAAATATATACAATCAACTATACTTGAAACTATTAGACGCCCTCGACAGAGTATTGCCACCTTTATTTATTTTTGGTGGTGTTGGACCTTCCTCTTTCACGTCATTATTATCTTCCATGTCGAGGCATTCGTCCAAATATTGATCCATTTCATCCAGTGCTGAAATATCTGATGAAGTGCTATCTGGATCTGGTTCTATAGATCTCTGTAATTGTATTATTCAAAAATTTAAATATTTAAGAATAGTATAATCTAAAAAATAGTATATTTTGTGAAAATGTGTAACTCGTACCTTTTTATTAAACATTGAGCGTTCGTTAAATTCATGCAAAATAGTACGTCCTAAACTCGTACGCCCGAAAGATGAATTCTGTGTACTTTCTCGGTCACTTTCTTCAGTCTCTTGATCAGTTTCATCATTCTGCAAAAAAATCCAAGAATGTATAAATATTTCTTTATACATACATTCGATTATTTTAAATTTTTTATTTTACCTCAATGTAATAGTCGGCTTCGGTAGCAGTTTCGCTTTCAGTTTCAGTTTCAGTTATCTCATCAAGAGTAGCTGTCACAGGTTCGGTACTATCAACAGTATATTCTGAATTGTCTTCACTTTCTGTAGCTTCAAGTTCAGATAAATTAGGATAAAGGGATCCTGGTTTCGGAACACAAACACGGATACGTTTAACATCAGATTCACGTTGAAACATTTTATTGGAATGTTGAATCTTAGATGGACTTCCAACAACTGTAAAATAAGTTAAAAAGAAAAAATCAATATTACATTTCATATGTACAATACAACAAACATTGAAGAAAGATATTATTTGTTTAAATACCTTGTCTTTTTGTCGGAGATTTAGCATGATATAATACGATTTCAGGCTGTGGTAACGGCGGGGGTGGAGGTGGAGCAATGTGATCCTACATTAGATAAATAAAATATACAATTTATAATTAATATGATATATATAAAAATATTTATACTATTTTCAAGTTATAAAATTAAATTTTACCGGAGCAGGAGTCGGTTTCACCGGACAAATGGGCGAATTTTTCGGCGAGGCTGATTTGCCACCTTCGCTACTTTCGCTCGTTCGAACACAAGATCCAGCAGCGGCGCGAGCAATTTCCTTATTAGTATTAAAACGTGAACGAAGCATATTTAACTCACGCTGTCTTTCGGTATAAGTTGCTTGTAAGATATTATTTTCCATTTCTTCTACCTTTCTATTGCCGCCTTGTTCAAACACTGTACGTTGTTCAAGAACTGAGGAACTTTTGCTCGAAGCGTCGGCATTTCGATTATTTGCATCATGAACAACCGAATTACTTGTATTGGATCCTGATTGCGTGTAACACTTATTACTTTCCTGTAATTTTTTAGGCGGTATCGACATCGTAAGCGGTGCTTTTGGTATTAACGGTGCCTGTCCTTTATTTCGCTCAAAGAACGCCATTCTTTCGGCGACCGACATTTGAGTAGGATCCTTCACCTTTGTATCCATGTTTTTTGCTTCGAACATTGACGCTTTGCTTAACACCGAACCTGATGGTTGAACCAAAGTTTTTGGCGAACCATTAAATCCAGTTCTCGATGGTAATCGAGGACTGCTAGTGTTATTTGCGCCTTTCGCAATATTTTCAGGAGTATTAGAAACCGAATTACCAGCATTGTCCTCCGTTTTTTTGCTTCTCGGTGAATTATCAAATTTATCAGACTTCTTTTCCATCTGAAAGTTTCTGGCCTTGGTAGGTGATAAATGACTTGTCATTGTGTTTGGAGATCCCTGGGAACAATGCTTATAGTCATACACAAGGCGAGAATTGCTTTTTGTACGACTAAAGCCTTGAGCCTCCTGTAAATATGTTTATAGCTATCCAATTGTTTAACTGCTAATTTTTTCAGAAATATAGAATAGCAGTATAGAATATGCATAACAGTATAGAAAAGTGCTTCTAAAAAAATATTATAGCATAAACAATTTTACAAGGTTTACAAAGCTTTAGTCCTTTTCACCTTTAAGAATTAGAAGAATTTCTTAAGAAGAAAATAAAATAAATTATTTTTTTACCAAGCTTTCTATTACAGTTTTATCCCATTTTAACTGTTTAACTGGACTAGCATCTCTGCTTTTTGTCTTATTGCTGACAGCAATCCATTTGCAACTTTCGCTTGTGCTGGGTTGAGGTTCTGTACTTTTAACTTGTTCATTAAATTTAGCAGCTATTCTTTCTGCTTTATTATTTACTGGTTTAGGCTGTAAAATATAACTGTGTTACAATTGTGTTCACATTTATTTTTATTCTCTGCATGTCATTCTATTCAGCATATCATCTTTTTTCCCTCCCTTTTATTTTCACAATTCTTACAATTCTTTTCAAATTCCTTTGTTACCCCATTATTCTTCCCTTTTTTCTAAACAACTGACACTTCAATACAAATTCTCCTTTTGAAATAAATATTATAAAATACCTTTGAACAAATTATTGATGGATGAGATAAATCATCCTCCCAATTGTTGATTGTTGAGGCCAATGCTGCTAATCTATCGAGTCTAGCACCTCTTTTAATTGGTTTATGCTCAGTATCATTTTCTTCTGCATTGAATTTTTCTTCAGTTCTATGTATTGGGGATCCAAGATTATCGTCTTCTAAAAAGCCAAATTACATATTAATTTTATTGTATATATGTATGTATAATAAAAATAATAACACAATTTTTCTCTAAAAATAAAACTAACTGTAAAAAACGGAAATATAATATATATATAGGTTTTAGACAGTACTTTAGACATATATTACTGTCAGCAAACAAGTTTCAAGCAATTTGCTTCAAAGTGTTATAAATGAATTATGTAAAAGTGTGTGAATAGAAATATCCAGTAAAAGATTAGTCTCTACTTATTTAAGATATTATTAGTTAATATTTAATTCATTTTATATTTTATTTTTAATTACTATTTACCAGAATATAGTTTTCCAAGTCTCTGCAACTTGGAACGCACATTACAAGTACCAAATTCATCATTTTCTTTATTATTTTGTTCATCATTCTTAGATGTAACATTTTTGGATAGTATATTAGAAGCCTTTGTAGGCGTTTTGGCTACAGTTACTTTTGGTACTGAAGTTACTTTGACTGAATTTTCATTTGCTGCTGCTGTTACTGCTGTCACTGAATAACAAAGTTATATAATAATTACGTCAATATAAGAAACTAATAAGCTAATAGCTAAAATTTTATTTTGTGAATAATCTTACAATATTTTTAATTATGCTGTTTAAATTGTACACAAAAATATATAAAATAAAAAAAATTTATAAAAATATATCTTACCTGTCTTTTGTTCAAGTTGAACATTTCCTTTCAACGGACTCCTTTTTTAATATCATGTCCTGCGTTAACTAATTGTTCGTCCAATTTCTCTCTCCGTGCTTTAGCACGCTCCAACATGCGCTGTTTGTCAAAATATACACATACAATCAAAGAGAATTTTATTTTATTAATATTTTATAAAAAATAATAATAAAAAAATGTTCTCTTGTACATGTTATAAAAATTCTTTTGATATTTAATGATTTGTTGTAATAATGTTACAGACATGAAATAAGACATATTTAGAGATATAAATATTATAAAATATAATTTTTCTCTCCATATTTTCTTTCTTAAAATTGAGATATTAAGAAAAAAAAACTTTCATCAAAATATAAATAAAGTAATAAAAGTAATAATTAACAAAGTAATAAAAATAAAATAAAGTAACACAAAAGATGATTTATAGCTCGACCGAATATATATATATAGGTATCCATTCATGAATACAATAGATGTATTGTAACCTACGTCAATATTTCACAGTGTTTTTCTGACTAATGAGGGGAAAAAAAGAACTTTCTCTCTTACCTGGATGAAGGGCTCCATTTGTTGGACAATGCTTTCACGGCTAAAAACGGATGAAACTTGCACCGAATTCCTTCACAAATTTTTATTTTCGAGCTAGTGTTGTACGAAGGACACCACTCCTTGAAATGACACCGATTTCTTGGGGGTGCGGCCTTTATCCTGCTACGCACAAAGAGACTATCTTTATTTCCGACCGTTGAATTTAAACACAGGCGCCATACTGCTCGACGGGGGACGAAGAACGAAAGAGAAAAAGAGAAAGAGAGACAGAGAAAGAGCGAGAGGGGGAAAGTGGATGGAGAATGAATCCTCACTGGCGATTTCCCCCTCCGTGACTTGATACATCAAACAGATTAAAAAGCCCACGTCAAAAATGTACATGAAATGATGAAATGACCTTTCACTTCACGAAATAACATATACGACTCTTTTTTTTTTTCTATCTGTTCGTGCTTCGAATATATCCACAGTTATATTCGCATTTGTATTTTTAGACGAAAAATGAATACACAGCGATATACTCACGCTCCTGAAGTAACGAGAGAGATAAAAGGGCGAAATGTAAACTCAATAATTCCCAGAGAATTTAAGACAATATTAAACCGCGTGCGTTTCGATTTTCGACTCGATGGCAAATTGTCAGAAGAGAGAGACGAATGCGAGACGAGACGCGCACTTTCGTTTCGTATCGAAGACTGCGACTCGCAGGACGCCGAGTGTCGCCGAGAAGCGAGAAGCTGTAGCGCAGTGACGTAGCTGCGGCTTCTTTCGCCCTTTTCGCGCCAAAATTTAGCTCGCCTTGTTTCTCTATCTCGTTCGCAAAATAAATCGAAAAGAAATTCGAAATAAATATATGTACAATTTGTTGACAAATATATCTTCGATCGACAATAAATACGTTTTAATTCCTTAATAAAATTTAAAATCTGACTTTTGACAGATGACACTTTATTCACAATTTAATAGTACGCTACTGATGCGATACCGACGCGACCCCACGCTTTGACCCGACAGTTTGAAATCGCGTCACCCGATTGGTCCGTGAGGAAACCCACGGCATACGTATCGTATAAATTATAATTTAAAAATTTAAATCTTTTTATACGGCGGAATTCGTAGACGATGTCCGAAAAACAAATAAGGTTCGATTTCATAATAAATTAAGGAGCACGCAATGTCAGACGTGACGGCTAAATTATTTCGAATATTTCTTTCCTAAATTATTTTGAATATTCTTCTTTTCTGGATCTCAAATTATAAATTATAAAAATTTTATTGACTATAAAATGGAGTATCACAAATAGATTAATTATATACAGTATGATAATATGTTAATATCTTAGAATTCTACCTATATTATCCCTGTGGAATATTTATATCGTATTTTGGGATAGTACTTTTCTTTCGTCATACATGAGATGACTCATCTCCGTTATCAGCTGCCATGGCTTCGCGATTTTCGTAGGCCCAAAAGCCATGGAATTCGATTAAAATGCTGACCATCGTGTCACCTTGCCCACTGCAATCAGAATATTTTGTAATTTAATCGATGTCAATTCAATAATTTTTTTATACAGTGTCCCATAGGAAGATGCTGAAACTAATCAGCTGTCATTTTTTAATGCAGGTTTTGAGAAAACAAGTTATCAAGAAAATTGTGTTGAAAAGAGGAAAGCCTTAAAACTTGTAGACTTTTCTCTTTTCAACACAATTTTCGTTTTCTCAATAACTGCATGCATTAAAAAATGACAGCTGATTAGTTTCTATATTTTCCTATGAGATACTTTGTATCATAATATATTGTAAGCGTAATATTTTATACCAAGATAGTAAATCTTGCAGTGTAATTTTACACGGATCTGCTGGTTTGACCATGTCAAATATCTCATCTTTAACATCATCAAAGCTAACAGGTTCTTGACCATGCATTGTCATCTGTTCTTGTATAGCCTGCAAAATAATATATATATATATATATATATATATATATATTAACTGAAACTAATAAAACTTGTCAAAATATTTAAATTGTAATAAAAAATGTGAGATACGTACTCTGAAGAAATAGTTTAAACAAAATGTGTCCAAGTACCCGCGATTGTTAATATCCAGAATTCTAAATAAATAGTGAAGACTCTGAGGCTCGTGTCTATTTTCTAATGCCAAGACAAAATCGAGATAGGTTTTATAGTCCATTTCTCCTTCGTAAGTTAAACACTCTTGAAATATTCTTTCGAGAAAAACACCAGTCAAAGTACCGGTACCATACCTATTTAAAAATATAAATATAGTTTCAATTTAATTAGATATATATACTAATTTTACATTATAATGCAATTTTGCGATTCATACCCAGCAAGTTCTTCTTTGTTCAACATGCCGTTATGGTCCCTATCCAGATTCAGATATTGACCGTAGACTTTCAGTGCAGATGGCGCAGAAAACCAATTTGCTTCCTGCAAATCTTTTGGTAAATCCTCATCTCTCAATTCTAAAAGGTCGTCCAGAAAGCTACATGCCAAAATGTCTTGAATACGAACACGTCCAGTTCGTAAAGGATCGAGGAAAAACAGAAACTTTCTCACAGCTGTGCATACGTAAAATGAATGAAAGGACTTTTCAAGGCCTTCGAGTTGCGGCAACGTCGGTATCAGTTCTAAAATATAGTTTTCTAGATCCTAAAATTAAAAAAAAATCAAAATTTAAAAATCTTGCAAATAAAAGTACAGTATAATAAAACATGAATAAAATGTATATATTTTTTTAAACTTACTGACTCTCTGAGATATCCTTGTCCTGTCACATCATACAAAGACAGACCGATTCTTGTTTGATGCAACCAGACTTTCCTCATGACATAATTAAACAGTGCCATGATGCTAATTCTACCATGCGGATCTCCTTGTTGTAGTTTAGCGAAAACAACTGCGGTGAAATAAGAACTGCATTTTGTTCCTGCCAGTTTGCCCACTTTCTTAAAGTCCTCATAATTAATCAACTGTTCGTCTCCTGACAATGGTGGACTATGATACTTATCTAACAAAACCCACAACGCCTTCAACTCATTATTATCTAATAATTTTCGAGAGCGCCTTTGCAAGAATAAGGCACGTGTCTCCTCGCGTAACTTTTGGGGCAAAACTTCATCCTCTTTTGGTAATTTGAAATAGAACTTTGGTATAATTTTGTACGTAGGATCATTGTCTTTCGTCTTCACGCCTTTCCACTGTTGATACATTTTCTGAAAATACTCATCCTCTTTCTTTTCACACACATTTTCTTCCGGAGGTACATTTTCATCCGCTGAAACATTGCATATAGATATAAAGATCAATTTATATTTTATATGAGAAATATAAGTATGCGATACTATCTTTTCTTACAAAGTGACTATGTATACGTACGTTTCTTTGCTAAAGTGCACTTTCTTAATAAAGCTTCTAATTCCATATCCTCACAAAGATGTATATATTCTGTAAGAAAATTTGTTTACTCTGTATCTCTTTCTTTTTTGATGTTACATAGCTTATAGTTTAAGAGATCTAGCATTATAGAGCATTTTTACCTAATAAACCCTTCTTCTTCTTCTTTTTTTAGCAGTTTAGTTGGTTTGTTAGATACTGCTCATGCTGCCAGACTACCTTCCTGTAATATATATATATATATTGGGATTGTTAATAGATACCAATTTTGCAGCAGGTGTTGCTTTTCTTGTTAGATGTTAATGTTGTATTTTCTGAAAAAAGAAGTTATAGGAAGGATAATTTTTCGGCTTGGTTTTTTAAGAGTTTAAAAATGTCATAAAAGTATCGTTTCATGTACAGTATGCTGCCACAGCAGTTTGTTGCTATTGATGAAGTTTGAATTGAACGAACAACAAAGCAGAAGAACATGCAACTAGTTGATTCTAATAATAATAATTATTATTATTATTATAAATTAGTTAAATAATGGATTGTTAAGAATAAAATAAATTATTATGAGAATATAAAATAAAAAATCATAATTTTAACCTTGAAATAATAAGAGAACAAAAAAATACGCTCTAATAAATTTTGATCACATGACTGATTTGCTGCTGCAGCATGCTCTGTATGAAAAGTTTGAAATTGAATAGTTTTCTGAAGAGAAAGACGATAGGAATGTAACCGAACCCAATAAACTCGTAAACATAAACATCCAATATGTTGTTTTCACTCTACTGCACTTGCACCTGCACTGTCTGCACCCCGCTTAAGGTTACGTTGGGTTACGACGTTGCGAAGCGAGATTAGCCGGTGACCCCGTGACTGGAGGCATTAAATTACCTTAAATACGCGTCCGATAATCGGCCGATCGTCCTGTCCCCGCGATCGAAACGAGGGGCGGCCGGGTATGGTCCGGGAAGTCAAATGTCAGATCTGTCAAACTGTCAAAGTGCGCGCGCGCGCGCGCGCACTCGAATTCCACGTACGGGCCGAATCACGACATAGGTTAGACGCGACTTAGGTTGGAGGAGGATAATAAGATTGTTTTGATTACGTGGCCGATTCTCGGGGCTCATATGTGCGGCTTCATCGGCTTGCGAGATTTGTCGGAGTCGTCGGAGAGGAGCGATGTACGACGGTGATAAGAGATAAGAATAAAAAAAAATAGAAATAACGCACAAATCGTGATAGTTCTGCAGGTACCACCATGATCCTGTTTAGAACGGGCTCGATTCTGGGTTTCCTGATCCTCGTCAGCGGATTTCGGGAGTACAAGAAAAGGGATCTGATAGTCCTGCGCGAGGAGGTACGATCCATGTTCGATTACGCTTATTCCGGTTACCTGAGGCACGCGTATCCCTACGACGAGTTGCGTTCCTTGAGCTGCGACGGCTTCGACACCTGGGGCAGCTTCTCCCTGACGTTGATCGACGCCCTGGACACCCTCGCGGTGATGGGGAACTTCTCCGAGTTCCGGCGCGTCGCCGAGATCATCAGCTCGAGGGAGAACTTCGAGGCCAACATCAACGTGTCTGTGTTCGAGACCAACATCCGGGTGGTCGGGGGCTTGCTGAGCGCGCATCTGTTATCGAGAAGAGCCGGCGTGAAACTGGAACCCGGGTGGCCTTGTAACGGACCCTTGTTGCGTCTCGCCGAGGACATGGCTAAGAGACTGATCGCCGCTTTCGATACCCCGACCGGGATGCCATATGGTACGGTTAATCTCAAGTACGGAGTGCCGGAAGGCGAAACCAGCATCACCTGCACCGCCGGCATCGGCACTTTTTTACTGGAATTTGGTACCCTCTCTAGGCTGACCGGGGATCCCCTGTACGAGGAGGTGGCCATGAACGCTCTAAAAGCGTTGCACTATTACAAATCCAACATCGGCCTGGTTGGCAATCATATCGACGTTCTCACCGGTCACTGGACTGCTCAGGATTCCGGGATAGGCGCCGGAGTGGACTCTTACTTCGAATATCTGGCCAAGGGTACTCTGCTGTTCCAAGATCCATTGCTGGCGTCGATCTTTCAGGAACACAGGAGGGCGATAGAGAAATACATTCGTCGAGAGGACTGGCATCTCTGGGTCTCCATGACCAAGGGTCAAGTGACGTTGCCGGTCTTTCAATCCCTGGACGCTTACTGGCCCGGGGTGTTGAGTCTCTTCGGCGAGATCGCGGACGCGATGAAGTCCCTGCACAATTATCACCGTGTGTGGAAGCAATTCGGATTCACTCCCGAGTTCTACAATATACCGCAGGCCGAGGCGGGTACCAACCGGGAGGGCTATCCGCTGCGACCGGAGCTCATAGAATCCGTTATGTATCTTTACAGAGCGACCAGAGATCCCTGGCTGATCCAGGTTGGGGTGGATATTCTGCGAAGCTTGCAGCACAGCGCGAGAACCACCTGCGGCTACGCGACCATCAACGACGTCCGGGATCATCGGAAGGCGGACAGAATGGAATCCTTTTTCCTCGCGGAGACTACCAAGTACCTGTACCTCCTCTTCGATACTGACAATTTTATCCACAACACCGGCTCCGAGGGCGAGATCGTCGAGACACAATGGGGCCGCTGCGTCGTGGACGCTGGCGGATACATCTTTAACACGGAAGCTCATCCCATCGATCCTGGAGCCTTATACTGTTGTCGGCCGGCGCGGGAGATTTTCCCGGACAAGAGGGCGGTCCTCAAAAGATTCCTCCCGACGCGGAACGTGCTAGAGGATGACGTCACGCTGACCAATCTTCATTCCAAGAAGAGTGACGTTTCTAAGATGAGGAATGCAGACGTCTTGCCTATCGCGATAGTCAAATTATCGGAAATCAGGCACTACGTGAATAAGAAGGAAGGCTCGCTCAACGAAACCTCCTCTTTTTCTTCTTCTTCTTCTTCTTCTTCTTCTTCTTCTTCTTCGAATGTCTCGAGGGATTCCGTTGGAGAGGAGAACGCGACGGAAACGAAGAAGTCGAATCGGACGATCCCGTTCCCAACCGCGCAGATCCTCGCACCTTCACCGACGATCTACAAAGCCGACGACAGCGATGGTCCCGACAGTTTCGAGTCTCCAATCTTATCCAACGGACAGTACTCCTCGAGTGCCACCCTGCAGAGTTCTGGTACCCGACCGAATGCGACCCCAAGTCCCCCTAAGATGAGATTCGAGCCTCAAATCATGTTGGAGAACATCAGACGTGGGAATCTCTATCCGACAAATGTCACAGCGAGACAGAATTATCAACTACTGTCCTGTCAAGCTCAACCATTCCTGCAACGAATGTCGATCATAGGAGAATTTTTTTAAATAATAAATTGTGTAAATGCGAGAGAGAGAGAGAGAGAGATTTGTGAATATATTAGGGCGATTCATGAACTATTTTTGATTCGCAAGAGAGACTGTTGTTATAAGAAATTTTACACGCAGTCTTGTTTCGCTAACATATTGTACTTTAATATATTTCTGTGATATAATTGTTGTATAGTTTATAATAAATATAAATAAGATACATGCAAATGAAAAATAATCTATTTTCCATTAGTAATTTCAAAAGTCTCATGGATTTTTTTATTACATTTTTTGTTAATTTTTACTTGCTTCATCTCTTTAACTTCAATTCTGGAAATTTTAATTAATATATCTCTTATTTGATTTTATTTTCCTGTATACTTGTCCATATATTTTTTAAACAAAACTGTCAACATCGTGTAATCTGTCATAATTACCAACATCAGGTAACATCTCTGGTTCTATTCAACATGGCGAATTGTTTGCATTTTACTTCGTAACGCTCCACTATGGCTGATAAAAGACAACAAAGTTTATCGGTGAGTATTAAAAATTGCACAAGCGTATAGCTGTAATTAAACATAATTTTTATTACTTTGTAAATTGCGCTTTGAAAATAATGTTTATAGAAATTGAAATTGTCCAATTTATTTTTATATGAGTTGCATTTAAAAATAACCCCAAAGTACTTTCTTTATTATAAATAAATACAGGATGTTGCATAAATAAATAATTTAAAGAATATGTTTCTGAAATAAGAAGAAAATCCTATAAATATCAATGCATTTCCGATAAATTAAATATTATTACTAAATTTAGACTATATATGGACAATGTTACAAAATTATGTGTTTATATTCTTTCTTAAATTTACTTTAAAAACATGCTTTTTAAGCTTATCCGTTAAGTTTGTATATTTTTTGTCCTTTAAGTTTGTATTTATATATTAAATTAATTTTACTGTTACATACAGAAAAATTATGTGTTTATATTCTTCCTTAAATTTACTTTAAAAACATGCTTTTTAAGCTTATCCGTTAAGTTTGTATATTTTTTGTCCTTTAAGTTTGTATTTATATATTAAATTAATTTTACTGTTACATACAGAAAGAAGAAATAGCGAAGCAGTTTATGCTGCCCGAAAGAAAGAGTAAGATTGCAACATTATTGAAACAAGATGGTCAAGCGTATTGTATCTGTAGAAGCTCGGACAGTTCTCGTTTTATGATGTAAGTAAACTCTCTGAAACGTTGATATTTCAAATTATCATTTAAAATTTTTATATATATCTCTACAAGAAAATTATAAGTTACATAATTTACATTTTAAATTATTTCAGAGGATGTGACGCATGTGAAGAGTGGTATCATGGTGATTGCATAAATATAACTGAAAAGGATGCAAAACATATTAAACAATTTTTCTGTGTTGTAAGCAAGTTTTTTGTGTGACATTTTTAATCGAAATAATATGATAAAAAAGAAACTAATACAATTAATTGTATACAGCGTTGTAGAGAAGAAGATCCAACTTTGATAACACGATACAAACCACGTAGAACCGATCAAGATGACAGAAAGCATAAAAAGTACAAGGAAAAGGAAAGAGCACATCGATATGAGTACGATGCGCCTTGGGATCCTAGAGTAGAAAAAAAACCCTCCAAACGTTGCGGGGAATGCACAGGATGTTTACGTATTGAAAATTGCGGGAAATGTGACGCTTGCAGGTCAGTTAACGTAAAAAATAATTATGAAACATTATTCATGTGATGCAATTTTACTTACGGGATATCTTATTGAATTTTACATGTTTAGACATTTAAAAAAACATGGACCTTCGGTGCGATTAAAGCTCAGATGTATTCAGCGAACCTGCCGTGTAGTGGGAGATCCACTAAAACCTTCTAAAAGCTTCAACAAAGGAACGAAATTAACCAAGAAGCGGAAGAGAGATTCGAGTAACGAAAGAAACGAATACTTGGAACCGCCTCGTCATTGCTACGGACCTATGTGTATGAAGCAATCGAGACCCGGTAGCAAATATTGTTCCGATGACTGTGGCTTGAAACTTGCGACGAGCAGAATCTATCAGGTGCTACCGCAACGCATACAGGAATGGTCGTTGACTGCGTGCATTGCGGAGCAAAATAATAGACGTGCTCTAGAATCCGTGAGAAAGCAGCAACACGACGTTCGTAGAATACTGCAGGAACTAGAAAAGAGACACGTCGAATTGGATCGTATCGTCGAACGTGCAAAACACGTCACCATCGATCCGCAAGCCGAAGTAGACGATAACGACGATACGGAAAGCAGCATGTACTGTATCACGTGTGGTCACGAAGTCCATTCGAGAACAGCTGTTAAACATATGGAGAAATGTTTCAATAAGGTATATATATTATATAAAATTATACACACACGTGTGTGTATATATAGGCTCATATTGCAAGTATTCATAGCTATTGATCATTTGAATTTTGGAGTTTCCAATCAAAGCTTATAATTATAGATTAAGACTCTTGACTCCTCACTGACCTTGTTGGAATTGTGACGTCAGAGGCGAAAAAACACATTAAAAATGTTTAGATGTCATTTCAAAATAAAAAGTTATTTCGGTGAAACAGCACTTCAAATATAGCTTTAATACACTCTAAAATACCTAGAAAATTATTTTTTTTCTCGTCTCTGACGTCACAATCTAACATAGCTGCGGCGAGGGTCCAAGAGCCTTAAACATAGTTACATAAAACAAGCTTTAATTATATAAAGACAATTTATAATTTTTTATAAGTTACATGTGCTTTAGCGTATGAAACAATTCTAATAACTTCTTTCGAAATAGAAATGAATGCTTTTAATCAGTTTGTATAAATCTTGCAGTACGAATCGCAAGCGTCTTTTGGTTCGATTTTTAAAACTCGCATCGAGGGCCAAGTGATGTTCTGCGACTTTTACAATCCTGTGAACAAGACATATTGCAAAAGATTGCGCGTTCTCTGCCCGGAGCACTGCAAGGATCCCAAGATTGGCGATAGTGAGGTGTGCGGCTGTCCATTAGTCACGAACGTATTCAACGTTACAGGTGAGTTTTGTCGCGCACCTAAGAAGAGCTGCGTGAAGCATTACATGTGGGAAAAACTGCGACGCGCGGAGATCGACATGGAAAGAGTAAGGCAATGGCTGAAGATCGACGAGCTCGTAGAACAGGAAAGGCAGATACGATCGAATATGGCGACGCGAGCTGGTGTATTAGCTTTGATGTTGCACTCTACTTATAATCACGAGCTAATGGAACAAATGACGCAGGAACAAAATAGAGAGCAATTGCAGGCGATGGAAGAGGAGCTACAGAGAAGATATGGTTTACATCAAAAGGAACAAGGCATGGAGCAGTGATAGCGATAAAGGAATTTCATATTCATCATTATTCGACCGTAATAACATTATATACTATATATATATCTTTCAACGATGCTTTCTTAACATTTTTTTTAACTTACCTGCTGTTATATCTTTTCTGATTATATATAGCACGGTTGATAGTTTTCCTATATATACATACACTTAACCATTTTCAATCAATAAATTTGACTGAAGAAGTAAACATAGGATGAAGTTGAAACATTATAAAGCAAGTTGGTGCAATCTCAACTGGTTGTAGATGTGTACTAGTGTAATATACATATATGTAGTATATATGTACCTGTTAGTAATAAGATTAAGATAATTATGCCAATATTGTTACTTTTAAATCTCACGACTTTTTGGAATGAAAATTAGAAACTTGTAACAAAATCTTCATATATTTTAATAGGCACATTTGTACCTTCAAAAAGAATGTCTATTCAAAATATCTCTTGATTTATTTGTGTAACGAAGAATTTCTCCGAATGATGGTCTGCAATAGATGGAGAACTAGTTTTTCTTTTCGGTAATATCGTTATTATTTACATTATGGTATATCGAGAGACGTAGATGTTAGGATCTTTTTTTCACACACTCCGACAATTAATCGTTTCAACAAAAACCATTTATTCACAGGTCGTAGCCTCTGCGGATGCAAAATAACATGCCAAACTAGCGATCTATCGCTTAGCTTCGGAAAATAATCGCGCGAAGCGCATAAAATGGACATTGATCCTCTCAGGAAAATCGCCTGTTTTGAATCGTTTTCTTAAACGCGCTAATGATACAATATCTAGTAATAAATCTTTGTTATTTTTCGACAACACACTTTTTAATCTAAGATTATCATTAATTACAGAGGAGGTAATAGAAATAAAACAGAATAATTTTTAAAAAATTGACATAAATGTTTAAGTAACCATAATGAAAGATTATCATCTTCTACCTATATAAGAATTGAAATTGTGATTTCAAAATATTTTATGCTTTAAATATTATATGATTATTCGCGATACATACATATTATATATAATTTTTATTTTATATATATTTATATATATAAAATGTATATATACGTGCAAAAATTAGGAACAAATATATAAATGCAATGGCAGTATGTGAAGCAAATGCATTTAGATGTTTATACGAATTAAACGATTATATGACACAAACTGTAATTAATTATAATATATCGACATTATAAATAACTATAGTAAAATATATCACTCGCATAATTTACGTGCAAGTGATCTCACAATTATGTGTTGCAAAAAAGAAAAGAATGAATAGGCCACGATAAATCGTTGACTCTACATTTCGCAAGATTCGATTGTATACCGGATAAAAATGATGCGATTCGCTTTAAGGTATCGGTCAAAAACAGGCGATTCACGTGTGCTCGCATGTACATACACGTACATGTAATACGTAATGCATGCGCTTGTTTAAGGAAAAAGGATGACGAAATAGAACGACTCATTTATCACAGTATTGCACGCAAAGCATGTACGAAATCGCAAGTAAGTTAGCATAAAGGCCAAACGGCGACACTACACGCTCTTCTCTCAGAATACATCCGGGGAGATTAGAATTTTTTTCTTTTTTTTCTCGTAAAAGTAACGAAATGTTCATCTATTTCCCTCGTCCTTCCTCTCCCCTTTTCGCTTTCTCTCCCTCTCTCTCACACATCACACCTCTATCACATTCTCACTTATACAATTCGACATATTCTTTTTACATTCCATGGCAACGACTCCGAATGACCCTTTATATCCATGGTCCATGATAACTTCGGCATATATCTGACAATATCAGTTAGTAACAAAATAATAAGCCATTGTGTATGTGTGAATACATCACCTGAGAATGAATCGTGATATATTTTCGCTTCGTAATGTTTTTTGGGTTTTTTTCCCGCTCTTCCTTTTTGATGTATAACTTTTCTCTTCTCGTACGACGGAGTGTGTTCTTAACAATCTGTCATTGTTATGGATATTATTAAAAAAAATACGCGCAAGCAATGTTCAATATTTCGATTAGTTCGCTGTCTTATCCGAATTGACACAGGCTAGATGGTTTCGGCCTCTCGATGACCTAATGTTAATGTCTTTTTTTAGTTTTTTTTTTTTAAACAAAATATTAATCTTTACACAAGCTTCCAAAGAAAAGATCGAACCTTTCCAAATAGGTCTGTGATCGCTTAAAGATATAGAGAGAAACTTATTCTTTAATTGACGCGATCGATTAAGTTGAACAATTCATCGCTTGAAGTTTCTTAAAATTTTTAATTCTGAGAAATTCGGTAGAAAAAAAATAAATATACGATTATTCCTGTAAAATCAATGGAATAAAAACGAGACAAACGAAACCATTTTTTCCTTTCAGATACGACTAAAGGTTTAGTTGTCTCAAAAAAAACAAAAAAAACGAAAAAATATCTAAACGATCTCTCTGTTTTTTCTCTTCTTGTCTTCCCCGAAGACAACGAACGCTCTTTTCGCACGGTTTTGATTTACCATCTCGACAAATCTCGCCGCGTCAATGATGCGATTAAGGCTCTTGGACCCTCGCCGGGGCTATATTGTGACGTTAAAAGGCAAAAAGGTACACGCTGAAAATTCTCGCGATATTTTTACATAAAAAGATATTTGATGAAACACAACTTCAGATGGTTTTATTATACTTTTAAGTCCAACAATTTTTTTCTCTCGACAGTAAATCAACAACCGTAAAATGATCATGGATATCAGTTTGTCATGCGAAATAACTGCGCATGTACAAAGACCAGATGGACTGGAGGACCTCATATTACAGTCATTTTACAGCTGTTGATTGATTATAAAAAAAAAAAAAAAAAACAATAATTTTCGAACTATTTTAAAAGCGTGGTAAAGCCATCTGAAGCAACGTTTCACCGAAATATATTTTTATTTAAAAATGGTACACAAGACTTTTTATCCTGTGTTTCCTCGCCTGTGACGTCACAATTCCAATACATGATCGGCGAGGAACCAGGAGCTTTAAACACAGACATCAGATATCACCGCTTATTCGTACTTTACATTCGCAAGAGGGAACTTTGGCAACAAACACACTCGCATAAAGTTCTGTAGCTGGACAGCACAGCTTTTTTTCACGCGCACACAAATTGTAGCTTCAATATACATAATCGCTGTCTCTTTCTCTCTCTCTCTCTCATTTACTGTCTCTCACTAATATAATAGCGGCACACATTAATAATAATTTTAATTGGATAATTTTTTTCGTAGCGTTGACGTAATAATACAATATTATGTATGTATATATATATATATATATATCATACAATACCGTATGTACAATATGAGAAGAATCATTTCATATTTCGAATAACAAAATGTACAGCGGTACGAGGTAATATCGAGGTCGTCATCGAATCGTCTTCTTCGGTATTTTTGTTTCTCGTTCCGTTTCACATCTTCCATGGTGCTTGAGATGATAATCAGTATTGGTATCTGAGGCAACAAATCTCGCGGAAATATTAAATTTTTTACGCGAATGGTTGACAATCAATGCTCGATGTCGACAATCGGAAATGAAGGAAAAAGAAAACTCCAGCAAAATCAACACAGGAGCATCCAAAGACAGGAAGAGATGAGGTGTGCAAACACATTCACAATTCGGGCGTTTTTAGCGAAGAGTATAAACTTTAACCAAGTTTCATTCCTAAATAGATCGCAATCGTAATAAATAAATATATGCAGATCGATATGAAAGAAAATAAACATATATTTATTTCTCTTTTCATAAACGCTTATAAACGAAAACAGTAGAGAGGGAGGGGGCACATAGATTTTTTAAATGTATATATTGTAATTTCGTTTCCTTGTCGTCTTTCTATTTCAAGTTGTGTTACTCTCGTTCGTTATCGCGATTCTGATTTTTACATGTCGTTTGAAAAAAACAAAAGTCGGTATACGCAACGATGTGTTCACATGTGTTTTTCGTATGTCCATCGAATGAAAAAAAAATTGTTAAGTAATTATATATACTCTACATGTGTGCGACACAAGGTTAGCGTGTAGCTGCCTCCTCACACTCGTTATGTACATACACTGTTAAATGGTCCTATCTTTTTTCTTTGTTTTCCCCTTGTTTAATTTCTTTTTTTTTTTCTCTCCACAAAAAGTACATTTGCACTAGTCTTTGCGAACTCTTATCACTTAGCCATTTGAACCGGTCAATGGCACAGGCTGAGACTGCATCCTGTTACTTTAAGGCGGAGTGGAGCACCTAACTTTTTGAATGTAGTTTTTTTTCGCATATCGGATTAAAATAGCTCAAAAAAAAGTATCATCCATTCTCAGAAGCAACGCAAAATTCTTCGGCGATTCAGTCAAAGTAATGGCGCAAGATACAATTGTCATAGCGTATCGTCGAGTCTCGTGTAAAAAAAAAATAAAAATAAAATTAAAAAGAAATAGATACAGTGGGCATCTGTTGAAATATTACATATGAAAAAAATGTACAGAAATATTAAAAGAAGATTCATTGGAGAAATAGAAAAATAGTTGTTGCGACTTCTTTGGAATGATAATTTTGATATTGATAACAGGACTATAAATGTGAAACCTCTTGTGAGAGGAAAGGGGAAAAAAAAGAAAAGTAACTAAAAGCCTGAGTGCGTGTAAATGTCTAGATACAATCAACATTCAAAGATTTGCACAGTAAAGAATTGTGCTTTAAAAAAATAAAAGAAAAAAAAGAGAGACACTTTAAAGGGGAAGAAGATATCTCGTCATGTGTCCAGAGTTTTTTTTTAGAGATATTTCCAGATATTTTTAGAGCTGCGATTTTTTTTTATATATGATTATACTTTTTTCGAGTTACCACTCCGATATGCATTCCATAATGCTTATATGTCGTACAATTAGATATTTTTCTCGCTTATCTCGAGAAAGCTGTACCTCCAGCTGGACTATTTCCTATACACTGGACAAAAATGAAAATTATCAACAGAGCACGATATCTTTTTTTTTTTCGTTTTTACACAATTTTGATATCTTCGCAAAGAAAAAACGATATATAACAAACTTTTTTTTACCCCAATTCTAATTCATTAATAATAATTAACTCGCATTATATAATACTACATACAATACACTTTCATGCTCTTTCATATATACGAAACTTATCTGATAATTTATTTTATCATATACCTATATAAAGGCGATAAGTTTCCACGACACTTCATTCATTCATTTTTTCACGTATGAGATTGCTGTACGAACATTTATAATTATTCTCGTGTAGAATGACACATTTCATGATAAACGGTAGTTTTTTTTCTCTCAATGTAAAATGTATACGTTCTCACCCTCTCCTGCTTCGTCGTAATAAGAAGCAGCATGAAACGAGTTTAAAAATATTATTAAAATTAGTTCAAACGCAAAGAGGGATTAACATGAATATTTAATTCGTTTAGTTATTTGGGACACAATACGCGCGCGGACCGTAATATCCTGAGGTTACAGAATTCATAGACTTACATTTAAAAACATGTGTATTAACAATAGTTAAAAGCAGAGCGTTATATATGCTTCATATCTCTCTTAGGCTCAGTTTCTTAGGCATTTACAGGCATACAGGAATTTAAAAAGTATGGCTTATATATCTTTCTTCTTTTCCTTTCTATCTGGAGTTAATTCGAAAGGTTTAGAGAACCCTCTTACCGTTATATATATATAATATATATATATAAATATATATATATATATATATAAAATAAATACATATATGTACATATATACCATACTATATCAGCGCACATAATTCTACTTACATACGCTTCATTGAAACGATAACAATCATATTTTTTACGCCTGTAAATAACGCCTCGAAAAAAGAAAATGCACGTTTAGAAAATATCGATGGAACATAGTCATTTGTAAGATACATCCGATAAGAAATGAAAACTTAGGAACTAGGAACGTACCTCGCGTATAGATTTTATAAAATTCGAAATTAAACCGAACGATCAAATGATATACGCGTGCAACATGGATAATCTTTGTGCACTTCCGGGGCAATGTTTACTCTGCACTCTAGTTGTATAGATCACATTATATAGCAGAGTCGGATTGAATAAAATTCAACTTTCTGTTCTCCCTATATCTGGCAGCTGCAACACGCATCTGTTTTATATATATATATATATATATATATATATATATATATATATATATGAAAAATTCAAAAATTATATCAATAAATCTGTTCATTTTTCTACGAAATCTGGAATAATACAGGATTATATAACATTGTAGATACGTAAGCGAGGCAGTAGATATTGTCAGTGATTCGTAAATGTAATATAAAGTCTATTGAACGAAGAATATTATAGTATAAGAATATATTATAGCATAATTATTCACATGAAATGCAATTAATTTGGAATAACTTTTGTTTAGAACCCCTGGAAAAGTTCAGAGATATTTCAACGTATATATAATGATGACTATATGATCGGACAGCAATCTCATATTAAATTTCTATGATTACCCGATAAAATCTATACGAAATCTACATGAATTATACACACATACATACAGATTCATTCACACCACCGTATTTTTACTGATCACAAGCAAGTATCTTCTTATATTATCATTATGAATATAATTATCAGTTATTTATTAAATAAGCAAGTCTGTGTAAAAATTTAGTTTTGCGACACATTCGGCATTCTATCTTCACAGACATTTGACCAGATTTTGAGCGCACTTTGACATTTTCAAAACCCAGTTAGTGACTTTATTTTTGTTTTTTAAATATTTTATACTATCGAGCTCCACAGTTGGAAGAAATAGCCACTCTGAGTTCTAACTCAATCACGCTATCATCTCAATATATTACATAATCGCGCATTTACATATCTCCGATATAGTTCGCACGTCTTAATTTATATATTATCAAGTAAAATACCCGATATCTCTCTCTCTTTCTCTCTCTCTCTCTCTCCCTCTCTCTCTTATATTTTGACCTCTGTAATATTTCGACTCACCAACTGATTCGTAATCTTCTGCAATGTCGATTAAGATTGTTCCGGCTCAAGAGTTCAAATCAATCTTATTATAGATGTTTTGCGGTATTCTTGACAAACTTCTCAGCTTGATGTGATTGGCGTACTATCGGCTTCGTCAATTTTTCCCTGTTGTATTCGCCTAAAGATTCACCAATCTAAAGGCACCAGGAAATACCATTGTTGACGCGCGAGGTTTTTTCTTCGATGCAGACCCGCTTCATGGTAGACCTGGTTATTACAAGTTTGCATTTCTTTGTAGCGTCGTTTTTCCTTAAGCACTTTTTGGAAAATTTACACTGTCGTAAACCAAGTTTGAAGACAATCTTTGAAAATTTATAGGGATGTGTCTATGATGTATTTACACGCATGATTCGTACACTGGAAGTTCCCTTTAATCAAACAAACTGCATATATATATTATATATAACTGCATATATATATTATATATATTATATATATATATATATATATATATAATATATATATGTATATATGTATATATATGTATGTATGTATATGCAATTCTCGAAAAAGATAGCCTTCACATTTTCCGATCAAACGTTCGTAATTGTCAATACTAAAGTTTCACGACACTGCCATTATTGTTCGAAATTCACACAAATGCAACAAACATTGCTGGAATATACATCTCTCTTTATCTTTTTCCTTGTTTTTTTCTCCTCGTTTTTAGAGGCTGATTGTATATACACTGCTATTATTATCTCTTGAGGCACACTTCGCATCGCTCGATTCCAATATTTAATCTCGCTTTATCAATTCAGCATTTGACTCGAGCAATAAGACAGGCGATTCTTCGAGCGAATTTCATGTCCATGCTCGAGAGACACATATGAAACTGCATACGCAGCACACATACTTGGTCTTGTTTACCAACGAAAGACCCAACTAGATCAAATTAACTGTAATTGTAATTTGTAATGGAAGTGGTTCACCAATACAAAAGTTACTGTTATTGCCAATTTCCTTCGTTCCAACAACTTTCACTTCACTGTCCACTGTAAAACTGTATGCGACCCGTTGCAGTCACATTTTCTCTCATGACCGCATCCCATGCTATTAATAAAAGAAAAAGACAAAATTAATAAAAGCACGAAATGACAAGAATAAAATAATCGAATAATTTGATTAAGGCTCCTCATTGACCATGTTCGAATTGTGACGCCAAAGATGGGAAAACACATGCTAACAATTCTTAGATGCTATTCTGAAATAAAAAAGATATTTCAATAAAATAACACTTCAGATGGATTTACACTTTTAAAACACCTTGAAAACTTTTTTTCCTTTATAATCAATCAACAGCAATAAAATTGTAATATAAGGTCCAAGTTTATCTGGTGGGTTTACATGACAAAGTCTGATACCATGATCATTTTATGGTTGTTGACTGTTGAGGGAAAAGAATAGTTTTCGAGGTAATTTAATAGTGTACTTAAGTTATCTGAAGTGTTCCATCAAAAAATATATTTTTATTTCAAAATGGCTACGTTCAGCAGAAAAAACAGCTTTGCAATTGTTGTAAAATTTGTGAATCTGATTGGGTTTTTTTTTTAATTTTTTTTTCTTTGATACCGGATTTATAAAATATAAAGCGTGTCGAACATCCTTGAAATTGTACATTTCTTTTTATAGATATCGTAGATTATTATTAATATGGAGAACGGTAAACAAGAAACGAGTATTTCTCATTTGAACGGTGACGCCGCTGATGAGGTTAAAAATGTGGACGCTCAAGACACAAATAACACGGGAGAACAGACCGCGGAAATTTCGCATCTAAGAATTTTCAGCATGTTTTCCCTGATGTCATCGACAATCGAACATGGTCACAGCAAGGATCCAAAAGCCTTAAACTATACTACAAATACGTCTTACCTAAACCAACAAACGACACGATTTTGTCGTGATTGTACGTCTGCACATTCAGCTCTTCCTCGGGCGCTACGTAAAGCATAGCAAAGTCTTCCTTTGGCGGATGAAACTTTTCCATGATCCCGGGCGGTGGCGGAGGTGGTGGTGGCAGATACGTGGGCGGTGGAAATCTCGTGTTGGGATAGCCCATATACGGCAGCGGTTGCACCATGACCGGATGCACAGGCGTCATGTGAGCATTCGGTGTTTGCATATGATAATTCGACGAAAACTTGTCGTACCTTGCGGGTTTCTCGTTGAACAATGGCAGAGGATTCCTCTCGAAAGTGTTGAGCGACGATTTATTAACGAGCGGCGGTACGGCCGAAGAGAAAGCGGGACTACTCGTCGCGATTGCCTGAGTCTCTTCGTTGCCATTATCCTCCGAGAGCAACAATTGTTCGTTTATCTCAAAACCGAACGTGAGTTCGGTCGGTAGATTATTGTTCTTAGCGATGTCCGAGGTGGTTTCGTCCAACAGAATCACAGCCGGTCTAGGAGTTGAATTTTTCGTCTGTTGCACCTCTATCACGGACGACGATCTTTGCGATTGATCTTTATCGGGTTGCGATTTGGTCCTTTTATTCTCCGTATCCTCGCGCACTTGATCTTGCTTCGAATTTTGTATTGTCTGACAGATGCCCACTTTTGCTACGTCATGCTTCATTGTAATGTTGTTATTCGGGTATTCTTTCACGACTCTTGCTGTCCTCGGTTCGTTGCTGGTCAACTTGTTTTTGTTACTGCTCGACTCGGACTCGACGGACTCCTGCGATTCTTGCGCAAGTTTCGCAGTTTTCTTCTGTACGTCCTGCGCACCGTCGTTATGGGATGTGACTGTCGGATTAGGTTTGTTTTCCGACTGCGGAGTGTCGGTACTGTATGATTTTTTAATTGGTTCATCGTGATACGAAGATGCAAACTTTTTCACATATTGTTCTTCGTAAGATCCTATCATTTGTACACTTTGATTGTTATGTACATAACTCCTGCGAGAGCGAGGATTGTTAGTCCTAGAATGTGTAACTGAATCTTTATTGTTAACAGCGCAATTGGGATTATTATCGGCATCGAGTGGATTATAATTCATCGTTGTACTATTATTCAATCTTGGCGTAACAGTATTTGTTGCGATAGTCTCGCTTGTATTCGTGCTGTAGTTATTGGAAGCCGAGTGGTGCTTTTGTTCTTGCGACAGACTCTCCTGCATTTTTTCGATGTCTTGTACATATTTGAATACTTGAATATTCTTATTAATTGCTTCTTCCTGAGCTTCGGCTTTCTTTCTATCCGACGAATTCTTCACTTTTGTCAGAGTCGGCGAAAGAGACTTTTCGAAAGCGAGACTCAAACTTGCCGCTGCATGATTCGACTGGGCCGAGTTTTGTTGTTGTCTCACTTTTCTCTCCGAATGCTGTATCTCGTCCAAGCTTGGATAATAATCCTGCGGTACTTTGTCCGGCTCCGAAGATGTCTTGGAAGGTACACTGGGCCACGATGCTGTATTCAACATGCCCGGAACGATCGTGGACATGTTCAGATTGTGCGATATGTTGATGGTGGCCATGCGCGCTATGTCCGCATAACTCGCTTGCGGAGTTCCGCCCGATGAGGTCGCGACTTTAGTTAAATTATGCTTCGAGCTGTTTGACGTAACCGGCAACGAGTGAACCGAATCTAAATCGCTGCTATCCGACTTGTCACTGCAACAATTATATTTTTTATTATCGTATTTGCATTAATTAGTTTAGTATAGACATATCTTTAAATTAGTCAAATCACACATTACATATTTATATTTGTCCAATTACCTAGGAGGCATGCTGCTTGCCGATTTTCTTCGCAGTTCGGGAGAAAGCGGTGTTCTATACTCGTTGGAGAATCCTCTAGAACTTTGTAGATACGATCCTGACGTTGTCAGATTTTGCGCTCTACTACCGCTGGAGCTTCTCCTCTGTTTTTTACTCTTCTTCTTCTTCGTCACTACCAGAAATTCCGTCTCATGTTCAGATTCCGGATTAATTTTCTTGTTAGAATTGCGGCGACTAGTATAATCCTCTCCCGTGTCGTTGCAATATATCGATTGACCTTCCTCTGTCCCCCAAGATCGCCTATCGCCTCGACTATCGACTGTAGCATCTCCAGTGCTCCTTTGCTTCGGACGTCGCAATGCCACATTTTCACCTATTATATGTTATAAAGACGATACGATATTAAAAAAGATGTGTAATAAATCGTATATAAATTTACTAAAAATTAAATTATTTAATTTGAAAATATAAAATTTAAATGAGTAAAATACAAAAAAGTAACATTTTTGTAAAATGTATACATTTATATATACATAATCATACCGTGTTGACTGGATACACTACTGGCCCCGCTAGAACTGATGCTTTTTTCTGTCGTAAGATCCTCTAATTTTGTCTTTGAAATCTCTTCCAAAGAATTAGACTTTTGTAATTTTGATGGCAACTGTTCTCTCTTTGTATCTTTTTCTCTAGTTCTCGGTTTTGTACCAGAACTAGTCTTCACTCTAACGGGATTACTAGTCTTTCCTTTTTTGCTTTTTGATTCTTTGTTCTCGATAAAGTTAATTAAACTGTCAATATCTTCATTACGATGACCCTCGACATTTTCAGCATTGTAAACTTTGACATTGTGTTCCTGAGTATGTTTCCTCCTGAGTTTCTTTGCAAAACGATCATTGTAGGATTGTACAGCGTTTCCGTTCTCGTCCAGCGATTTCTTTTCTCCCGACACGGATGGATCTTTCAGTGAGAGATGTTGAGACGAATACCTGGGACCTTCTGTACGCAAGTCGTTCAATTCAGTTTATAATACAATTATAAATCAAATTAATAAAAAAGTTAAAGATCGTTTTCTTAGTAAAATCTAAATGAGTATGTTTATCAAACCAGCAACAGTCATCATAAACTTGGTGTTTATGCGATACACTGCTTAAATTATTAATAATTGTAAAATAAAATTTACTTTTAATAGTGAAATTAGTTTCAATGTTCAATTACATATTTTTTTCTTGTTGCTAACTAAATAAAACTTCTTTGTAGAGTGTTTGATACAATACTATTTCAGTGATCAGTAACCATGTAATATATCGGACAAATATCAGTTTGCAATTGGCTAATACTTAACATAATTTTGCTATCAAGTTTAAAAATTATAGAAAACGTGTAAACATTTCATAGTTCTACAACAAACTTTCAAAAGTTTTTTACATTAAAATTTGTATATAGTATATATATATTTATCTTACCCATTGTTATATTCTGTGCTTGCCAGGATGGCATTACGGAGCACAAACTCGGCACGATCTTGCTCTGGCTAGTACTAGAACTGTTCGAAGCTCCACTTATACCGCATTTTACACTGTTGTGTGATTGAAACAGTGTTCCAGTCACATCTGCACCATTAATAGACATTTTTGACTTCTCCTGCTTATGATCACGAATAGGGAATTCTATAGGGCTATCCACATCTAAAGTTGCCCGTGTGACATAATGGATAGGTTTACGCGGTTCAATGATTCTCATCTCAGTTCCTTCGTCATTTTCGGTGTCTAACGAGCGAGGTCTTTGAATCCCACTTGCCATAGATCCTACATTTCTCTCACTGATCGCACCTACCTGCAGCAGATAATAAATTGTTATATGTATAAATATGTATAGTTTATCTTATTTTTAAATCTTTTCTCTATATGCTTTATAAAATGTAGTTTCTCAATTATTAAACTACAAAATTAGGAGAAAATAATTGGGCATAATGTGCATAAATACTGACTGAATAATACAAATAACACTTTACCTCAACATCGCCTAAATCGATCACCATATAATCCGACTTATATTCTGGAGGTGGATTATCTGATTCCAGCATTTCATTTGTTCCGTATTTTCCTTTACCGACTCTTTTCTCTCGCGATTCAAGTTCTATCTCGCCTGAACTAGCGGTATCTCTCTTCAATTCCTTCTTTTCTTTCTCTTTTTCTTCTTTCTTTGTACTGGTATACGACGGTTTGTCTAGAGACTTGGATTTTTCCTTATTGGTCCAGTCATACGCTGACCGCTCCACACAGAAACTCTTCTTCACAAATAGATAAGAAAGTGATTAATATATTAATACATGTTGAACAAGTTTATCATGTTAAAATAATCCATTTTTATAATTTATTATAAAAATAATTTATATTTTTATAAATATTTAAAAATGAATAAGTAATCTTAATTATATAATATACACATCTCCATCTCGGCCAATCTTAATCTTAATTATAATATTATAAATACCTTTTTGTCAAATGATAGATCTAGATTAGCCAAAGAAGCAAGGCTATGTGATGCATCTACATCCGATGGTAATGATCCACCTTCTCTTTGTCTAGCAGAGACACTAGGTCCTATGTATTTCTTGTTCTTTTTTCTACTACTCCCATAAGTATGACACGAACTGGATGTTGGATAAGCAAAACTACTATCGAATTCCGAAGCAATAGGATGTGCTAAATTTTGCAATGATCCACCGTGTGTCAAACGTTCGGATACAGAATCCCGTTTGTGTCTTCTTCGATTTGAGCCTGGGAGACAACGCGAATTACATATTACCCTATGTCCTTCTTCAGTCTCATCCGCTTCTGCTTCTTGTAAAAGTTCCTACAAAGAATATGACATTCCATATATATTTGATACATATATAGTTACAAAAGTATATATCTTATCAATATAAAAATATATATTTGATAAAATGTATATTTTTCAGCCTACACATTATACCTTGAAAAGATGAGATTTTCCTTCTCGATCTTTGGGGCACTTGTATGTTATAGCTTCATCCAGTAAAGCACGTAATTCGCTATCGTTTAATTCAGACAGAGTTGCCGGTTCTTCCTAAAAAATGAAAACAATTGAAAAAATTATATTGTGCATTTATTTATTACAAGAATTACAAAAATTGTTTAGAATTTTTTGTCTTGATTTATCAAATTTAAGAAACTATTATCAAGTAATTATTTATTCAAGTTTTTTTATTTTTAAATATAATTTATATATAATACTAAAAATGATACTAAAGATCTATATATATTTATATTTTTGATTTAATTATTACTCAGAAAAGATATGAGAAATACATGTTTAAAATTTTAATAATTTACAATGTATATATATACATTATATTTATAGTAATATTTATATCTGTCTTAAAAATAGCTTTAATGTAATGAAACTAGTTGAATAAAGAGTGATATTGTTAGATAATGTTAGATTTTCAGAGTAAATTTAAGGTTTCCCTTATAAGTCCTTATTGGATCTATTTAAGGCTTACAGTGACACATGTCAATGTAGAAACAAAAATGTGCATAATGACATAGTATTACACATTTAGCGCTGTCATTCCTAAAATATTTTCAGTAGAACTATTCAATCTAAAATAAATTCCATGATTTGTAATTCTGCCTTTGTCAACACATTAGACATAACCACAATCACTTTGTTATAAACTAATAATAAATAAACTAAACTTTTTACATACATGTGGAATATATACAATGCATATAAAATGATGAAAATCCAAAGATGTAGGAAAGCACAGGCGGATTAAAAACAACTATCTGAAAACGTAAATTTTGTGTAAATTGTGAGAAATTTGAGTGTCTAAAAAAAAAAAAAAAAGAGCCAGATACATAAATATGAAAGAGAGGGTAAAAAGGTAGGGAGCGAAGAGAAAAATCGTCTCGAGATAACGAGGATTTCTAGAGAGCTCACGACACGACACAATCGGAGACGTCGACGAGAGGATTCGTCACGTCAGAGTCGGATTTTTCTAAGGTGTCATGCGCGAAAAAGAGTCGAGAACAAAGAAGCCGACAAAGGGAAGCGAACGACAAATAATTCCCTACGTAAATCCGCGATCGTCGTCTGCGAGGAAAGAGAACGCAAGAAAGAAAAAGAAAAAAAATTGCAAAGAGCCGTCCTTAAGATTGATAACGCTCTAGCGATTAGCTGAATTAAGACGTGACGAGCGAATGAGACGAGGACAGAGCTTTATGAGAGAGGGAGAGACACAGAGAGATATCGGGATGACTTACGAAAAACTGCGGGAAAAAAAATCCGCTGGGCAATGCCGGAACGGAATTGCTATATTTTTAGAGGACACAACACATACATATATACACGCATACACACACGGCCGAATCGTTGAAAAAGAGAGAGAAAGAGAGAGAGAGCCGCAACGTAATCGAAACTCTTCGCTGCTACTTTTCAACACGCGACAAGAACGTCAACGAGGAAACGTCGCGCATCCCGGGGTACGCGAAGGCCTTCTCGTCCTCGTCGTCGTCGCGCAGCGGAAAAACGTCGGCGAGAACGTGGCCCGGTTTTTTTGAAAGCTACTGCGACGAGCGGGCGCGGCGCGCTCTTCCCAGCATGGCCGCCGCCATTACACTGAAAGCGCTGCCAGTTCAGGAGCGTAAGATTCGGGGGCCCCCTGGGGGAGGGAGGAGAATCCTCCTCGCACAGTATCGACAAATATTATTTTCATTTAACTCTTTATTGGCTATGCAGAATGAAAAATCCTTCACTAGAATTAAAGTATTTGTAATAACAAATCTGGGTTATTATATGAGTATATATAAAAAGAAATCAAGAAAGTTAAATAATTATAGTTTTCTTATCTCGTTTAGGTTAGGTTGACCCAATGCAAAAGATTGATAAAAACTTTGTAATTATTTAGCTTTCTTGATTCTTTTAATATGCATATGTAATAGCTCGGATTTGTTATTATGAATACTTTAATGCTAATAAAGGATTTTTCATTCTGTGTAGCCAATAAAAAATTAAATAAAAATAATATTTGTCGATAAAACATCTTGTTTATCATGTCACAATTGCGACGTCAGAAGTTGGCATTTCAAAATAAAAAAAATATTATGATGAAACAGCACTTCAGATGGCTTTAGCTCTTAAATACCTCGAAAACTATCACTTTCGCTTTATAATTAATCGACAGCTGTAAAATGATTGTAATATGAGACCCATTTTGCAATCATTCCGCATGACAAAGTCTGATATTACGATCATTTTACTGTTGTTGATTGACTGTAAAAGAAAAAGTATAGTTTTCGAGGTATTTTAAAAGTGTGCTAAAGTCATCTGAAATAGTGTCTCATCGAATTATATTTTCATTTAAAAAAAGCATCTAAGAATTTTCTGCGTGTTTTCTCGTCTGTGACGTCACAATCCAACATGGCCGTGGTGAAGATCTATAGAAACCTTAAAATTATGTATATAGCTAGATAAAGATAAAATAAAAATACGTAAATTTATTTCAGATAAGCTGAAGATAGTTTGTTTTAAATATATCTAGATAAAAAATAAAATTATATGGCGATTCATCAAGATGACTTGCAGATAATATTATTCTCAAGACCGCTTATTTATAACACAGTTATAAAGAAATGTAAATTATAAAAAGGATAAAACGTATTTTTAAGTATTTTTATCTGCTATAATTCTAAACCAAATTATTTGAACATTATTCTAGATAATTTAGTAAAAGACAACACTTTTCTTCATGTAAGATGCAGATATAGATGAAACATATTTTTATATTATTTATATAAAGATAAGATGATGTCAAAATTTCATCTAGATGATTATCTCTATAATTTTATTTTTAGAAAACAACACTGACCTCGAAATAGCTTTTGTTTCGTTCGTTCGTTCATTCATTCTTTCTTTCTTCTCGACGAGACGACTTGCGAGAGGATAAAAAATTTATGAATATTTTAATTGTAAAATAATAAAAAAAAATTCTTTTTTATGAAAAATTTACCCTTCTCTATCGCGAAAAAAATATAAACCTTACGTTGATCGCCACGTCTGATCTCACTATAGTATTTTTGCGTGCAAACGCAAGAATGATTTTGTCACGTACGTCCGTTTCTATGAAGCAAATCTGATTTCATCTGATCATGGATGAAATGGAACGTTCTTGTTTGCGATGATTTACGCGTGCGTATTCGTAACTTCTGTATAGAGTATCGCGTATACGATGTTATCTGAAATTGAGAATCAGAAGGCCGCGTTTAACCTTAAATATGCGGAATATGAGAGATATACAAGTTCTTCTTCATGACTTTGTTGGGAGTACCGCGACAATGCGAGAGACAAGAAATATGCGTTTCTTCCGGCGGTTTCTAATTGTTTAACGACGTATTGTCATATTCGTAATGCGAACCGCAGTTCAGACGCTTGTTGTTTTTCTTTTTCTTTACTTGGATATACAGGGCGACTCGCGAAATATCCATCATCGAACATTAGAGAGAAATGCAATCTCGTTAATTCGTACGAGATGTATTAAATTTTACAAGCGATACATGTTATGAAAATAACAGCATAATCTCCGTTTGCCGATATGGCCTTGTATCATTTTAAAATTTATCGCCGAATCATGTCGAATTAATCTTCATCGTTCACTCTGTTCAATATCGAGTCGGGAAAATAATAAACGAAGAAAATCAAATTCCAAGCTCTTGTTTTTCTCTTCTCCCGTTACAACTTGGAAATATTTCATATAATACATTTCAAATTACACAAAGTCGGGAATTCGGGGAATCGAAAGAATTTCAAATGTGGATTCAAATTTTGCGCGTAACAAATCCTGTGTATACGTATTGTAGAAATGAAAAATATCACAAGAATTCTCCTCACTAATCGATGCAACGGTAGTACATTTTCCCGGACGATCGGCCGTTGTCACACTGTATATACGAAGAGTTCCAGTTCTAATCGTCACATACATACATATATATAGGTACGCGTCGTCTCGAGAACAGCGTGTTCGCGACGATATATTAGGCCATGTATGTACATACACGTCTGTCAATCGCGCATTCTTCTTGAACGAGTGTCCCTGGATCTCGCGGCTATGACAAGCGCGTTTACACGAGGCCGATCGAGAGAGATGCGAGCCAATAAAAGTTCGCTCGCGTTCGAACGAGATAACACGAATTTACGAGTATCGCACGATAACGCGCGCTATTGTTACTCAATAACGCCGATTAAGTAACAATAATAAAAGGGGACTTTAATAAAGATGCGAGTAATTATATTTTTCAATCAGAGGTGAGGAGATATACGACGACGACTCGATTCACTTGGATGTACTGTGTAATACTCCACCAGCTGTGTATAGCGCTTATCATTCGTTACAAAAATAACGATGTGTGAAAGAGAGGAGGAAAGGCGTAGCGACAATGAAATATATAGGAAAATAAGATATAGAACATTAGAAACTTGCAAAGTGTACAATGATTTGATGACTAATAAGAAATATGAGTAATTCACTGTCAAGAGGAGAATATGACAGTGCACTTTTGAACTCTGTCATTGGTTAAAAATAAAATGTATAATACATATATAGGAAAGAAATATTTTTGACAACATCTATTTCTAACGCGATAAGAGAATCGAATATATATCCGGATATTCGTACCTCGTTGTAATACGACCTTTTAATTTATCGCTTGACCACTTTATTGATTTCGTGTAAATTCGGCACACACAATAGCCTCTCTCGCGAGATACCTCATTCTTATTATATTACGCAATATTTGTAAATGAAAGGGAATATGAAATCCGGCGCGATTAATTGGATATCGCGAGTTCATTTGTTCGCGCTCGCGAGTCGCTTAATTACTCGAAGGAGATCGCACCAACTAATCGAACGTATACGAAAGGGGATATCGAGAACGTATTTGTGCGCGTCCTCGCTCTATCGAGGGCCAGCACGGCCATTTCAGGAGCGTAGTCGAGGCGCCCTTGGATTAAGATTCAAGCGTTTTTCTGGCAAAAAAATTACGCGACTTTGCCTTTTTCGACCAATTTCGCGAATTTAACACTCGCGATAACCAATTTTTTCCTTTACCTTTCAAGGGGATCTTAATGCCGTCTTGTTCTACCGACAAAACGATAATTTTTCTGCAATAGATTAATAATAAAGCTTTGCCGTGATTAAAAAAAATTTTCTTTGTTTTTAATACATATAAAATCCATAGGTTGCAACTTTGTTTCTATATGTACTTTAATTGAAAAGCATTTATTATTTTATTCAACAAAAAAAAAAGAGAAGGGTGCAGAAAAATGATCGTTTTGTATAGATAAAATAAGAAACAGAGAATAATGTTAGGATCCCTTTAAAATGAGAAATACAAGTATACATGAAATCCTTACTCTGTCAATATAAATTAGGATTATATCGTAAAATATTAAATTCTGATATTTTATCTTGAAAAAAATAGAAAGATGCTAATATCACGAAAAAAATCCAATTCAATTTAGGCGACATAATTTTGGTTAAAGGCGAGAAGATTATAACTGCTTTCGGGGGAAAATTATAATCTATTGTCGAGATTGAACGAGTCAATCAAACGCCCGATTGGTTTAATCAGAGAACTCACCGCGCGTGATTGCGTTTAATTTTTTGCAGTATCTAAAAAAAGGAGACTAAAATAAGAATGAAGGCAAAAATTAAACGACAAGTCATCGCCGAGCCACGCCGCGATTATTGGCAATTATTCTAGATCATTGACCATGATTATCTAAAGACTTGCGCGACATTCATTCCGTCCTTGCGGAAAGAAGGAAGGAAGGAAGGAAAGAAAAACAAATCCTCGCTTCAAAGATCACATCCTTGGCGCGCGATTTCTCGATCCCAAAAATCGACCAATCGCGATTGTCTAGCCCAAAAATCGTCCAATCGCGATCATCGATTCCAAAAATCGGCCAATCGCGATCGTCGCATACTCACCTGCTGTTTGCTGTCGACGGTGCTGTTCGAGGGCGAGCTCTGATTGGCCGAATCGGCGCCAGCAGCAACAAAATTAGTCGGAGCGATCTCGACGTTCGAACTTTGCTCTGCTACAACGACAGGAGCAACGGAGTCGTTGCTGTTGCTGCTACCGGTTGTCGTCGTCGTCGTCGTGATGTCGACGTTCTCCGAGTCGACGTCGGCGGCGCGATCGCCCTCGGCGATTTTGTCAGGAGCTACCGGTTCCTGGCGATGCTCCGGCCCTGGGGCCATGTTGATCGAAATTGACAGCGCGGTATCCGCCGTGCTCATGGCTCCTTCCTCGTCATTTCTTTTTCCTTATCCCTTGTCCTTCTTCTCTCTTTCTCTCTCTCTCTCTCTTTCAAGGGCTATCCAGCCTCGAAAGGACCGAGATTGTCGACGTTCCGTGCCGCATCGAAGACACTTACTGGTTACTCTCGGTCAGATGAGCGCAACGACATACTTGGATGGATGAAGACTCCGAATCGGTTGCACCAACGCTTATGTAGGATGTTAAGTTTTCAAATAATTCTTTGGAAATTCTTCTTAGATTCTCGAGAAAGTAGAGTCTTCATTAATTTAGAACTCGCTAATCGAGAAGTGAGACGAGTTGCCGACTTGAAATTTATAAATACGGAAACGAACCGTGAGTCCGCTGGTTTATAGAGGTAATTAATTTAGGAAAAAAAAAAGAAAGTAGATTGCTAATTTCGGAGCCGTTAATTGAGAAAAGTTCCGTTAGAATTTAATTTCCAGCACCGCTCCCGAGAGATTGAACTTTTTGTCCTGTCGGTGCAACCTCGATGACGGAATTGTTCAGGAAAGAAACTCTTCCCAGGAATTCGAAGAGAACGATCCCGTTCCTCACCATTGACCATAAGATCGTAAAGTTTCTCGCAGAGTCACGTTATTAGCAGAATTTTTCCGCTTACCCGTCCTCGAGACTCGGATTACACCGCCGTCTCGTCGGCGAATACCGGATCCCACGATTTTGAGGTTAAGTCTCGCGACTGAAGGGGGAGGGGAGGGCTGTCAAACTAGCTCGGAGCCGCGCACAGCTGTCCGTCTGTCACCCAGTCGTCGATGACGACGACGAATCGCCAGGATCGGACGCGAAACGTTCAGGCGTCCTCTCGTCCGTCGACGAAGGAATGTCGTCAACTTTTACGTGCAGCGCTGCTCAAATTAATGTCCCTTCGTAAATATGCGAACGCGACCGCGTGAGCGTCCTGGTTAGGGGGACAACTTACGTAAACTGCCTGGCGGTCACATGTCAAATTCGAACGATCGACGCGAGCGTCGCCAGCGAATAGGAATATATATCTCTTCCGATGCGTTTCTTCTTTTTTCCTTCTCTCTCTCTCTCTCTCTCGTTCTCGCGCACGTCACAATAATCCGAGTCTTCAGAGGTACGGATCCTCGACGATCGTGGCTCCTTCGAGTGTCGCCGTCGCGCTTATCGGCGTTTCCTCTGGAAGATAGAAAGCCCGGCTGTGCAACGACACCATTTCCAAGCGTACGCACAACGAACGCGTATATATATATATATATATATATGTATATGTACGTGTGAACGGGAAGAGGGCTCACTCGGGACGACACGGAAAACCGTCCGTTTTTGGCGTTACGACGCGAGACGAGGCGAGGCGAGGCGAGAGAGAGACGACGTGTTGATGATAATCGTCGCCGCGCTGCGCCGTGACTGGCCGAGCGGCCACAACTCCACGCTCAATCGATTCAAAATGGCCGCCGCCGCTGCGCAACCGAATGCACGCGTCCGTCCGAGTCGCGCGGTACCGTCCCGAGGATAAGTCCATCCGCGACGAGATCTCTCTCGCGGACAAGATGCACCGCGCGGCGACGCGATCTATACGCACACATACCTATATACACATGTATATATATGTATACACACACACGCGCGCGCGCGCACGCACGCACGCGGCTAGAGAGGCAGGCCTATTTCCCTTGGCCGCGCGCGCGGAAGAGCTTGACAGACGGCGGCGGAATCATCGCCGTCGCCCGCCGACGTCGCACTGGACTACGACGACGCCTTCTCACGACGAGGACGCCCTGGCAGACATGGTGGATGCTCTTCGAGAGGAGATTATATCATTCCAGTCTCGTCGATTGGTCGTGTTCGAGATGACGACGATGATGATGATGATGATGATGGATGATGATGATGATCGGGCGCCGGGTTTATCGATCGCGCAACATCACCCGGGACGATATTGGCACTCTTCTTCTTCGCGACGTCGAGAGACTCGCGCGAACAGAGGGTTGTCAAGGACCTTTATACTTTAGAGAAATTAGTCTCGAGAGAGTACGAGTCCACGTTCGGTAACTACGACGAAATATATATACGTATGTATATACATATACGTATGCGACGAGGACGCCAAGAGTCCAGGGGGCTTGACGTAGGTCCGCCCCGAGGCCCTACGATCACCAAGCGATCGCCGCGTTTCCGCGCGTTCTCGCGAGCGGACGAATATCTCCGGGAGAAGCCGAGGCGGAACGCCGCTTCGCGCGGACACTTTCCCGTCGCGACGCACGACAAGAAGCGGAGTTCTCGCTTTTGCGCAGAGGAACCCAGAGCGGCGACGGCGGACCAGCCGCTCGGCCTCCGAAAATGTCGTCTGGCGTGCCAGGCGCGTATCAATTCGAAGGAGCACCCACGAGGATCCGAATATATCTATCTGTCAGATCGAGCATAGATTTTTTTTTTTTTTTTGAGGAGGAAGGGATTTTTAAAAACACTTAGGCCCGTTTCTACCAACGTCGATTAAATTATATATTTGTCTCTTTTCAAATAAGTTCTTAAAAAGAGACAAAGATATAGTTTAACCGGACGTTTAATTTAAAAAAAAAATATATATATATATCTGTCAGATCGAGCATAGATTTTTTTTGAGGAGGAAGGGATTTTTAAAAACACTTAGGCCCGTTTCTACCAACGTCGATTAAATTAAATCTTCGATTCAATTATATATTTGTCTCTTTTCAAATAAGTTCTTAAAAAGAGACAAAGATATAGCTTAACCGGACGTTTAATTTAATCGACGTTGGTCGATAGAAACGGGCCTTAGAGGAGTACTTTCATGTTATCGATCGAAAATTAATTGATTTGGCTATACGGATTATTCCTGAAATTACAAGCTAACGCGGTTTGTTAATATTAATACTTTAATTGTGATTGTAATCCAGAGGACATTCGAACATACTCCGGATGTTCTCTGTACGTCTTCGGGATATGTATGCTGTTAGGGATCAGTCTATATAGCTAATCAAAATATAAATAAAAAATTAAAATATTTTAATGAATAAAAAACCGTATAGTCAATAAATAGATTTATAGTCGAACCTCAGTTTTCGATTGATAAAGCAGAACTAATCAGGCGAGAAAACACAAATTCTCGCGTGCCATTTTTAGATAAAAAGATATTTCGATGAAACATTACTTCAGATAGCTTTAGCGTACTCCAGAAATAGTCCGAAAACTATCCTTTTCTATTTATAATCAATCAACAGCTGTAAAAAGATTGTAATATGAGGTGCACATTATCTTCGTTGGTATTACAGCTGATCGGTTTCGCGAAGAAAAAATGCGTGATTGAAATTCGATCGGAAATCCCCGAGGTGCGAAGGACTCGCGTTACGGCTTTGGACTTTAAATCGCGCGCGTCATCGAGGATCGATATATCTCGAAGCTGTGTTTGCGATATATTCGATGTCGACTTCTTTCATTATCGTCGCTGACACTCTGACACGCCGGACGGACGTTTTTTGCGTCAGTTGCGTTAGTAAAGACGATTCTCGCGAGTTGCGAAGCGATTAATTTCGGAGATAATCCTTGACACGCGCTATCTTGCAGATAGATATTACCGCAGTGAACGAGAGAACCTACGCGGGAAAATGACGGAGTCGGAGAATATTTTCTTGTTCGTGCCGAATATCATCGGTAAATACCTGAGATCATGTGTCCTTACGTTAATTACGTCTTGCTATTGAGAGATACATGCATTATTTAATATGTGCCTACGTTGAAACGAATCGCAGTAGTTTACGTTCGATCGGCATTTACGTCGATGCCCGCCAAGATACGATTGAAACGAGACGTGGATCAAATATTGGATTCTCTTTCGCCAAGTCGTCCTGTCGTATAAATGTATTTAATTGATCAGACGTATGTACAAATTGTGCGACGCTTTTAAGGTTGCTCGGTATTGATTGAATCGGTGCGCTACTTATTCACTGCGTAATATTCATATCGGTCACAGCAGATAATAAATTTTCTTTGTCATAATTTCTCTCAAGTCATAGCGTGTTTTAGTACTTTTAGAATTTCATGGATGTGATTGTTTTACAATTGACAATCATTTATCAAAAAGCAGAAAGATGAGCAAATCCTAAATCTTATGTATGTATTCAACAGGTTTCGGCAGGGTAATTTTGGCGCTAATTTCCTTTTACTTTATGCCCACCAATTATGTTATTGCATCATGGTGTTACGTGGTCAGTTCGTTATTGGATGCGATAGATGGCCATGCGGCAAGGTATTACAACCAAAGCACAAAGTTTGGCGCAATCTTGGATCAGCTGACGGATAGAGTTGGCACAATGTGTCTTATGGTCACGTTATGTTTGTTTTATCCTACCTATACCTTTTGGTTTCAATTGAGCATGGCTATCGATATAGCATGTCACTGGATATATTTGCACACGTAAGGAATAACATGTAACACAATTTATAATACGTACAAAGGAGACTAGAGAATATGTATACATTATTGTCTTATCAAAATGCAACAGGACTCTTTTACAAGGAAAGACCAGTCACAAATTTATCGACATGTCTGAAAATCCAATCATGAGACTGTATTACACAAATCGTACAGTACTATTCTTCATGTGTGCTGGTAATGAAGCATTTTACGCTGGTTTATATCTCTTACACTTTACCGAGGGACCTATCTGTGAGTAGCATAAAATATTTTCTTTTACAAGGATACAAAGCAAAGGAAATATTGTCTAATATTTTATTTTTTTAGTGGCTGGTATCGGTCTGTACAGATTAATTGTATATCTGAGTGCTCCAATAGCATTTGTCAAAGCTGCTATTTCTGTACTGCACGGATATGTATCGTGCATCAATCTCAGCATTATTGATGTAAAAGAGCGCCAAGAGCGACTTAAAGTGAATTAAATCTCTTAACCTATAAATGTTTACTAGTCAAGTTGAATGTGATTAACAGTTCTTCCGTAAACTGATGCACGTGCATGTTTACATAATTCCATATATATTTTTAAGAAAGAAAGAAAACTATATGGCAAAAATCTCTCTATTTGACTTAAGTACTTATTGTTAGTGCATAGAAAATATTATACCTTGAAATTAGCACAAAGATAATGACCAAATTCTTTATTCCTATCAAAATATATGTGAAATGTATACTTTTTCAAAGAAAAGAAAAAAGTTATTTTAATAATATTAATAATGCTGACTAAGTAGTTTTTCATGTAGTGCTCTGTAGCATTTATTATATCAATGAATTATTAATGTGCTATTTTCTGAATTTTTGATATATTTATTTTTGTTATAGAAATTATTAAGTACAGTAAATTGATACTCTCTGTGTGTGTTTAGTAAATTTTTAATAGTAACATAATTTAGAGAAGATCTGATATATTCTTCTCATAATTAATGTATGTAATAAAACTGAAGAATTTTATTATATAGAACATAAGTGATATTGTAGTGAGCAGTATGTTGAATAAAACCTAATGTTAAAATATCTCTTTGTATATTTAATGTACTATACATTTAAATTTATTTTAATTTTATAATTTTTGTTTAATTTTAATTTCCAAATATATTTGCATGTATATGTATAGTAAAAATTATATCCAGAAAGCATCTTTTTAATCAAATAAATATTAGTTTTGCAAAATAGAAACTTAAATCTAAGATTATATAATATCAATAATCAGATATAATCAAAGAATAAAAATAATTCATCAGTTATTTCCATTAATTATTAAATATAAGAAAAAATAAGTAAATTGACATTCACATAAATCAATCAAATTCTTTGCAAAGAATTAGCCATTTTAGTTGTAGTTTTTCGTGTGACCTTGATTTTGCTATGTACATTAATTATGTAGAAGGATAAAGAATGTTAGGTCCTCTAAAAAATCGCGTTACTATACTGAAAAAATATTGAAACACAGAGAGCTATATATATTAAACTTTACAATTTCTACAAAGGTAAATATATAAAAAAAAAACTTGGACAATAAATCACCGGTCTTGTGATAATAATAATAAATGCGACAACACATGAAACATCGACGTAAAAAAAATGACGTGCATGATATATCATAATTAAGGCACTTATATGTACGAATCCGAAAACACGTTAATAATTAAAATACGTGACAGGTAGATTCGCACGCGTATACGCGTCGAAAGTATAATAAAATATATTTAGGGCTGCGAGTGGGCGAAATAATTGGCGAGAGGACAAATGAAATCCTCTCGCAAGGATCGCGACAATTAAACGCATAATGACAAGAACCGATAACGGATATACTAACCTCAAAGGTTCCATCGTTCCCCCAACATGACCAGTCATAATTTCGGCGCCATGTTATCACTTCAAACACTCGCGCATGTTGGAAAAGTTGGTGGAAAATTCGGTCGGATTTTCTCCTTAGCCTTGGATTATCGCGGAAGGTGAATTTCCTAGGGCGCCGTAGACGGGGAAAGCCTAGGGAGGAAACGCTCCGGTCGTCGTCCCGTCCAGGATACGCGCGCGTACGATCCGCGCGATACGCGTAGCAAAGTTACAATATTTATAAAAACAGATGAGAATTTTCACAGCTCACCGGCACGCACCGCGGACGGCGATTCGCAGCGAACAGCTGCGAGGGCGCCACCGTCGCCGTCATCAGCCAGAGGCGGTCCGCCACTGATATTTGAACCCGAGGATAACCAACCACATCCTGCCTGTGTAACCGAATATGCCCTTTCGAGCGATAAAATCAACAAAGTATATTGGTTGATGCCTTTGTATAATTATATTTCGATGTCCCTCTCTCGCAAACGACCGATAATTAAAACACATAACTAGAAATAATTTTTTTTATTTTATGATAGAAAAATTCTCTTTTACAACGAACATTTTTGAACAAACCATTAAAAATACATTATCGAAATTCCTCTTTTTTTTTTTTATAATTTTGCTTTTAATCAAATTAAAAAAAATAAAATTTATACTAATACACTCGAGAATACATACTAATAAAATACTAATAGAACGACTAAAAATACATTATTGGGATCCCTACGTGCGTCTTTTTTTTAAATTTTGCTTTTAATCAAATTTCAAAAATAAAATTTTTTCGAATATATGTCGGAAATCGTTTCAAATCATTATATGTAGGATATATTAGTATTTCATTTCCAGATTTGGCATCTTCTACTTTGACTCCTCCAATCAACATATTTTTTGTATCTCCCTCTGGCAAACTTGAATCTATGAAATCAAGGTCTATCAATTTTTTCAAGAATTCATTCAATACATCCCTAAAAGTAAAAAAATATAGCATATTATCACAAAATTGATCTTTTCTTCTATAACTAAAAATGTCTACAAATTTTATATAGAATCTTAATTATAGATAATTTATGTATTTTAAATATTTCACCTGCAGATTTCATTTGATACAGTACTTGTTACCTCCACAAACACTGTCTCAGTGGATGGAGATACTTTAGTTATATTACTGCTGACGATAGGTGGAAATGATATAATATCTTTTGAGTCGTCTATCAAACATGGGTATAAGGATTTCGATTTCAACAAATATAAATATTCATATCTTTTACTGTAGCTTTCATTTTTTTTAATTATGCATTCAGTTTCAGCTTCTGCTTCCAATTGTTCAAACAAAAGTTTTCCCGTATATTTCATGTTGCGTGATAAAGGTGTAATATTTAATTCTTCAGGTTTCTTTGTTGTATATATCAGATCCCCTAAATCATAAAAAATATGTCAGTAAAATATTAATATAACACTAATATTTTTTATATTAAATATTTGTTGATATTCTTTTTACCATTTGCTATAGAGTCCATATCATGAATTGCTATTGCAGCTTTTGTTTTAAAGACACACATTTCATCCTGTAATTTTCTGTGCAGCTGAATAAAGTTTTTGTAGCTTTGCACTGTGAAATTTATTTTTTTTATAATACATGCAGCTATGAAAGGTCTGATCTCTTTGAAGCAATCAATCTCTACTTTTATCACTGTTACACTTCTTTCAAATTTTAATAAAGGTCTCAAATCCTTCTTCTCTCTCCATTGTTCCTGAACTGAATTATCTTCTGGAACGTATCGTTGAAGTCCCACATACGCCTTAATCTCTTCTGTTTGATCCATACGGGAACATAACAGTTGTAGTTTTTCATCACTCATATTATTCTGTTGTAGATTCAGCTTCTTTAAAGGACAGTGTGCTAATTCCTTTGGTAGATCTATAATGAAATATAATTATTATTATACTTATTTTCTTGCACATTTGAGTTTTTTTTACAAATATTTGTTTATGCAAAACATTAACAACCTTAATAATGAAAAAACATATAAAAGATGCAACATAGAAATATTAAACCAATATTTTATATTACATACCTATAAGTAAATTATTCTCAAGATTTAAGACCGCCAATTCTGAAATAACCGATGTATTACACGGTATATAAAGTATCTTATTCCCATTGAGGTAAAGCTCCGACAGACTTACAAAATTGTAGTTACGAATGTTGGGAAAGATCGTAAAGTTATTGTCTGCCAGATTTAAGATCTTCAATGCTGAAAACTCAAAGCTAAGGGACAGCTGTGGAACAGTTGTTATCATATTCCCATTAAGATAAAGCTCCAACAGATGTGTAAATTCTTTGTGACAGATGTCGGGAAAGTCCTTAAACTTATTGTCTGCCAGATTTAAGATCTTCAATGCTGAAAGTTTCTTGAAGCTAGGTGGAACAGTTTCTATCATATTCCTATTAAGATAAAGCTCCGACAGATTTTCAAATTCTGAGTAACAAATGTCGGGAAAGATCGTAAAGTTATTGTCTGCCAGATTTAAGATCTTCAATGCTGAAAGTTTCTTGAAGCTAGGTGGAACAGTTTCTATCATATTCCCATTAAGATAAAGCTCCGACAGATGTGTAAATTCTTCGTGACAGATGTCGGGAAAGTCCTTAAACTGATTGTCTGCCAGATTTAAGGTGCTCAACATGACATTTGCACGCATCAATGTTAAACGTGACAAACGATTCGAGGAAAGGTTCAGCCTATGCAGCTTAGGAAGCTCCAACGAGCATTTCTTCAATTTGTTGTGCGAGCAATCAAGCACCTGTAATTTCTGCAAATTGTTGATCGTGTCCGGTAACTCCTCGATCTGGTTCGAACGCAGTACCAGCTCCGTAAGATCCTTCAATTTTTCAATTTCCTTCGGTATGCTCCACAAGCATGTTAGCGATATTTTCAGATAAGTAAGATTTTGATTATTAAACAGCGTCTTATCCAGGCCGTTCTGTTTTTTTATCGCTTCATTAATATGCGAACCGATTAGCGTCAAGTGATGCTGGTTTCTATCAAGTAATTTGACACGCACCGATTGGTCCATCATCATTAATACACTTTGTTAACTTTAGTCGCAAATTTTAGCTTTGTCCTGTGCGAAATACAGAAAATGTGCTTGAGGACAAACATTTTTTCAGATTATATATTTATACTTTCGTGTATGATGTCGAGTTAAGGTCAAACGATATCCGGACGTGGATGTAAACACGTGTACATATGTCAACCAGTGTTACCGGATGTAAAACTAAAATTTCCCCACTCAAGCTTAGAAAAGTCTTTAAAATTCCTTATTTGAAATTTAAAAATTCTCTACTTATTCCGAAAATTCCCTACCCATTTCAAAATATTTGAAAATAAAGAAAAACAATATTAAAGTATTCATTTTTAACAAATATATTGTATGTATCTGTTTAAAAAAATGAATAAGTCACAAATTTCTCTTAAACAATAGTTAGAAGTTGTAAAAATAAACAAATTTTTATTTTAGAAATTGAGCAAGAATATTTTTCGTAATAATAATAATAAAACTATAAACTATTATCGATAATAAAATATTAATAATAGAATTACATAAATAAATAATTATGAAACAAATTATAGTTATTACCTATTAAATAAGAAAAATAAAAGTTACTGTCTATATTTTAATTTGCATTAAACATAAAAGTAAAAATTATTTTCTCTAAATTTTATTACATTTTTTAAGAAATACAAAGCACCACTTAAAATTATATAAACTGAAAATTAGATTTTTAATAATTTTTAAAGCCTAATATCACAATAAGAAATAATATTAAAAAATTATTATTAACTATCCCTATACGTCCGACAAACATTAAATCTTTAATCGTATAAATGGAGATGGGGAATGTTTCCGTTTGACCATTGACCAGGCACCTTAGAAAGATATATATATATATTCTAAGATGGCCACTCATCAGCTGGTCAGCTGGTGCCTAGGAATTTTTCGTACTTTAATCATGCAATGGGAGGTTTTTGTTCTCAATCGGGATGTGGTCAAATGGGTGCAACTTGTATAAATGTAATTTCTCCACATTTCTCTACCAAAAAAAAATCCCACACATTCTTTACGCACCTTAAAATTTCTCTACAAATAGAGAAATTTCTCTACGTCTGGTAACACTGATGTCAACACGCGACTTAGATTATGTTTTTTCAAAGAATGACAAATTAGAGAGAGAGAGAGAGAGAGAGAGAGAGAGAAAAAAAATCAAAATTAAAAAATATTGTTTTTTTGTATAAATTACACGCTTTTAAAAATATTAAAGAAAATATATTGCTCTTGAGACCGCTTCGAGCAAGTTGCGATTAATCGATTAATCGATTAATTGAACGAATAACTTATAATCGATTAATCGACGATTTAAAATTGCTCATAGCCAAATTTCTATATATACATACATATGATATGATATTCTATACATAAATAAATATAAAAATATATTATAATATTTATAATATATTATATATATATATATATATATACGATATTAAAATTTAATTGTTGACTAAATTAATCGAAACTTGATCAAAATGAATTTAAAGATATATATACTCAAGACATATTTCTCAAAATATGAGAGTAAAAGTAAACGCCTGAAATACGCAAACCAATTTACAAAAATGAAAGTATGTAAAACGGACAGTTGTGACATGTCTACTAAGTAAGGTTTGAGTCTCTACTAAGTAGAGGGTTTGAATCTCTTCTAAGCAACGCACGTGCCATTGTCTAATCTTGTTTAAGGAGATCCTAAATATCCTTGAGAAGCCAGTTGTTTTTTTTCATCGACAAAATATATGAGGTTAAATAAACTATAAATCTATTTATTGGCTGTACGGCTATATTGTTTTTACCTGAAATTAGAACGCTTCCTCCTTTGTTAATATTATTACTTTAATTTGTTCAAGAAGAAAATTTATCAATCTGTATAGTCTCATATATCTTGGTTACAGAATTATGAATTCTAAGCATTCATAATTCTGTAACCAAGATATATAAGACTATACAGATTGAAAAATTTTTTTCCTAGACAAATTAAAGTATTAATATTTTAATATTAAAACAAAGAAGGAAGCGTTCTAATTTCAGGTAAAAGACCATCCATATAGCCAATAAATAGATTTATAGTTTATTTAACCTCATATTTTGTCGATAAGAAAGGGAAAAAAAGCAACTGACTTCTCAAGTCACTCCAGCATCCCCTTAATGATTTTATTTAATTTTACTTAATTTTATTTTGAATAACTATCAAACTGTTAACCCTCGCGATGACAGTCGCTCAATACTACAAGAATATAATGCGATAATAAATAAATAGTTTTTGCTGAAATAAAGACAAAGTTTTTAAACTAAATAAAATGCAAAACACTATTAAAAATGGTTCTCTATATTTAATTAAATTGTTTTATCATTTAAATCATATATTATACATTATTTTGTTTTTCTTTATTTCTTTTTCTTATTTTTTATCGGTATACTTGACCTGACACCAGGATTGTAAGTACTATCGTAGATTATCATAATCAAATATATAATGTACAACATGAAAGAAATATTTTTGATATTTCATACATTAAGTACTCATACATTGTCGACATAGATGATAAAACGCATTCCACATTGTTTGCGCGTAGATATTCTAGCTATTAGTTACGCGTAAGTGCCCAACCCTGGTAAAGATAAAACCAGAAGAGAGAGGAATGACCTGTATGTAAATAAATACGCGAACTGATTTATTTATTTCAACCAAAAATTATCGTAATAGCTCGTATATATAATAGCAAAGGAAGAACGAGTTTCTGTGACATTTCGTTGTAACGATTTCCTATGTCCTATTAGATATGTCGAAACTGGTTTTCGATAGTGGTCTAAAAAAGTAGAACTTTTCCCTTAATCTCTTCGCTACGTATCTCCATGTAATTAAACGTTCTATGAGTCATTTATAGATTGACAGACAAATACAGATGACAAAATCGCTGAAGAAATATAAATGACTCGTCAAGTGTAAATAGATTTGAAGAATTGAATTTTTTTACTAAGCAGAATTGATTTTATATAATCTCAGAATAAGTAAAGTATATATATTTTTCGATACGCAAACTATATATATATATATATATATATATATATATATCTTATCCATCGCAAACTAGCGATTATTATGATATTCAAATGATATTTAAACCACCAACCTTGGCTATTGAAGATTAAATACTTCCGAAATGCCGAGGTTCTTCGATGACAAATGTTTGGTCGGCGGAATTTGCATGTGAATGATTCGCGCGAGATACTAATCCCTGTACTTATGAAACAAATGTGCTAATATAAGTGCCGCTCTCCGATTACGTAGGTCGTACTTGACACTTCTAAATAATTTCTTCCTCCGAGAGAAGGGAAACGATATACTCTGTATTGTCTCTTTTTGTCCTTCGTGTATTTATATATAATGTTTTTTATCGCTTAAAATAAAAATATCGAGCAATTCCAAATTTATATTAAAGCATTTGAATAATTAAGCAATTTATCTCTCGAAATTGATCAAAAATTAAGCGTCTCTGAAAGCTGATAGAGTTTTATTTAATTACGATTTTTTTGCCAAGGCAAAGGTTGCGAATCTATATTCCTGTATCTTTTAAATTTAAACCTTGGGTAGGGTAATGATTGATATGTTATCGAAATAGCTGAAAAAAATTTGGATACTTCTTGAAAGTAATCGCCGTGTCGGAAGGATTAATGACTCACGCAGGTGACCTCGGTGGTTCTTGATGTCGCACCTTCTAGACTAGACGATATCAAAGAGATACCGGATGCGCAAATCGGAACTCATGGTTATCAACGGATGGCCCCGATCACTTCCGGAACCGCTACCTACACGACTTCATCCGCACCGGGTGGGGCACGGATTTCTTCGACGCGAGGTATAAAAACACCGGAATACGACATTCAAGTGGGACTATGTCATTGCATTCGCGCCTTCGTCGTTACATATAAGAAACCGAATCGGCGAACCTGATTTAATAACGACCATGTCGAGTCGACCGTCGACCACCCTTGTATGGACGCTCGTCGTTCTTACGACGATGTTGTCGACCGACGTCGAGGCTTGGCCGACGTTTCGTCGTCGAGACGTCTTCGACAACGTCGTGGACAGTCCTGACGGATTGATCGCTCATCTGCGAAATCTCGGTGGATCACTCTACGGATTCCCGAGCAACGTCACAGGACTGAGGGTCGCGCAGTGGCACGAGGGTATGGACGTGAATCCTGAAGAGTTGGGCGAGTACGTGGAGGGAGACATCCTATTTCCGCCGATCACCGGAAGAAGCGGCCTCGCGGCGGTCTCCGCTCGATGGCCCGGTGGCATCATTCCTTTTATCATCAGTCCTTATTTCAGTGAGTAGAAAAGAGAGACTCTTTCAAACTTCAACATCTTCCCTGATGGAAAATTCGGTATTTTTTCTGTTACACAGAGAAAAATTTCAGTCATATTATTTTGACGTCGAATGACATCAGTTTTTCCCAGTGAGCATTATTGATAGGATGAACTTTTAAGAGAACTTTTTAGAGACTTAATTAATTTTTCTTAGAAATGATATCAGTAAGATGTCTTCAAAAAGTAAAGTGTTTTTTTATTCAAAAATAATTAAATTCTTTTTGTATTTTGCAAAATTCTAATAAAATGTTATAAAAGAAATGTATACTAAGAGTTATGTTTTTTTAATATAAAAATATGTAAAAATATAATACACTATACAAATAGCAATTTTAACGATAATCTTTTTTTGATATTTAAAAAAAGTCAGATTGTGAAATTCTTTTAGATGTCATTTATGTGATGTCTTTCTTTCCTCTAAAATCGATTCATTGGAGGACTTATTGATGTCATAATGTTATCATTTTCATTATTATGAATTTTTTTTGATAACATATCGTCACATATTATCACTGTGTTACTTATTGAGAAAGCACAAAGCTGATGCTTCGATCATCAGTTGATTAAAAAACTAGTATTTCGACATTCACATCCGAATAATTTCCCAGTGAGCAATATGTTATCAAAAGAATTGTCATCTCTATATTTTATGCTCAAATATATATTTAATAATATTTATAATTTAAGAAAGAAAGATTACCTTAAAAACGTTAATATCGAAGAACGTAAATGCTATCTCCTTAATTGGAATCCAATTCGCAAGCACGCGGTTCACACGTATGTTGCTAAAATAACTTAATGGCACGCTTGCTAGAGACTCTACAGACATCATAAAGAGCTCTTCTGAAAAATATGTTACAAAAAGATTACTTACTGATATCATTTCTAAGAAAAATTAATTAAGTCTCTAAAAAGTCCTCTTAAAAAGTTCATTCTCTCAATAATGCTCACTGAGTTGCTTAATATTGAAGACGGTCTCTTTTACTGTTTATAATTCTTGTATTTTCTCGTGTTTTTTTTCATGAAACTTATGTCGCACAGATGCGCAGCAACAAAAAATCATATACGACGCGATGGACGATTATCACAGGTACACGTGTATCAGATTTAAGCCGTATACGGGTCAGGAGAACGACTTTATCAGAATTACGGCCGGCAATACTGGATGCTGGAGCAGCGTGGGCAGAACTGGAGGTCGTCAAGACGTGAATCTTCAGGTGCCTGGTTGCCTAACGCAGAAGGGCACCGTGATACACGAGCTGATGCACGCTGTCGGCTTTTTGCACGAACACAGCAGATACGAGCGAGATGACTACGTCAACATTCTGTGGCAGAATATTGAACCGAGTATACATTTTTGTATTTTTATTTAAACATAACAACATTTTTTTATCTGAACAAGATGATCATTTTTTCTCTCGATCAGTTTCTGTCACAATTAAAAATTCTACGAAAAAATTAACTTTTTTAAAATATAAATTTAATTAAATTTAATTAATATTGATGAATTTAATACAAGTTTATAAAACTGAAGTCAATCAAAAAATTTAATTGAATGTTTAATTGATGTTATTTATTTTTCGACATTTTTATACAGAATCTCTTCAGAATGAAAAACGCTGTTATGTCAGTTAAATTTCATATACTCGTCGATTCCTGACCAAAGTTATCGGTTACCTAATACATATATTTATCATGTGTATTATGTATCTAGGTCACACGCACAATTTCAATAAGGCCCCGGCAGAAGTTACTGACGCTTTTGGTGTCGGTTACGATTATAGCAGCGTGATGCACTACTCGTCAACAGCGTTCTCCAAGAATAATCAATTAAAGACCATCGTGGCCAAAGTAAGCGCGCTATTTATAATGTATCATTTTTATAAATGTTTTTGTTCGCTTTTTCGCTTTCATGATGTGATGAAAAAGAGAGGAGAAAAACAGCACACATTTTGCAAATCACGAGCTTCTGAATATATATGTACATGTGTATGCCTCTGTATTTCTGTGCCTGTAGAATCTACAAGACGGTGGCATTTTGGATTTTATTGGTGGAATCTTCCAGGGTAACACCAGAGAGAAACTCGGTCAGAGAGAAGGTTTCAGTAAGAAGGACATTCTGAAGATCCGAAGAATGTACAAATGTAGCGAACGTGCTGGTTTTTACGATATCGATGATTAGCGATGGAACACTTTAATATAGCATATTGAGAGAAAATGGCCGGAAACAGGATATGTAATCATTATAAGAAATTCCTAATTATAAATAATTAAGAATGTTTGTTTGCGCAATAAGAAAAGAAGACATCTAGTCTTACGTATAAAATACATGACTTCTTAAAAAGCTAAGAGATATATCGAATGTGTGTGTGTGTGTGTGTGTGTGTGATCAGTATTATTATCTGTTACTGCAATTGTTAGCATATATTATAATACAATGTTATGAATGTATCAACGTTCTCTTTAAGAGTTACATACATATATGTAATACTTACATGCCTGTAACATAAGTGCATTACACATATTGTGACATATTTCTCCGTCGAAAGTTTTTCAATCCAATTTTTTTTGTTGACGATCAACTACTGATCAAAGTTTCGACATAATAGCGAGAGGTTGAAAATTTTAGGTTGACAATTTTTATTCGATATAAGGAAAAAAAAACACGTTACGTTTATCTCAAGCTGACGACCTCGAAAGACATGAGATAACATATTTCGCGATAAAATATTCTTTATTTGTACATTATTTTACGGAGCGATTCGTTGAAGAGTACACTGCGGTAATGTACTATTTACACAGTTACAAAGTCACTTATTCTATTTATTGTCGGTGGAAATGCAGAGGAAATTTGCGGAGACAATCGAAATGGTTGGCTTATTATAAAAGTTATCGCGATCAATGAATCTATTTGGTACGAAGAAAAAAACAAAACGAACTTAAACGTACAATATACCAAATGAGCGTAGAATAAAATCCTTGTCAAAAATAGAATAAAATCTTACATATCCTGTCATGTAACTAGAAAAAGCTATAATACTATTTTGCTCGTTGGTAAAATAATTTTATGCTAAAGAATAATCTCTCGTTCTGACAGAGATTATTTAACATAACTTACAAAAGTACACACTAAGTAATACTCTAAGATCCTAATTAAATGTAATTAATTAATCGTCAAAATTTCACAAGATTGTCTCTGAAAAAGGTGAATCTATATATGTTTCAAATGTACGTGTCTTTCATCTATAACGAGAAATTCGAAGAATGCAAAAATCTCAAACTTTCTTACAATCTTTTTAAATTATCTGCGTTGCCTGAAACACGAGATTTTTTTGCAAAATTCATAATAAGAATCATTCGATTTTAAATCAGCTGAAATCAGTCGACCCAAGTTTTCTTGATGAAGTCTGCCGCTCTTTCGCCTGTAACACGTTTTAATTTCCGGATGTGCAAAGAGGAGAAAAGAAAAGTAAGGGAAAAAATATGAAAGAAAATAGATATACCGATCATGATCGCCGGAGCATTTGTGTTGCCGGATGTCACCTTCGGCATGATACTCGTATCGGCCACCCTCACTCCTCGAACCCCTCTGACACGCAATTGATTGTCAACCACGGCGAAAGGATCGTCCGGTGGTCCCATCTTGCAGGATCCAGCTTGATGATTCTCAGGCGCAGTGTCATGACGGATCGCGCATTCCCAATAAGCGTCGCAGCCAAATTTCAGATGCTCGCAATTTTTCACGGGAGTTCGATCCAGCTCAAAACCGTATCTAAAAGGTTTTTTTTTTTAAATCGCAATATAAACAAATTTTATTTACCAAGTTACACTTTATTATTGTTCGTAAAATATGAGAAAAATTTTCTCTCTAAAAATATATACGTGCACTTTGACAAATAGGTATTAATAAAAATCTAGTATTGTTCGAGAAATGATAGTACATAAAATATTTGACGTGAGACGTTTACTCTGTTGGAATTTATTTGATAAAATAAACAACGTTACTCTTCTACCGAGAAAAGCTGTTTCGCTTCATTTTTGTTTGTATAAAATAAAGATAAAAAAAGAATAAAAGTTAATACTTCTTGAGTGCTTGGGTCTCCGATAATCTGATGCTAAACTTGACAGCTTCTACAAGAGCGGCCGCGTCGTCGGCGTGAGTCAGATACTTGGGGTAGATCAGCGGCTTCGAGAGTGGATCGTTGTTTCGCAAGCGCAGATAACCGCGGCTCTTCGGATGCAGGATCGTCGGGATGATGTAGATGCTGCGGTTTGCTCCCTTCTTCTCACCCACCATGCCGGTCTCCGCGCAATCGGCCAAGTAACCACCGAAGATTAGCTGAACGTCGGGATGATCCTCCCTCGGATCAGCGTACTTGGTATTTATCATCGCCGTCACTTCGGATATTCCTAAGCCAACGCCATGTTATCGATAATTACCTCTTCTGTTTACAGTTTGTGACTATTATTATATATATTTTATTATATTATTATATATAATATTATTATTATATATTATTATATTAATTTCTTACTTATTTATAAATTAATATAAATAATTATTATTTGAAAATATTTCTAAGTCAATGCCAAAAGCGATGTCATTAATAAGTACTTCTTTTTCACAATTTTGCCATTATTAAAATTAATTTCTTGTTTATATAATAAATCATTATAAATAAATTACAAAATTAAATTAAATTAATAATCGCAGTGCTGAAAAGCATGATATACTTTTGATATAACCGATTATTATATTTAACAAATAAATCGTAAAAACGAGTCGGTGTGTAACAATGATTTCTCAGAGACTCACAATATCCGAATAATTTGTGCTTCGATCAATTATTGGATTGCTGAGGCGAATTCAATCCGTCAATGCGAATTCTTGATTCATAATTAATCACCCTTTCAGGCGTCAGTTTGAGAAATGATACCCGAATCACGTTGTTTCTGCAACACTTAACATTAATCCGAATCCGTCTTATACCTTTTACGTAATTTAATCGTTCGAATCGCGTAGCTGCGGGCTGTATTCAGCGAGAGAGCCACGCTATTATATGCAACGTTTCCCCGGGGGCGATTCGTGCGAGTCAACGAGAAGGGCGGGAGAGACACGATTTTAACGCGAAGGAGCTCAGTCCCCTTCCGCGATGGGGGCTCGTTAAGAACTGAGAACTCGGCTCGGGGCTATCGATCGTTCCGAATACCTTAAAAAGCCCTCTGGGCTGTGACCGAGCCGAGTCTCTCGTGAAAGGGATACGTTTATTATTATTATTACAACAAGCGGCGAAATATCCGTATGCGGATATTTCCTCAACAATTTGCGCGGTTGAATTCCGGTCGCGCTTTTCGCAATTTATCTCCCTGTCTTTGATTATTAACGATCGAGAAAAGTTTCGCGCAAAATCGTCTATCGTATCGCTTAATCGAGTTCGTTAATTAAACGAAGACGAAAAAAGTTTAGCCAAAAGTTTCGAACAAACTTTCCCGCATATTCACCTCCTTATTGTTTATCGATCGATGTAATAACGCGAAGGGAAGTATCTGTTCTGTAACGACACTCTATGACCTATACAACTTTTTTCGCTATTATTACTTGCTAACACACGCGATATGTAATTTAGCCATGATGACAATGTAAACGTATAGATATATAATAGTAATGGCCATAAACGACGGTCGTGAATGAGAGGGATGAATTGTTCATATTAATTTACAGAACATTACAATGCACACATACTGGACATTACTGCGCTATTATTAAGCATTAACCATTAACATCATTTCATAATGTTATTATTATGAGAGAAAAATTATCAATAGAGATAAGTTAAATAATTATGGTCATTGTGTGAAATAGCTATTATCTAAATAAAATTATATAAATGATCATCCAGATAAAGTTTTGGCATCATCTTATCGTTATATAGATAATTAAACTATGTATCCATATCTACATCTTAGATAAAAAAAAGTTATCTTCACTAAATTATTTAAAATAATGTTCAGATAATTTGATTTAGAGTTTCAGAATCATAAAGATAAAAACTTATAAATAAAAGTATGAGTATATTTTTATATCTCTTCTATAATTTACATTTTTGTCTAACTGTGTTTACATAAACGATCTTAAAAATAATATTATCCAAAAGTTATCTAGATGAATCGCCACATAATTTTATTTTCTATCTACATTAAAAAAAAAATTTAAATAAACAAATGTTTTCAATATAAAATAATTTACATACTTTTATTTCACCTTTATCTAGCTAATTTTCAAGTCATCTAAGCACACAACATTGGAAATAGCTGTGTCGATGTTGCCTATTTTTTGCAGCTTTCCTTCTCATAATCGAATCATAGAGCAACGTCAGAGAGATATACAAGATTCAAACGTAGGCAATGATACATAAGGAGGCATGCGAACTAGCGGAATGAGAAATCTCGTCGGATAATTCGCGTTTGATGGATCGTCAGAGTAGAGTCACGATCGTCTGGCAAGTCGAGAGGGAGGCGATGGACCGCCACTTTAAATCGGTCCGCGCAATTCGGACGACGGTAAATAGACCTGTCGACCGGGACGAGTCACGTAATCGAGAGACCGACGAACGCGAACGTGACCATTGTGCAATACACTTTCACTGGGGCTCGTGCACGAAGCCCGTGAATTACTATGCTACGAGATGCGCAACATCTTCGACACGGCAGAGCAGGAAGCAGGAGAGGCGAATTGGATTACCTTAACGCGATCAATGAAATCGCGAAGCCAAGCCCGGAATCAGAATTGCTTGCTTAATGAGGAATCGTTGATCGCGATTAGCAGGACTTTGGGTCTACTGAATCCTTGTCGTATCCCGTTAGGATTACGAAAAGAGGACATGCTTATATATATGATTTTTTTATTCCTATCGATGACGATGGAGTGAGTGCCCGGAGTCAGAATTGCTTGCTTATAGGGAAATCGTTGATCGCGATTAGCAGGATATTTTGGGTCTATTAAATTCTTGTATTCCGTTAGGATTACGAAAAGAGGACATGCTTATATATATATATATATATGATTTTTAATTCCTATCGATGATGATGGAGTAAATGTTTACAATAATATCTCACCTGTGCCAGACATTAGACCGTCTCTGAATAGTAGGTATTCCATGGCAGTCGCCCAATTGAGCGGAGTGGTGTCGGTATCATTAATGGTGAAGGCCAGTGTGTAGGCTACGTGATTGTGGAGATTCTTGCCGACACCCGGAAGATCACGTACAACCGGTACGCCCACCGCGTTCAGCTCCTCCCGAGGTCCTATGCCACTGTTTAAGAGAACTTGAGGCGAGTTGACAGCACCTAAACACACAGTAGCGAATGTTTATTCATATAATTAATTTCAAACTTTTTTTGCAGATGATAAAAATCTATATTAAATTATTTATGTCGCTAATATTGCGTATGATACATTAATATATTGATATATTAATTTTAATGTAATTAAAGAAGATCGATGACATGTATTGCACTATAACATATCGCTTTAATATTATTAGTCTAGTGTCTCCGAGAACATCACTAACGCGCGATTCGTATTGTTCGAGAGAAACCGAAGATGTGATTACAATCCCTTGAGACAATTTGCGAGAGGATGAGTAATTAAGACTGACACAGTGCTATTTCCAAACACGGATTCCTACATCTCTATATACACAACTTACACAATGTAGAGGGAAACATATTCGGTCCTCTGTAGCTTTCCTTCGTGTCTCGGAATTAGGATAAGTCTAGTACTCGAGCAAGGAATGTCCTCTCGAGAGACTTCCTCCGCTTGAAGGTACACAAACGTTCCATCCGACATGGAACGCTCGTTTGTTAATTAATCAGAGAATTAATTACCTCCGCTCACCACCACCTCCTTTGCAACCGTGACGCGTTGGGTCTTCCCGTTGTGGACGAATTCGACGCCAACCGCCCTGTTGTTGTCATCGAAGAGGATCTTCATCGCCGTCGAGTTCAGCATTATATGGAGATTAGGACGATTCCGGGCAGGACGCAGAAAAGCCCGCGATGTGGACAGTCGCGAGCCATTTCTCGACGTGGTTTGAGCAATAGCGAATCCCGTGTGCGTCCGTCCATTCAAATCGACCGTGTCGTATCCTGGCAAGCGGATCAGAATTTTCAGGAGAGTATATTATTTTTCAAATTTGAAGAACATTATTTTTTAAAGAAAAAAAGATAAACCATGATTAAATTGTTTAAGAAAAAATTGTAACTTAAATAGTCGATGAAAATTACCAGAAAGATTACATCTCAACTCTGTACCTAATTCTTTTCCGGCTTCCAGAAGAGCGTAACTTAACGGGGGATGATAGGGGAACTGCATGACTGTGAGCGGTCCTCCAACACCGTGATAACCATAATCCATGTTGTTCACTTGCTGATTATCCTCGCTCCTTATAAAATACGGAAGGACATCGCGATAAGACCATCCGACATTACCGAGCCTGGCCCAATCATCGTAATCCTTGCGTGATCCTCTCATGTACATCATCCCGTTCATGACGCTGGTACCACCGAGAACCTACACGCGGTTTCGCATTTTGCGTTTAATATGAATATCCGGTGTATATTGCATCGCGTGACTCGAAAATTAGAAAAGTTTTTACTAGTTGACACAAGACAAATTCTAACGTGTGCACAGTAGAAAAAAATTGTGTTTTCTTGTTAAAAACGGTTAAAATTTTTGTGGTAAATATTTAACACATTTATGTGTTAATTTAACATACTACTGTTTTGTTAATTAAACTTAAATGTTAAATTATTAAAACAACTGAAAAATATGTAAAAATAACACAATGTGCATCTATTTTTAATTTTACACAATAAATATGTTCTGCTTTATTAGTGACAAGATATATCTGTTAAAATTTACAGGAAAAAATGTTGATTTTTTACTTTAATATAAGTAAAGATGATAAAATCTAAATATGATAAAAATTAACATAATTTTTACATTAAAAGTATGTTAATTCACACAAAATTTATTTTAAATTATTTGAAGTTTTGCACTTATTTTGTGGTAAAATATTAACACAATATTTGTGTCTCCATTTAACATATCCATATTATGTTAAATTAACAGAAAAATTTCTGTGGACCGTTTGGGACATGTGATATCTGTTAAATTTCACAAAAAATTTTCAACTGTGTACATACATATATTCAATACGTCTTTTCCTTTTACATAAGGAAATTGTTAACTTTACCGGTTCTATTTAATTATATTTAATCCTGCACGTACTTTCCCTCTAGGCCAGTAACATTTTCTGTCCTCCTTGTTTAAGCAAGCTCCGTCCTCGCTCTCGGTAGAGTACTGCCAGTCGATATCGCTGCCGATGAAATTGAAGAAAAACGAGGGTATTTGAGTACCTGTCGGCTCGTCCAGTCCAGCTTCCAGCAGCAACACCGAGAATCTCGGTTCCTCGGACAATCTGGCCGCGACAGTCGCACCCGCGCTACCACCACCGATCACCACGAAGTCGTACCTTGAAGAAGAACGTCGAGCATCGTTAATACGAAATCATTCGTCTGATTTCGCGAACGGTTTGTTTCGCAAACAGGAATGTATCCGGTGTATAATAGACTTTATCCGTTGGAATAGACTAGATTTTATCCGAGTTTTCCGTCACGTATATTCATTTAATCGCTGTCAGTGTTATGCTCAGATGATTTTAAAATTAACTAGATAAAGATGAGATAAAAATATGTAAATTTATTTTAGACTTTGTTTTAAATCTAGATAATTTCCGGATAATATTATTTTTAAGATCGCGTATGTATAAACACAGTTATAAAAATGTAAATTATAAAAGGAATATAAAAATATGTTCATTACTTTGATTTATAAAATTTTTATCTGCTATGACTTTGCACCAAATAATCTGGACATTATTCTAGATAATTTAGTAAAGATTATACTTTTTTTTCATCTTAAGATGCAGATATAGATATAATATTTTGATTACCTCTCTAAAAATAAGATGTGACGCGAAAATTTCACCCGGATGATCATCTACATAATTTGATTGAGATAACAATTAAACATTCGTCGAGACGGATGAAAGGACAGAGTTTCGCAGAATATGCGCAGTTTTCGCATCCTGACCGGAATTTCGATTTCCCTCCGGCCCTCGTTTGACGTTTCGAAAGCGAGATTGTCGTGTCGCGGAAGATTGCTCGGTTCCGAGACGCGATTTTGCGGCGCATGCTCGTTTACGAAAGACACGTTAATTAGCGGAGTCGGTGTTATTAAGCGATCCTTTTACCGCGCATACGAAAATTAGAAACCGGGTTAGAGGGGCAGCTCTAGCATTAGCATCGTGTGACGTAACAGGGAAGCACATTTAGCCCAACCCTCTTTGCTTCTCTCATTCCCACGCATCTGTCACATCCCCTCAAAGCAGATATGTGCAAACGGAACAAATTTGTCATCGAGATTAACGAACCACGCAAGTTAGATTACCATTAAATGAAATTATTTTCTCTCGCGCAACTCGTAATCAATTTCTTTCTCCACTTCATTAAGTGTGCAACAAAATTAATAATTAGGTTAATATAATTAATAATTAATGAGCCATATGTGCATATACATATATCTATGGCTTATTATACATATATCTTGATGTTTAATTAATATATAATATATGCATATATATTTCAATGTTTAATTAAGCCGTTAAATATGTATTTCTTTTTTCGTACTTTGGCGAGAGTTAATGAACGTTGCGTCATCGACGTTGGCAAATTTGATTGATTTAGCGTGTCCCACCGTGGTTTTGTGCCCCACGTTGGGGGCACAGTGCACCCTTTCCCTTTTAGCTTCCAAGCCTCTCGGCATCGTGGGCGAAAGGCTTCTCAGGTTTCTCAGGAGGCTGACTCGCGATCGTACATGCTCTCCCAGCTCTGAATGCCACGACGTGCCCATATCCGCGTGTATATTGTACATGTGCGCGGGACAATGACATACTTTTACGAGCGGAACTCGATAGAACGATGTGTAGAGTTCTATGGAGCGTCTCGGCGGTCTATCGCTCTCTTTTCTCATCTCGAATAATGCGGAATCTCGATTTTCTCTTATAACCGCGAGTATCTTTCGAATTATCAACGACGGAAGATCAAAGTTTCCCTCTGTGATTCGAAGACTGCATATGATTAACGAGACCTTATTTTTGAAGTTAATTTTAATTTTAGATTTCTGGCGAAAATCGGAGGTGATCCAACTTTCTCATGTTGGAAATGAAGAATTTTTAAAGAGACGAAATAGTCGTCTTTATCTTTCTCTCCCTTTCTCTCTCGCGTATTCAAAGAAACCGCGGCCTGAAAGGAAAGGTAATCCTTTTGTGTGGGAAATTGCAATTACGGAATCGGGAGAGAAATTAATCCCTTCGTATTGCCCGAATGAATAATCCAGTCAAGAGAAACGCGAGAAATTCATGTTTAATTATCGGTCTGACAGTAATTGCAACAACGTTTGTGACGTTGATGAGATAATTCGTAATAATTGTTAAACATGTATATTCGACCCGGAGTACGTGTTATCGTTATATGTTTCATATATGTCGGATTACTGTCAAAGAGCACATTTGCCAGCGATTTGCGATTGTGGTTGTATTATTGAAACGGATAGCGGAATGGTTAGAAAATATTGAGATTAGCCTTCCCTTTTCACTTCTTTTTACTTCACACTTTATCAACGAGCCAAGATTCTTTTCACATTTTTCGCACCTCTAATAAAAAAATGCTAATTTTACGTCTTGTTCTTTACGTACTTTATTTTCATGTTATCAGATAGAGACTTTAATTATAGAGATTTTATTTAGAAAACAGGTATATATTAAATGTACCCCTTTGTGCGAGACGTGACGCAAGTAGAATGTTACATCAGTTTGTTTTTTTTTATATTATATATATAGCTACCACACTTTTAACTTTAAAGGTTTAATTCTTAAGAATTACGGAATGCTTGAAAGAACGAATCTATGAATAAACGGTGTTTCTCATATTTATATGTGTATTTATTAAAATGCCAAACGGACTCAAGTCCGTTTAATCACTGACAGCGACCGTATGTATAAAGATTTAAAGATAGATCGAGAGGGTTTAATTGAAAACTAATCAAACCTGTTTCCATCTTCGGTAAACGAGTTTTCGCTCATAAATCTTGTTCTACTCTTTTTCTTTTCTTTTTTTTTTGTTAATCATCACGATTTCACGGATTATTTTAACACGTTTCTTTAATGAACGCGATACAAAACTGAATGCGAAATATATTGAATGACGAAATCAAATGACTGGAGAGAACGTTTAGTCATACCATTTGAATGTAAAAACTACGAGATATATTCATATCAAATCAAAGAATCTAAAAAATATATGTTAAGTATATGAAGTGTTCGCTATTATCTAAATAATTATGTGTATAGATTATAATCATCTAGATAAAGTTTTCATCTTATTTCTATATAAATAATAAAAATATGTATATTGTCTACATCTGCATCTTAGATTTAAAAAAAGTGTTATCTTTACTGAATTATCTAGAATAATTTGTTTTAGAGAAACTTGTAAATAAAAGTATGAATATATTTTGACATCTTCTTTATAATTTACATTTTTTTTATAACCGTGTTTGCATAAGCAATTTTGGAGATTGATCAAGAATTGATTAAACTTGATTTCTCTCTCTCTCTCGCTATACGTCTCGTATCTTATCTTTTTATATTTTCTCTCATTAGAGAGAGCGCAGAGTGCCGCGTGTTTTCAAAGCTTCCCGTACATACAAGAATTGCTCCTTTCGCGTGTGTCGGGACAAGAGGCGTCGATGCGACGACCAGATGTGACGCAACAAGAGATGCATTGGAACAATGGTTTGCGAAGGTATTACGTACATTCGTGCGTATACATACAACGATTTCGCAGGATAGAGACGTGCATGGATGCTCATTTCCGAGTGACAAGGAAAAGAAGGAGGAAGATGCGATGACGGAGCAAGAGGAGCACCAGTATAGTTCCTCTGGGTATTACGTGAACGACCAGGTGCACATGTGTGTCCGACACACAATCCCAATATATATCTATACGTATATACGTGCAGCACGTATTTAGGATTCGTCGTGGAACGAGAGCTTCCCGCGGATGCGTTCTCGCATCGCGGAAGAAATCTCTCCCGTCGATAAGTGTCAGGGGATCCCGCGAGAATTGCACGTCGAGAAGACGACACGTATTATTATCTTCAAATGTATATACAATGCGTCGTCGTAGCTTTATTCGCGAGATAAGGAAACTTGGACGATTCCCTCCTTCGAGTTGCTTGCACCGACCTCGAGTGAAGTTAATTACGACAATACGAAATAAGGAAACGCTCTACCTCGCAAGTTTCTAAATCCGTCATGTTATATCCGGATAATCGTAGGAGATAAACCGTGATAACGCTGCAGAGCGAGCGCGCACAAATTGACAACGATATAAAATAAGTAATATACAGGATATACAGGTAATTTAACGAGTTGATACAGGAATTTTTTCAACGATCGGAGAGATAAGTTTCTAATTTTAGATGAGTTCTTTTTATGCTTCTTTTTCGTTGCAAAGACTCATTTCGTTAGACAAGCACTCGCGTATCGATTGCCACACACACGTGTGTATTACGTTATTATAGATACACACAATGCAATTGTTATGTATTTCTCACGTCTCTCAACATGTGGGGCTCGTATACACACTCGTTATCGCGCAATCGCCGAAAGAAATCGCCTTAAGGCGGGATCGATCGATTCTCTTTCTCATTTACGTCGTGACCTATTTATCCGAATTCAACAATCACCTGGTATTCACACACGTGTGTGTGCATGAGGGTCTTTCTTATTATTACATTTGTATTATTCACCTCGAATTGACCGTGTCCCGAGTCGCGGGTCTGTTACACGGATCCTCGAGATCGCACTGGCTCCGTAAAAAGACCTCGAGCAATCCCATAAAGAGCATAAAGGATGTTCCGCCGCATGTCGAGGCCAATGTGGGTCCCGTGGACGGAGTCAATGGGCAGTTGCAACTCATCTGGAACAGAGATCGTTCATTTTGTAGAGAGAAATTAACTTTGATGTATATCTAGCTTTGAAGTGCAGTGAATCACTTTGACGAAGGATTCGAGCAATTTTCTCAATTTTTTTTTTATTACACTAATGAATATTGACAAAGAGAGAAAAATATCAAATCTTTTAGAATTTTAAGGCTCCTGGATCCTCGCCGCGGCCATGTTAGATTGTGACGTCAGAGGCGAGAAAGCATAAGCTGAAAATTCTCAGATGCCATTTTTACATGAAAAGATATTTCGATGAAATACTATTTCAGATGACTTTAGTACACTTTAAAATAATTTCAACACTATTCTTTTCCTTTGACAATCAAACAACCGTAAAATGATCGTAATATTAAACTTTGTCATGCGGAATGATTGCGCATGTGCAAAGAACATACGGACCGGACCTCATTTTACAGTTGTTAATTGATTATAAAGGGAAAAGAATAGTTTTCAAGGTATTTTAAGAGTGTGATAAAGCCATCTAAAGTGCTGTTTCATCGAAATATTTTTATATTTTATAAAATGGCATCTAAGAATTTTTAGCGTGTGTTTTCTCTGACGTCACAATCTCAACATGGTTGGCAAAGAGCCTTAAATAATTCTTTTCCTTTTTATTACATTAAAATATATAAATTGACAGAATTATTTTCGACAAAACTAGCAACTTTATAAAGTTGCTAGTTTTGTCGAAAATTATTCTGTCAATTTATTTTACGACTAACGTTTGAAAGAGTTTAATTTATTAAAATATATGTATATTGATAATATATATATATATATATATTGATAAAAAAAGAAAAATATCAAATCTTTTGAAATTTTAATTCGAGAACGAACGCATTTTACTTGCAACACCAGATGCTGCGTTAGATCTTGAGATATTTTATCTTGAGATCTTAAGATGTATAATTATCTGCAATTTACGCGCATATTATTATTTATATAATTATATAAAACATTTATATAAAATATATTAGATAATTATAAAATTAAAGTATAAATATTTTTATTCGAGCTATAGCGATAATTATATATATTCGGTGCCAGCAACAATTATCATGGCGCACATTCTTCTAGACAGAGAGAATTTTCTCTTCGAATAATTTACCCTGAAAATCATGGTAAAATATAAGTATCTATCACAATAATAAGTACAGCAAAATTTCTTATGTACATATTAATATTTTGATCGTGATAAATATTAATCAGAGAAACTCTTATCATCCTGTCCCACGAGATTAGCATGATTGTAAGGGTATAAATTCTAAGAGAAAATTCTCTCCGCGTACTATTATAAAATTCAATGTTTTGAATAGTTGATTTGAACGCGCAACGAGGAAGTAATATTTCTCCATTCAGCGAAGAAGTTAAAGCATGTAAACAATGTTCCTCGAGCGGTCATGCACCGGTGCATCCGAGAACGTTTATCTTCGATCCGGCGGACTATGAAGCAAGCTTCGCTCCGAAATGGAAAACAAGAGCCCGGGAGAACGAGAGTGAGAGTGCTGCGCAAACCCCGCTATATCGTAACAAACATGTAATGGTCCTCGTAATAGAGTATGTCCAGTTGTAAAGTCATTCAGTTCTCGTCGGCGCGATTCAAAAGGAACGTGAGCGATTCCTCACGTTGATGAGAGGCGCGTCCTTACGATGATGCACACGTGCTTTCTACGACGCAATCGTCACGTCCCCTTGAATGCACGTTCTGCATATATGTATGTATGTATGTATGCATGCATGTAAACCTATGTGTGTATATAGCGGTGAAACTTTTTTACACCGCTTTTGTTTCCTCTTCCGACATTTCTCACAGTCGGATGCATAATCGCGTGAGGCGTAACGCGCCAAATATCTGCGAGAATGAAGCATGACGATGTATACGGATGCACGCGGATGCTCCAGTTTTTCGGCGGAGAGAAGCCGCAACGTTTTCCTTTCGTTGAGAACGAAGGATTTTCACATCAAAATCGATCGTAAATATCGCTACTTTAAAAGCAGCGATGACATTTCGGAAGAAATGCAAGCTTATGCACCTTGACGTGCAGAAATAAATATCATACTTATTGCATTTTTTAAATTTACACTTGTATATTCTTTTAAAATTGTAAACTCTAAATTTTCTTTTTTTTTTTCTAAGGAAAAAATCATTGTTCAATTCTGTCACAATAAAGAGAATAATGTTGTTTGTTTTATACCTCTCCCTCTCTTTCTTTTTAATCCATTTCTTAGACGTAATTTTGATCTGAAATTAGATGAGAAAAATGATGTATCTTTATGTGACATAACGCGATGAAGAGGTAAGGAAACACAGAAAAAGAAGGCGTAAAATAGCACTGACTTTCGTAATCGATGGCGAGACATGCCGGTTCTCGGTCAGTGAACGTAACGGTGTTGAGACTGAAGGAGCGTACATATTCGTGAGAGAAGTGTATTATAGCCCCAGGCGAGTATACTAAAGTATCTTAATGTACCAACCGCGGTAGCTAAATGTAATAAACAAAGTTTGACGATCAAAGTCCGGAAAGAGGAAGCTGATTTTACGCCATTTACAGTGTTAGAAATCAGGATGCTAAAAAGAAAAAATAATCAACGTCAGTGTTATTTTATACATATATATATATAAATTTCCCACACATGCTCTCTCTTTCCGAAGAATTGCAGTATAATTTTGTAAGAAATTTTTCCACGCGAGCGATTGATGGATCCGCTTAATTTTGTATTTATTAGATACGCGACGCGAGACGTTAATCTCTTGATTAATTCATCGTCCTAAATTCGCCTGAATATCTTTCGCCCGAAATGGAAAATCGCGAGTGTATATAAAATGCGATTTTCAATTATCCAGAGTGATAGAAATATAGTTTTGCGCAACTTCACCGTCGTGTGTGACTTGATCATTGAGAAATTGCTCGTTCCTTGCAATTCTAGCAATCCTAAAATACATAACTGTTTCCCATTTTGCGCGAATTATCGTAATATTCAAACGTACAATCACGAAACAAGTTCATTCTCTCTCTCTTTCGTGAAAATTTGCAATCAAATTTTGAAAACTTGTCTTTCCAAAATTTTCATCTCTGAAATCGAGATAAGCAATCCTTACACAGTCGTAACATTACATCTACACAATATTGTACTTAGATGATTTTGAAATCAGTTCGATAAAGATGAGATAAAAATATGTAAATTCATCTTAAATTTTATTTTAAATATATCTAGATAAAATATAAAAGTATATAGCAATTTGTCTAGATAGCTTTTAGATAATACTATTTTTAAAAACGCTTACGTAAACATAGTTATAAAAAAATGTAAATTATAAAAAATTATATAAAAAAAGATTTATACTTTTATTTATAAATTTTTCTCGCTAATTAATTATTTATCTGCTATGACTAAACCAAATTATCTGAACATTATTCTAAATAATTGAGTAAAGATAACACTTTTTTCATCTAACAATATATATTTTGATTATCTATGCAAAGATAAGATGACGGCAAAATTTTATTTAGATAATCATCTATAATTTTCTTTAAATAAGAGCAACACTGCATCTACGATTTGGAGTTGTCTCTATAATTACGTGAGACTATGCTCTCGCATGTACATACGTTAAGTGACGTATTACATGTTTAATTATTAACGGTATATGATGTGTTACACGCAAGAGGTATGCCGTACGACACACCACGTGAATCACGTAAGCCTTGTAACAGTTTTACAGCTAGTTCGCCGTATAATGATTGTTTGCGCGCGATAATGTTATATAGTACACGAGGGTGTTAATCGGAATTTATGTAACACGAAATAACTCAGCGCCGGCATCCGTTAACACGACGCAATATCACACCGCAAATAAGTATCGTTTCCCCGCGAAATTGCTCGATTCGTCGACCAGGCCACGCTTCTCTCGATTCTCGCGAGCGCGAAAATGTAGGTATTACACGCCACGTTACATGTTTTTTAAATCTGCTTTTCCGCGTCAATTTCTTCTATTTCGTTATCCCTATTTATCACACGTATACATATATATATATATATAGTATTTCATATTTCGGCGGATATATCCTCGATATTGCGACAGAGTGTGACATTACACAATGTGTAATTACGGTGATGTCAATAGACGGGTTCAATTTTTCGCGGAATAATTTTTATATAATTTTTATGTAATTATTTTATAAAATCAATTAATTTTATATAATTTTTATACAATTTTTATGTAATTGTACGCAATTTTATGTAAATGTTATTTTATAAAATTAATTTTATATAATTTTTTATTTAAATTTTATTTAATTTTATTTCATGTTTAATATTCCATTTTTATTTAATTTTTCATTAATTTTATATAATTTTTGTAAATTGCTTTTTTTGCGAGAAAACCCGACAAATGTCACTGCTATTCAGTCTTAGACACAAGATATTATTTTCTCCTACATACATATATACACTATAACTGCTTGATTCCTTTTTAATGAATGTCATTGCAAAAATATTGTAAGATATTTAAAGTGTATGTAAGTGTATTTAAACGATTGTGCCTCGTGTTTTTTTCTTTCTATAATGAGCTCGATTTATTTCGTTGAATAATTTATCACTTCCACATTTCTTTTACACACATTACGACAGATGCAATTATGACTCTTTTTTTTACAATATTTTATTACTAATGACGCATATAACAATTATAATTTACATTTTATATCGAGATAAACAGGAAGAATAAAAGAGAGATGTATTATTATTATTATTATTATTATTTAAAAAAAGTATCGATAGAGTACTTATTGTCAATATTATCTACTACCAGTGCATTTTGCATATCTTCCATATAAAGTCTCGATAATCTTTAAAGTAGTCGTTATGTGTATCACTCAAGAATCCCGGGAGCGCCATAACCTGCCGATAAACTTGAGGGACATGTTATATGCATATTCAACGAGAGGAAGAGACACCGTACATGTAATAAGACGGTTACAACGGTTTCAAGGGAAAGGTGGATCGATTGCTTAATGCCAAGGTATATGCTAGTAAATTAATCCGCACAACTACCTCATAGTCGCAATTTGTTCGAGAAAGGACTCTATAATTAATTAAAATATACTGCAACCCATTTTGTAATAGCAGAAACATATTGATCATATGATACATATTAAATACATATAAAATGCAATTTAGATATGCCTTTCATTTATTTTATATTATCATCGGTATAAATATCATTAGTTTATCAGTATAGCGAGTCTGTATAATATTTATACTCTTATTTGAATTATAAAGCAATTGTCAGAAATTTTTGCGTTTTCTCACATGTGTATTATTATATAATAAAAATAATTGTATCGTTCAAAATTAAATTATATTTCAAATTCCATATCTTTCTGTCAAAGATTAATGAAAATTAACGAGTTCTCTATATTTCTTTACCCGTGTATTGGAAAATAGAAATAATTGATCGATCTTCATTGATAATGATTAATACGAATGACGAATCGTTTTCCATTTTATTCGCGGAATATATAGAGGAATCTTCCATTTGATGCAGCATGCATCTGGAAATGATACTGGTTGCCAGGTAGCTGGTATCGTTGAGAGAGAGAGAGAGAGAGAGAGAGTCGGGAAGAAAAACAAGTAAACTTACCTTTCAAGGATGCTCACCCCGTATCCTTTGAAAGATAATTGCTCGACTGGAGAGACCGCGAAGCACACGGAGCGCGAAAAAGACGCGACGAGCGAGAGATAGAACTGGTAGCTCGCGGTACCGCGATCAACGGCCGACTAGACTGGTACCATTCCCCATCGCCGTGCTAATATTCGACAACTTCCACCACTTTTCTGCCGTCTCTCTTCTGCTGCCGCACTTGTGGAAGCAGTTTCGGAAACTTACGTGGTGGTGCGACTAGTTCCGTCCCCCGAGAATATTTCGCGAAAACGAGAGCCAATAATTCAATCATTTTGAGGAAGGTGCAAAGAAATTATTCCAGATGTATATTATCACTTAGATGAGTTTATTATCGTTTTTCGAAACAAGAGAAATGTCGAAACTTACGTCATTTTGACGTTTAATGACGTCAGTTTGCTACTTGGGGTGGTGGTGCAACTAGTTTCATTCTCGAGAATATTTTGCGAAAACGAGACGCAATAATTAAATGGTTAAATAATTTTAAGGATATTTTCATGACATAAAGAGAAATTATTCCAAGTATATATTATCACTTTAATAAGCTCACCGTCGTTGTTCTAAAAGAGAGAAATTTCGGAACTTATACGTGGTGGTGCGACTGGTTCCGTCCACGAGAATATTTCATGAAAACGAGACAAGGAAATTACTCGAGGTGCGTATTATCACTTTAATAAGCTCATCATCGTTGTTTTGAAAGAATAAAAAAATATATGTTAGATTGAGGCGATATACGTAGAATAAATATCGTATATGATTATTACTGAAAGAATGACATGAGAATTTCGCAGATAATATAATTGTTGAATATTAAAAATGATCTTAATTCAAGTTTATTTATATTATAAATCCAAGTACATAAGATATTTCTCACATTAATATTATTATAATTATAATAAAATCGCTGTCAAAATGAGCGCTTAAATTACCGAAAAGACACCGAGTGAAAACATCTATGAATCTAAAATCTGAATTCAATTAACTTTATAAATTTATTCCTTTTCGTGAACAGTAGCCATTATCTGCCATCATCGTTCTCCAAAACGCGTGAAATGCCGTGGCTTTTCGCTATACCATTGTATTGTATTCTCTGGCCCGATAATCGTGGAAGAATTTCGGTCTTTACAGAAACGATCTTGCGCCATGGAAAGGAAGAGGAAACGATAAAGAGGCAATAAAAAGCATCCATGCGCACAAATAGAACGGTATCGTTTCCCATCACGATTCCGTCATTTCGGTGCTGCTGAATGAAAGGTTGTCATAGACTTTGTGTCGTGACTTTAACATTTGTTATAATATTCTCGATCCTCTTTCTTTCTTTTGCCATTATTATTATAAGCGCAATCAGTTCTTTCCTCGTCTGGCTCGTATCGAGAGGAAACGCGAGCGGAATATCCGACTGAAAATGAAATTCGGAACCGGTTTGCATCTTTTGCAAGTCACGCAGAACGAGATAAAAATGTCGAGTTGCCATTTGACATATGCGAACATGCCACGTACCTGATTTCCTTCCTCGTTCAACGAAATGTTCGAAATCTTATTTAGACGTGATCCTTCATATTCGCGTTGCGATTTGTCGACGTCGTCGACGGATATTGTGTCGTAAGGATACTTTGCAAGGCCGTAGAGTTTCTCGTCTCGAGAACTGTAATCGCTTTGTCCCGCTGTAATAGATGGATTGAAAGATTATCATTACCCATCTACGAATCGTGTAATAGAAATTTCGGCTCCTCGTTTCATCTCTAATTGGATTTTTCACGAAAGTTTCTACGTCAGCCATCGCATACAATTTCGATTTGTATACATCTCAATTATCGTTGAAAATTGTCGTATATATTTTTAGTGGCAAATCTATTTTAAATTGATAGGTTTTCGTTCATCGAAGATATATACTCGCTCCAAAAAGAAGCGGTACAGTTAAAATTTGGAAAAAAGTCAAATTTTAAATGATGATAACTTCGTAAATAATAAAGATAGAAAGGTTTCTAAAAAATGAAAATAAAGCCTGGAATTTGTACTTTGAGAATCTACTTATTTTCATGTTGCGAGATAAATTTATTAAAAATGGCGAATGACAAAACGAGAATGTGCAAAATTGAAAAATAATGATCCGAGTTTGCTAAGGTACATGACGTGAGTCAAATATTGCAACTCAATGGGACTAAAAGCATATGATAGTATAGAATTTCCCCTTTAAAATGCTTTTTTATTCATCTCGATACAATGATTTTTCGCAGAGTTATTTCTATTTAAAGTAAAAAGCTGTCTTTTTACTCAAATGCAAATATCTCGGCGAAAAATCATTGTATCAAAATGAATAAAAAAGCATTTTAAAGGGGAGACTCTGTACTATTATATACTTTTCATCTCATTGAGTTGTGATATTTGACTCACGCCATGTACTTTGCTTAACTCAATTATTATTTTTCAATTTTGCACATTCTCGTTTTGTCATCCGCCATTTTTAATAAATTTATCTCGCAACATTGAAATAAATATATTCTCAAAGTACGGATTCCAGGCTTTATTTTCATTTTTTAGAAACCTTTCTATCTTTATTATTTACGAAGTTATCGTCATTTGAAATTTGAGATTTTTTTCCAAATTTTAAGTGTACCGCTTTTTTTGGAGTGAGTGTATATATGTATATCGAATAATTAAGAGCTAGTTGTTCCCAATCGCTGGGTAAAAACCTGACAGATAGCATATCTTCGTCTTTTTTCAAATAAGTTTTTAAAAAAAGACGAACATATATGCTATCTGTCGATAAAATTTACCAACCAGTTGGAACAACCGGCTCTAAATCACCTAATTTTCGAAAAAATGTTTCTTTGCATTATTTTGTTTATAGAGATTATTTATAATCTAATGTGAAATTGGCAGAATTATTCTTAGAACAATCCGATGTAGGATTAATGACGCTCGATTTGAATTCTTGTTCTTGTATTGACTGCAGCTTATTCCGTTCTAGATAATCGTGATTCATAAACCCGTCGTAGAGTCTCGTGTGGCTCGATTACAATGGAAATAAATCATTACCATGCCAATTCTCTTTATGGAAAGTAATAATAAATGTTTATAATCCCTTGAAGTATACTCACGTCGTAGTAATTGTCCGTTCCTGGGCGAATCTCTGGCGTAATAATAACGTTTGTCTCTTCTGTTCCGGAAAACTTGGTATAATAGCCAGACGAATCATTGAAATAATTCGTCTCAAAGTTTTCTGCTTCGACAATCACGGAATCGTTGATATAATTACCATTCTTGTCGTCCACAATTGTTGAGATATCATCCGTCTTTGAAGCTGCCGTCTTTGCATCTGAAACAGAGAGAGAAATTGTACTCTCTTTTTTAAATTTAATTTAAATTAAATTAATAAAATTTAATTTTTTTAAATATAATTTTCTTCATATAAAAAATAGTTTAAATAAATTCCTTGACTCTTCTTCTTACACTCGAATAATTCGAATATTTCAATTGAAATTTTTAAATATTATAATAGCCATTTTTTGATCCTTGCAATTAACAGGTGAATACCTGTAGATGCCATTTTTGACAAGGATATAAAAGCAGTCGCCTCATTAAAAGATTGACGATTGAACACATAAGTTAAAAATGGAAAGACTTCTCGTTCTCGGGTATCCTCGACAAGGATCACCGGTTCGTATGGCGGCAGTAAAATCCTGTATGGTTCCTGAGGCGTGTATCCCCATCTGTTATCGTTCTCGTCTTTTATCTCCAACAATTCTGTGGGATGCGGATCGTTCTTTATCCAGATCGGATAATTGTGCCCGACAAAGTTGATGCCGTCCAACACCACAGAAAACGACAACGTGTTGCTCGCTATATAGACCTTCTTCGGCATCTCTAATCTCTTCGCGTCACGCGACGTAGTTGATTCGATTTTTTCTTCAGCGAGCAAAATTGTCGGAAAGGTTGCGTTGGTCGAGTCAGCGAGTTCAGAAGTGATCTAGAAAAATTATTAAAGAGTATAATCAAATTCCTCCTTTTCATTATCTCCAATGAAGCTAAATTATGGCTTAAATGAAAGTTTATGACTAGTAGATTAATCTTAAAAAAATGTTATGCTGAGGCAAGCAAACATTCCAAAGAAATAATACTAATACTTAAAATTACACAATATGTATGAAATAAAATAGAAAAGAAATATAACTTCTACATTAGAAGCATAAAATTTATTTGAATAAGCATATTGTAGTTCAAATATTATTTTTGTTTAATTTGTAATCATTTTAAACGTCTGCCATCTGTTGCTAACAATTTTTTTGGATCGTTTATTTGCTCGCCTCATCATAATATTTTAAAGGGTTGATCTATTAGTCTCATAAATTTTATTAAAACCATCATTTAGCTAAATTAGAGATTAGGGAGAAGATAAATAGGGGAGGTTTTTTTGATGGAGACTTGACCATATATTTTTTAATATTTCAATGTCGCTGAATATTTTTTAAAAAGTAATACTTATGATATTTTGCACCTCAATAACATCGTTTGTCGATGGTTTATTGTAATTCCACGAAGATTTCGGATAAGGCAGCGTCGAATCTTGATTTATGGATGACTCGAAAGATTTTGCGATTAAATCTGAACTCGTCGTTGCGGTTTGCCGATGAGTCAATGAAATTTCCGTATCATATTTTCTGCGAAAAGAATGCAGTAGAGTTGCAAAGTGAACCTCATGCTGGTGTCCACAAAATATTGATTTATAACGTTAGCCGGAAAGGTCCGTGATTAACTTACGTGGGTGTCGTGTGGCGTAAACTTGATCTTAGCGTTGAAGTTGTCAAAGTCGACTGAAAACGTAAATGAAGAGTAGTCTTTTAGCTTTGCTCCCTTCAATTTCCCCGAGGTCTTTAACTCGTTCGCAAGAAAAGTATATTCTTCACCTTTTCCCCCGTGATTGAATAAATCGTCTGCGAGTTCATTTTTCTCTCCAGTTCTTGAACCAGTTTGCTCTCCATTTGCACTAGGGTTTTTCCAGTTGGGGGTTGCTCGACGACCTACATTTGTTTCTATCAAAATTTATTTAGCAGATATTTTTAGCGATTTCACGTTTTAATGCACCGATTGTCGTCAGAATTCCAAGAACGAACTAAATTAAGTTGATCGAATTATTGTTCGCGGAAGTATTTTTGCTCCTCGGAATTCAATTCGGCGAATCCCTTGCGCGCGTTTTTGCATAGACTAGTTAAAAGTTTAAGAAACGAATTACCTTGTCCAATGCTCGACACGATCTCTCGACGGTGCAGTTGAAACCTTTGCAAGCACCTACAATTCGTACGACACATTTTTGCGATCGCGGGCAGATCCAACCGCGGCAGTACTTGCTAATTAGCTCGTCTTCTGCGAATAGAACAAAATCATGGAGTCATTATTCTCATGTGAATGAGCGGAGTCTTTGGTTTTATCGCAAACAGACCGACGGTGAAGGTGCAGTCGGACGTATGCGTGCACCGTGCATCGAGACAATTGTTTTCCGGTCGCCGTAAGAAACACTCGTATTCCGAGGTGCAGTTCAAACTTCTGCATTCGTCGAACCAAGTCTGCACGTCTGCAAACGATTAGCCTTAATTACCTTGACGCCGCGTAATTCTTTGTCAATTCTTTCTCGAATACGTCAACGCGCGATAACTTTAGAAATATTGGAGTGATCAAAAAATAAGCAATTCCAAAAATTTGTTAACAATAGATGACGCAATACTTTTTATGTATTTTTGTCATTCGATTTGTCATCATTTGTGTCTAACAGCATTTTTGGATCATTTATTTGTTTGAAACATTCGCCCGCCTTAACACAATATTTTTTAGGGTTAATCTAAGTCATAAATCTTTATTTAAGTCACCATTTAGCTCAATTGGAGGTAGTGAAATAAAGAGGAGGAAATTTGACCGACCTATTTGATGAAGACGCATGAAAATAATTAATAAATCAGATTAAATATTAGTAAATTAAATTTGTCTTAAACCTGGCATCTCCGCGCAACTTCTTATAAGTTTGCAAGGTGGATTGACACAATAAGTTTCCCGCAAGATGCAACGTTTCCCGGATGGACATTCAAAACCGGCACAGGAAGCTGCACCCTCGTAATATTCCTTCTCTGATACGCAACGCGCTATTTGTTGCTTGCATTCTGAAAAAAATTTACGTTTTAATTAGTACATTGTTTTCATTTCACCAGGAAAATATAAATATAATTACGTTCATCCCAGCGGCATTCTCGAACTTTAATGGTGCATATGTGTCCTCTGTTGCAGCGAACAGTGTCGCACGTTCGAGGTCCTTTCAACGATTCTAAAAATAAATAAAATTGCATCGCAAAAAATCTATATTTATCAAGTCGCGTAATTCTAACTGTATAATTAATTTAGAATAATTTAGGATAATTAAAATTAATGAAACGAAAAAGGAAAGCCAATCTAGAATTTAAAAGAATCGAAATAAAAATAAAATAAGAAAATATACATCTCCGAAGAGACAGGTCTTTCTTATATAAAACTCACCTTTTCTAGACTTGGAACAGTACAACATTCCGGGACAGGGTGGCTCTTTGCACCAAAATCTCCGTTTGATGCATCGACTGCCGCTTTCGCAATGCAGATGAGTGCATCCTTTTGAGTACTCGTCTCCCGATTCTTCCGCTACAAAGAGTTAACATAATTTTTCCAGATTTAAAGCGCATACTCGGCGTATAAAATTGCGTAGAACTCGAAATTAAACTCACCGTGAACGTAAAGACTTTGGAAGTGTAAAAAGAAAAGGAACCAAGTTGAATGTAGGATAAAAATATATTCGCGTCTCATGATGTGATAGTGCCGATCGCACGACGTTTATTTCAATGCACCTGTGCACCGATGTAGCTATAGATGTAATAGCGCGTAATGTAAGCAATTGATGTAACCAGAGCTGCGTAGCATATTGTGTCAATACAGTAGTTATATCTCGTTGAAAGCTATTGTTATAGAAATTGAAACGAAAAAATAAGTTGAAAGAAGATACGTGTAAAATAAGTTTCGCATATCCGAAAACTCTGTGGCATTTTTAGAAAGTTTTTACATTTATTTTACCAAGTTGTTGTATCATATATTTTTATGACGCAAGATATACATATTAATAAATATATTTTAACATATTTTTAATACATATTTGTTTTTAATACAATTTGATTTATTAAAAAGTCAAAAAACTGTACAATCTCTAATTATATAACAAGAAACACATATACCATGTTTTGGCATAAATTGTATTGGTATAAAAAAATTAAAATTTCTAAAATAACGAGGGATACATATAATGATAGACTTAATTAAGTTAATCTTTCAAACATTTTCAAAAGAATGTATAATACATTAGATCATTAGAATAAGAAACACACATATACAAAGAGAAGTTAAGAATATTTAAAAAAAAGAACAAACGATGCATGTCTTTTCTAAAGCAATATTATATTTCGTCTATTATTTATGTATAGATATATGTTCATTTTTTCCGAAAACTGTTTAGCCTCTGTTTTTTTTCTATATTTTTGCTTATAGGTCGTTACAGCCATCGTAGTGAACTACGATCGATGATTCCTTTCATTTAATTGTGGGCATATTTTTAATGCAACTCCTTGGAAAGCATTGTGATGTAACATTATCCTCGTTTTAAAACAATATAAAATTAATATTACAAGTAAAATTAAATTACATACATATTTTTACATTGACGAATATTCTATTTCACAAAAGAATTTTACACACAGCAAAAACGCTCGTTTAATTGTTTTAAACACAATAAATTACAGCTTTATCAAATTAATTTTCCTTCGATGAGTCTTCAAATATAGCAGTCATAATAGATCGATGACTCCTCTAATCTCAAACATGTTTTTATTCCAACGTCTTGAAAAGCGTTGTTATTTAAACTGTAACGTTATCATTATTTTAAAATGACATAAAATTATGATTACAATTCGTCTTTCAATTGCAGCTGTAACAGTCCGACGAGCGCACTAGTGAAACCGGCGTTATAGTTGATCAAAACCTCCGTGTAAAGGTCCTCCTCTCTCTGATCGTGGAACTTGTCATTTTCGTTCGGTCCAGAAACTAATGCACCGTAGAGAATCTGCGGATTCGACTCGTTCTTGTCAAAATCCGCCCATCCGCATGGCGCTGGTCTATCCGGGCAAGAAGACGCAGCGTGAAGCGGCTGTTTCGGTGAATTCTCACCGTATCCGACCACGTAACTTTTTCCTGAAATGGTACAAAAAATTATACAGATGTAAAAAAACCAACAAAAATAATCGATTCAACGTTTACAACAAAAAAAGAGACATTGTAATTTATAAAGTATGCGCGTTGAAGTAGAAATTTAATTGTTTAATTTCTTTTCGAGTAAAATAATTTTAATTGTAAATAGCTCAACGGTGAAAACAGTTGTTACTTTAAATTGAAATATAAAATATTAAATTGAAATTTATTTTAATTACTTGGTATTGTATCAAAGAAAATTTGTTCTCTATGCACAACTAATTTTTCCTTGAAGCTGACAAACTATATCTCTATCTGGCTCTTTCTAATCCGATAAAATATTTCTAATCAATATTTCTATTCAAATTTTTACCGGTTGAACCCAGTATGTAATCAATCTGTTCTTTGGCAAATTGGCGATATAATTGCAAATCGCCAATTTTAGAATCAGCTGCTTCCAAGCATAAGAAGGCTACATTAGCAGCGTGACTAAGAGTGCCGGTCTTGTTGATAAATAAAAGACCCTTGGGCGTGCGTTTCTGTTTTTGCACCGAGAAATCGCAAAAGGCACGAGCGGCTTTCTGATGCTCGCTTTGTTCTCCCAATTGCGCCAACAACACCTACAAGAAATTTTAAAAAATCTATATTAGTCGAAGAACTAAAAGACAATAAAAGAGACAAGCTTATCATTTCATTCAGAAAATTATTACGCACAATTTTTTCAGAAAAGATCTCAATTTTTAAAAAGGCTAGATTTGTCAAAGAATTGAAATCTTTTAAAATGAGGATAAATTAGCATTTATATTATCAAGATAAATTGAATAAAAATGACATAAATAAATAAATAAATAATTTCAAATTAAAGTCGTTTTACCTGAACTCCGGCGACCTTATTGTTGTAGAAGAATTCATTCGGTCTCTTGTCGAGGTTGAAATTCTGGTAGTGATGGAAGGCATATTCGAGATACTTGGGGTCTCTGGACGCCCATGAGAGCCAAAGAGCAGCCCAAGCCAGCTCATCACCGTAATCCTCGCTCTTGAAAAAGTCTTTTGCGTTGGATATCGCGTCAAGATAAAATCCGCGATAAGTATCGGCAAATTCGTAAAGTTCTATCGCATGCTTGAGACACCTGATGCTGTATTCGAGATCGACGTTCTTGAAAACAATGCTCGAAGCTGCCAGAGCAGCTGCCGTTTCGCCGGCGAGATCAGAACCTACGAGATCGATTAACCTTATTTGACACGTTCACTTTAGATTATTCTTAAAACGCATCAATCTGCCATTTAAATTTTTTTATCGCGCCCGTTTAATTAATCACAATCCCAAATAAGTTGTAAATATTAAAAAATCCCGTTCGAAATTGCTAGAAATCCAATATGGCGGCAGCATTTCTAAATCCGAAATCTAAGTCTTGAACTTGAAGGGTTGAGAATGAAGCAAAAAATGAAACAAATAAGTGCGTATAATAAATTAATAAAATATAATTGTGCTCGTTTATATTTATCCGTTCATTTCCTAAATACCATAATTGATTGACGTACCAGGATGCTCTGCATCAATTTTGTAGGCTGGTCTGCACATGTTCATCTCCTCGGGTCTCCCCCAATACATTTGATCGGACGTAAAATCGCCCACTTGTCCATACAGTACGTTCTTGCTTACGTGACATTTGATGAAGTAATCGGTAGCCCATTTGATGGTTTTGAGGATTTCGTCCGATTGATTGGCGGCGACATAAGCCTCCGGCCAACTGATCACTCCCCAGGACAAAATTGTCGTCGTGAAAGCCATTGTAAAGCTGAACTTTACAAAATCAGCAGCTGGATCAAGAGAACAAGAGTGATTAGTTTCGCGAAAAAGAAGGAAGGATACATTTTGATGTCACAAATTTAACAATTTTAATCATATTATCGAATAATTTTCTCACCATCGTAATATCCTCCGCTTAGGTCTTCGTGGTTCGAACCACAGTCATTCAATGCAGAATCGCCTCGCCATGGGATTCTGTTGTCTTTCGGCAATTTTCCAGAACGCTGCGCCTCAAAAAACAATAACGAAAGCTTTGTGACTTCGGCATAATCGTACGAGTTGTTGATTACTTTCTTGCTGTCAATTGTGAAGGCGTTTATCCTGCACGTCGAGATAATCAATATTACCGGCAGAATCTGTCAATAAATAACACATTAACAGACATTTAATACCTTTCGTCGAATGGTGAAAGCACGTTCGCCAATAATGTCATTGTAATGATGATTTTACGGTGCACGTGCACCGATGAACAATGTAGAGCAATGTCGTGTAGAGTCTTAAATTTTGCATATAGTCTACAGTCTTATAACATAATCTGCGTGCATACAGTAATCTGTGCGATCAAGGTTTACGTAAAGTAAAGTCGATAACTTTCACATGTCGAGAAACGAGCGACGAAGAAAATTCTTCAACTCTACGCATTTTTTCGGATAAACCATCAAAATTTTAATGATAGATCAATATATAAATACAAAATTCAGTAAGAAATTGAGACTAATAAGAGCTACAACAAACATGTTTTCAAATTTTTTATTTTATTTGAACGTTTCGGTCCTTTCTTTGACATTTTTCAGCAGATTGATTAATAAAAACCTTGCGTCCTGATTCATATTTTCCGTCTTTAGTAAGTCCTTAAAGTGATCAAAGACGAAATAAAAAAGAAAAAGTCATAATTTCAGCGAAACAATATACAAAACGTTCAAATTTAATAAAGATTTTAAAACAACGTTGTTGTATCTCATTTATACGCTCTAATTAGTCCATTTCCTATTTGAATTTAATGACGAATTTTAATTCGTGTAATGCAATAAAATTAATTCATGACGATAAGATAAAATAAATATGAATATCGATTTTTAAATATAATGAAATATAAATTATATAATTATATAAATCAACCTAAAATAATGAAGTAAAAATTGACAGTAACAAGTCAGCGTGTATGTCGTATATAATTTTTAATTATATGTATTGCGTTTAAACATTGTATAATTAATAATTTATTGCGCTTGACTTTCCGCGCTGATTTATTATCGTCAATTTTTACTTCATTATTTTAAATTAATTAATTCGTTAAAAGTCTCTAGCTGTATATTTGTTGATTTGATAATTATATAAATATTTTTACATATAAATTTCTCCAGAAATAGAATATTAAGCATCGATTGCGGTCGTCTCGGTTTTTTGCTTAGCAAAAAATCACACACAACACGCGGATGCATATAAACGGAAAATTTCTTTATCTCAAATCTTGTTTCTCTTCTCTTACACCGATGATATGACGAAATCGTGAGCTACGATAAATTCGCAGAGCACGTACGAGCTACGTGACGGACTTAAACGCGATTCATTCCAGCTGGATCTTCGCTTACGATCCACCTTCGTTAAGGATTAAATTCTCGCACAGCTATAACTACATCCGCGTGATTTAACCGCAAAATGGATTTATTTTATTTTCTGTTTCGAAAACATTTAATCTCTGATAAAGACGCGCGTTTTTTTCCACTTATCAATAATTTAATTAATTTTTTGTTGTAAAATAGGAAGGATTTATTTATTTATTTATTCGAAAGACGATTTATTAAAATATACAAGATTCAACGAAAATCAATAACGAAATATGTGTAAGTAATTTTTTATTCATGCTGGCAAATATTATTTACTTTACTCTAGGAAAAATATGTCGTCTCTCAAATTATTATTCTATATTGACACAAGCAAATTTCTTCCTCTCTCTTTTTTATTTGTCACTTAAATATATATTTCCGCGATGAGAACGCCGCGAAATACATATCTAATTCACGAATATGAGAAATCGATATACATATATGAGAATAAGGAAAGAGTATAAGTTTGGAGCCGCGTTTGATCCCGCTTCCTTGTCGCCAAAGCGTTCTCCAGCTTTCCGAGAAATTCCCAGTTCGTCGACCGTGTAATTTCTGTATGACAAACGCCAATAGCTTCGGTAAATATCGGCCTTATTGTGAATTCGTGTATTCCTACATACTTGCGTGGGAACTTCTCTCGTGGAACATTTTTGAAACAGATGCCCGAAGTAAAGAGCGCGTGCATACCTTGCAAATGCTCCGAGAAGTGAATATGTAATGTCGCAATAATATTATATAAAAATAAATAATATACAGGGTGTTTCGTACTCAGGGAATCATGCACTGATTTATACAGTAGATTCCTAGGATCATTTTGGAGACGATTTTTTCTCAGCGAAAATGTCGAGGCATCAATAATTATTGTCAAGTTGTAAGCGATTGAAAATAAAAGATTTTCGCAAACTAAGTCTTGTATGGAAACAAAATCACATTCTTCAGTTAATTTCAAGTAGAGTTTACTTTAATAGAATTTTAATTTAAGGCTTAGTTACAAAGATACATGATGGCAAAAATTGGGAATATATAAAAAATGATGACCTCCCTTTTTCGCTAAGGAAAAATTGTCAAATGACGGAAATTTGTATATCAGTGATTTGCTGGGTATATGTTCCATTAGGACTTTTGTCCTCGCGGAAATCAATTATGTCGACAAAAGAATGATAATTCGAGAGATCATCGAATTATAATCGTTGTTTTTAAATATCTCGAATTTTTAGTACGCAATTTCCGTTGTTTAAAATTAGCAGATTAATAATGATAGATAATTGGAAAAATCTTTCAAGCACTCGTTTTATTGCAGTTTTCCTTTTCTCTCTCTCTCTCTTTCTTGCACGTATTTTCCCGTATGTACAACGCATGTTCAAACATTCGAGCGTGACGTAATGCAATACGCAATACAGGTATAATTGCGAATCACGATATCAGGTAGCATTGACGAGAAAAACTCACCGTGACGCACGTGACGAAGAGGTCGAGCTTCATTCTGTCTTCGCGATGCTGTCGTCCCGGAAGTGTGAACGCGACGCGATGCAACGCGGTCACGTGAATTCAAAAACTTCACGTGTGTTATCGTCTATCTTTCGACTGGAAGTCAGCGCGAATCTGCATGTCGTGCGAAAGAATCGTCACCTTCCTTCGCAAAAGCTCTCTCGTTTGCTTGTACTTCTGTACAATCAATAAAAAAACAATTTATCCTAATGTCTGTAATAAAAATACATGACCTGCACAGGAAATACAAATTTATTCCAATGTCAAGTAATTTCGCAGATGTTATCATTGAGAGAGAAAGTGAAATAATAGGTAAAAAGCAATAATTGGATGAAAGAAAAAATAAGTAAAATTTATTTTATGTAGCTTTTCGTTTATTAATTCGATAAATAATTTTTCGATCATCTTTCTACGTTTATTCAAAAAAGAAGGCAGAAAATTGATGTAAAAGGCATGTCGTTCAATTTCAAATAATATCGAGATTTGAACTCACCGCGATTCTTTTCCTATTGATTTCCCAAACTCGAACGCGCTTTAAATAGTTGCGATCCTGAAGAAAACTCACGGGAAACTGAGAGAGATCTCGAGAGTTCTCGCAGACGACAATCGTAGTCTTTCCGTTTCTTCCTTACATCATGTATCACGTCAATGGTTGACTTCTTCTACTATCGCTGTTTATACCTGTGACAGAACAAAGCAGCTCTTTTCCTTATTCTACCCCACTTTCATCATTTGTTCAGCTATTTTGTTTGATTATTATTATCTCATTCTTTTTTAATCCGTACCGCGCCGTATTATTTGTATTAAAATATGAATTACGTTCATAATTCGCTATTCCATTACATTTTAGTAACATTTTTATAAAATATTTAATTTAATTTTTAATGTAATTAAATCTTTTTATATATACATATTCGTGTCTTTAAATAAATATTTAATATAAGTATTATACACAATTTTCCAAAAAATTGCTTCACGTAAGCCTCTATTTAAAAAATATAGTAAACTGCTCATCTTATGGTTGTTTCGTCATCTCCCAATGTCTCCTCTTCTCTCATATTTGTTCTTTGCCTCATCTTCATTATACACAACACACAACACTATGAAAACACGGTTGATTATGATGACGCGCGCACCATCACTAAAATATGACAATTATGCGATATTTTACATAACATTTACTTTCGACGTTAATCGCGCACTTTATTTTACGCAAACGCTGAGTTAATGATATGCAGTTGATACATATTACAGAGTTGTTCTAGTCTAGGACAAAAAAGTATCTATTTTTTTTTGCATTTTTTTAAATGTTTGTGGTCTCAAAAATAAATTCCATAAGAAGATTTTGTCGAAATACATAAAAATGATATATGTTAATCGCGTTTGTAGATCGCGACCCGCAAGTAAAAAATTTAGATATTACATTTTGATTCACTGGATATATTCTTTTACGCAATAGTTTTCCGGTTGTGCGCATCATGTATGCATTTTTCAAGATTATTGGAAATTTCGAAAACCTCTATTTCATAAAGACCATTTCTGCGAAGGATCGTTGAGTGAAGTAGACTTTAAAAATGGATAGAAAAAATTCAAGCTCATATCAGACGTGCCGACAGATCTAAAGAGAGAATGAAAATCAAAGTATATATTTGAACAAGACACATCAATTTGCAAGCACGTCTGCTAAAATAAAGAGCGCGTAATCGCAGAAGAATGAAATTTTGTTGAACAAACAATTACTTGGATACTGCATTTTCTATCTTGCACAGAGATTGTAAAATTTATTTATAAAAATCTGTTACGAAATCATTTGTCCAAGATTACACATTAATGATTTCTACTTTTACCTCAATATATAGCTCGCGTTTTGTAACAATCGCAACGAATTTAGCTACGCATTTTTAACAAATATTTTTATCTATTTTTGATTGCATTAATTAGTGCAATAATTTTATCAGGAACAAATTTTCTGCATATTATACAGAAAACATCTCTGACACGTCAAAGATAATATTGCAAGCATATACAGTCTCTCCGAAATGCATTGCTTCGTAACAAATTAAATATTTCGGCGCACAAATAAAAAATGAATGAAAACAGATATCTGCGATGACAAACTGGCGACTGATAGCGCGCTAATGTTTACACGTGGTAATCTAGTTGTCATACTTGTCATTCGCGCGGCGACACCCGAGGAGGAAGAAAGCCGGTGCATGTCTTCGTATCATCTCTCGAAATTGATAATTGCTAGAACAAGTGCTGGGCGATATCAAACACGTCATTCTGTTTGATTATTATAACTGGTGATGATTAAATAATTGATTAATTCGTCATTCCGCAATTATCGCGTAGTTCGATTAGCTATTAATTTGCAATTTGTCGAGTGAATTGTAAGGAACTTGTTATACCGTGACTTTTTTCGCGTTCTCTTACGACACTCTGCAAATATGCGTAGTGTTTATAGTATATGCATAAATGCCGCGCGATTTTCGCATTCTCTTGATTAGTGCGCGCGCGAGTGAGTGTTGTATGAGTGCTATAAAGATGCAACAGAGGATAAACGAGGTAGAAAAAGGTATTTCAAGAGACAGCAGAGCACAAAAGTACAAAATTTGTAATATTTTATATAACTTTATCAAACAAATTTTTTGTGTTAATTTTTCTTTTGAGTGAGACTATACACTTGAAGTGCGCAATTATTCTAATTTTTTTACTATATAGTGTTTGTTTCGTGAATTTTTGCGCACTTATATCTACGCAAGAATTCTTAGAACTCTTAAGATTCTTTACCTTAATTATCATAAATTCAACATTAATATACCTATGTATACGTACGTATAGAAAATCGATATATTGTTGTGTGTATATTATTATTAATATTATTACCAATTTATTATTAATAAGTCAAGGATTAATATCGCTCTAATCATTTGAATAGCGAGAATATATTGGCGAAGAACTTATCGTAAATTGCGTTTGTGGTTAATTATTATGATAATGGCAATTTATATTAAACGTATTAAGACTCTCTTTGAAAATTTGAGCTCAGTACTAAATGCACGTTGTACTGAATATTAACGTTGATATTATCGCTCTTGAAATGCTGCAGATATTATAAAGTCATTGTTGCGCGTCATTATTGAATTATTATATATATTAAGATATCGAAATAAAAATCAGAGATTAATTGAATACAATTAATTAAGTACAACGTAAATAGACATCTTAACCTGATTAATTATTCTTAAATTGTAAATGTGTTAATTTTATGACTCACTGGGAAAACCCAGTTACGAATACATGCATTTTATTGACACAATAATCGAGAGAGAAGGCTACTTATCATTAAAAATTAAAAATTTTGTAAGAAATTATGACTGAAAATTTCTCCAAACTGTTAACTTTATAAAGTAACTTTTATAAAGAGAAATTTTCTGAAATATTTATATAAATAAATTATAATTCATTCTCTTTACGTGAAAGTACTGTTTTAAATAAATTAAAAGTAATAATCTTGACGAGGGAGAAAGCAAGAAATTAGTGGATTTATGCAGGCGCTCGAGAAATTATTGAGAAATCAAATTGAAGCAACGCAAAATACGAATGAGTTGCAAACTCTTTTTTTTATACTGACTCGCGTCATAATTACTCGACAAATTTTATCCGTTTGAAAAGTAGATGACAGACACGCTCGATAACTTCAGTCACGTACATCATATACACAATACAGCGAAAAGATATCGAGTAATCAATATTATTTTATTCAAAGATACAGGAAATTGTTTTCCTACAAAAATCAAAATCTTCCAAAATTTGAAAAAAATCAAAGTAAAATTGATCGAATAATTACATTTTGAAAAAAGAAAGAGAGAGAAAATAATAACGAGCCAACGTCTTGTAAATTAAATTTAAATTAAATTTTTTATAATTATTTTATAAGTTTATACAATATACTTTTATTTTAATATTCTCAATGAGTTTATTGCTACTTTATAATATTTCTCGTTTATCGCAAATTCTATTTGATCATTAGTACTGCAATTTTAATAATAATTAGCTTTGCTTTCTTTGAGAGTATAAAATCTACGATATTAGCGGGAGTAGACAAACGTTTTATTCATAATCTCGGCAATTTATATAATTGATTGTCAAAGGCAGTTTAATAACATACTTTTACGATTCTTCTTTTTTCATACAGTTATTATTTTCATAAATTTTGCTAAATTCGTCGCTATGCTCAACTAATTCAAAGATGTTTAAATAATGATTATATACACACACTATATTATGAAATATCAATTATATCTTGTTTATCACGCACTGAATTATACAAAGTTCGATCGATCGAATAACTAACTTACTAAGCGACTGATTGATGAGCTGACTGACTGACTGACTGACTGACTGACTACCAGTTCGATGACGTTCGCAAGCGTCTGAAAAGATGAAGAAGTGGGGACGCGTTTGCACGGGAAGAGAGGCGAATATCTGTCTTGCATACGGAATGCCGCGATGAATATTATATCGCGATACTGCTTCAAAGAAAAATTCATTTTCATTTCACACTTGTCAGATCCTTATTGGCATTGGACTTGTCAAACCAAACTTGAAGTACAAAACAATTTATTCCTTTATGGCAAATATTTCGATCAATATATAATTAAACTATTAATGAGAATGGAGATCTTTAAGTTACAAAAAAAAATATTTTATGAAAGCAAATGGAAAAATTGAAGCAAATGGAAAAATGGAAGAAAAATTGATTTTAATGGATAAGTGCCCCAATTTTATTCTAAAAAAACAGAAATATTTGTTAAAGGCTTCTCACAATCGGACAGGTATGTTTCTCATTGATAGCTTTTAAATAAATAATCGAAACTCGACGGTGAAAATAATTACCCCAGGAAATCGAGTAAACGCAGAACGGAAACTTGGGTAATTTCTGCGCGTCGTATGCAGCTTTCACTGGACATTCTTATATCGAATCTTTTTTGTCGTTCCACTTCGAGACAAATTAATGACTAACAATTAGCATCGCAGCTGGCGCCAAAAAACTCGATTTTTCCCCGAGAACTCGGACACTCTTCGCGTCTTGTGTCATAGAATTTTCGAAATCCCATGTTGTTTTTCCTGATATACAACTTTATCTGTTTAGCTTGTTATTGCGAGCTATAATAAAAATCATATACTCGTTGTAAGAATCACTTATGTAGAATTTATGAAGAATTTAGCTGTACAATTTACTGTCATTGTCAGTTTTTATTTAATTATTTGTAATCGTATACTTTATTTCAAGATTTTATTAAGTCTTGAAGTGGAATATCAATAGATATCTCAAATTGAAAAATATCGCTTGAACGCGATAAGTAATGTTTGCGTGCTACATTTTGCACGTCTGCACGCAATTCATATGGATTTATCAAACAAAATGAATGTAGAGAGCTATTATCTTTTCCACATTACATTCGTTTAAATAGAAACTGACTATCATTTAATTTTTAAACATTTATACATATTTCAATAATGACACAATCACATGTCGATGGTAATAATAAACTTGATAGCAATGTAGGACTTGGACATACTTTTGTAAAAGATCTCAATATATTATATATGCATATGTCTATTTTATGAGATGCTCTCTCTCTCTCTCTTTCTCTCTCTCTATGTGTGTGTTATAAATTTATTAATAAAAACTTTTTTTCAAGTATATTAGTTATATTCATTAACTGAATAAATAAAAGATGCTTTTGGTATTTTATCATTAATATATAATCTCACACATAAAAATATTACATATCAATCACATAAATTTCTCAGAGAGACGTGAAAATTTCAAATTATTATAATTTTATACATTTAATCAGAAGTAATCTCGGTATTGTTTGAGACTTTAAGGAATATAAAATTATATATGACAAGAAATAGACTTAACTATATAAAAAATACATTTTATTTTTACGTGATTTGAAGCAACGCTTTATAAAATTATCATCAATTTTAATTAGCGGGTCTCTAATTATAAAAATAAATAAACTATTTTGTCAATAATAAAAAAGTGTAAAATATAATCCATTAGCGTTTCGTTATTTCTTTTGTCAGAATATGTATTCGCTATCTCTATATTATTCTCCGCAAACGAGCTTTCCAATTAAATTATCTTATTGAATGTCGCTGTAAATTACTTGGAAGAAACTCGATATCATGTATAAATTCTGTACAAAAGTTTCTAATTCGATTATGATCGTTTGAAGGCAAGTTGCATTAAAATATTCATCACACGAGAATAACGTACGACCGATCCATCGAAGTTTCCTGCTCCTAACGCGAACGAACTTCCCAATTAACGGTTGCCGATCGGCGGTGATTACATTGAATTACATTGGGGCACACTCCGTGACGCGTTAATCAGTTTAATCGATGGTCAGTTGCCGGAAGGATCCGTCGATTCCGAATAGATCGTCCTGCGTCTTTGGTTTGTCTGGTCGTAAGGCTTCGTTGGTTTTCACGGATTCCTGCTCCGCGAACCACGGCCCGTATTCCGTCAATTTCTTCATCCACATCTCTAAAAGAAGAAGCAATAATTGTTAGAGAAATTTGTTTCAACATTACAAATATTTTTATGTATTTTCTGCGCATCCAAATTTATCCGTTTTATCCAAATTATTCCGATTTACAACTGCATGTCTTGTATAAATCGAAAGTCTTTTTGGAAGATGTTTAATGATACAAAAAGAACTTTGCTCATTTTTATAGGGGTTTTAGGGATCCTCCAGAGATGAGATATCAAATTGTATTACTGGTATATAAATTCATTCATTATGTATTAATTTTATTATCTGTGCTCATGCTTTTTATTTTGTAGTTGAACATGATTCCCGCAGAATTCTTGTTTTTGTATTTATCTTTTCCTAAAGATTTCTTTTTAATGTCCAAAGTATATTTATCTCGTGGAGGTATCTTGGATGTAAAAATGGTGCTCGTGTCGTAGACTCTTATTTCTCCATATCATATCGGTTATTTGATATATTAAATATTTTTTCAAAGGTTTATAGGTACTTTCTGAGAATGCATTTGCCATCAAACGAATAAATGATCTCTACCATTATAAAATTATATTGTGATTATATGACTGGGGGGTCCAAAATGGGCTCTTATTTCTTCATATCATATCGGTTATTTGATATATTAAATATTTTTCCGAAGGTTTATAGGTACTTTCTGAGAACGCATTTGCCATCAAACGAATAAATGATCTCTACCATTATAAAATTATATTGTGATTATATAACTGGAGGTCCAAAATGGGCCAAGTTCTTTAGTAGGAAAAATAGGATCTAAATATTGAGAAAATTCGAAGAAATTCTTAAAAATTCAACGGGGCAATTTACGTAATTTCGAATAAAATAAATATAAGATATCGTGCCGTGTATATCTCCGATGGATCCGGCGTCTCCGCCATATTCGGACGGCATTATCTCCTTGGGTATGTAATCGTATAGCGTCTCGATGTTGCTATGCGTGAAGATGCGATTGCGTATCTTTTCCTTCAGGAACGGCTTGACGAAGTTGAGAATCGTGTCGATGAGCGGACTGATGTTGATTATGTGCACCTCTTTCAATTTCGCTGGATATGCTTCCTGCGCGCAGACCAGAAACTTTTTCACTAAGGTAGGGGTGAACTTGGCGAAGTACACGGGCGTCGCGATGGTAGCGTCGAAGACGTAAACGTCCCCGGCAACGCCGTGGGTCTCCTCTTTCAGGCGTATGTCGCCGATCATGAACACCATCTTTAATAACAAGATTTTTTTTATTATTATATTTTTAGATATTTTGTTATATATATTTTTCTTAACTTGAATATAAGATATGACGATAAAATATTGACTCGATTAAGTTTCACATTGATATAATTTCAGTGAGTTTTGATACCAAAGATATTAAGAAATATAATAATAATAATATGATAAAAAATATATATATAATAAATATACTATAAATATATATATAATAAATATACTATAAATATATATATATATATATATATATATATATATATACTACTAATAAATATCGAGAAGGAAATTCGTACCTTCATAGCTTCCGTGATGTGGGAAACGGTTATTGGCTGGTCTTTAATGAGACCTCGCATTAAGATCACACGACGTCCATTTTTTGTTAAACCGGGCAAAGGAGGTATCTGTCTGCAAGAGAAATATCAAGCAAACTAAATTAATATTTATCTTCTATTATTTTCTCTGATTCAGCACATATTTCCTTACACATGTTTCGCTACTTCTTGCATCGACGGCCTCGTCACGTCACGATTAGAAAAAAATTCGGGAATCACCGCGCGCATTGTAAAATACATATCCAGTTTTTGTTTGCATCTTTCCAAGGAGAATTTGCATCCGCGTAAAAATGTCATTATTCTTTGGTCATCTGAAAAGAAATCAGATTGCATTGTATCTATATAATTTATTAGTGATTAAATTATATATTTATTAAATTTATGCGAATCTTTTGTAACATTTTTTTGGGAATAATTGAAAATTTTAATTATTAAAATTTAAATATATAATCAAGTACAAAATATATATATTTTTATTGGCTCTCATGCAGTATTAATAGTAATAATATAAATATGATATTTAAATATATAAATTAATATAAATAATTATATAAATATGATTTTAACTATATAAATTTTTAATAATTATTTTATTATTTTTTTAATTATTAATAATGTATCGTACGATTTCAAAATATATACTGTCTTATACATATTTTATTACTTTCGATGACTTTGTATCGGGCATTTATTATTAAATGCCATGATAACCCGAATCAAACGTTTGTATCATATTCTAACACGCATAAAATCACGGAATTCTATTCTGTTTATTTAATGTTTCACTTCTATTTATTGAATTATCGAAAAATAATACCATCAAAGTGAGGTAAATGAGGTTGTTTAGCGAGCCACTCTTTAATCATCTCGAGGTCTTTATCGCGAGTCGCTGGATTCTCATTCAGCTCGACTTGTATCTGCTTAGACATTTCATCTTTAGGTTGTACGAGCAACATCTGGAAACGAAGATTATAATAAAGAAATATTACGTATGCAAATGTACTCGAGAATTCTCACATAATAAAAAAATATTATTAAATTATGACTTGAACGGTCTCCTTTTTTCTAAATTAGAAAGCGTAAAATTAAATTACTAAATAATAAATCGGACACACACGCACACGCACGCACACATACGTATTCTCACGCATACAGTTTTGCAGGTGCATAATGTCTATGTAATTCCTTCTCGGTTTGCACGTGTTCGGTTGCATGTAATGTGCACTACATGGATTACGCAACCGGTTAAGATACCCATCGTTCTTATGTCAGGAATTAATGCTGACCAAAGCGACTTGCTCAACCAAACTTTCTCTAAACTCGTCGCGGCTTCGCGGCTTGAGAAGCAAAGAGAATGTTTCTTAGCCTTTATCTTTTCTCGTTTTGGAAGCGATGACATTGTTCTCTCTTTCTCCTCATATCTTTTTTATCTCTTTTTTTATCTCATTTTTTTAGATGCGAAAAAGTTTACAATATCTCATTATTTTTTGCGTATAAAAAATTTTGTTATGATTTTTACATAATTTCATTTTAATATCCTTGTTAAGAGAACAATTGTGCGTAAAGTTCGATAACAAAATTATTGTCGCGTTAAAAAGTCTAAAGTTGAAAAACAAAAAAGAACAAATGTGAAAAAGTTTTAAAACGTTTATTATTTTCCACAATTACTTTCTCAATTTCTCTATAACGTAACATAATCTTCTCTCTTCAGAATAATTACACACACCATATAAGCATCCTTGGCCACAAGATAAAACGCGGAGAATTTGGCAAGCGTGAAAGTTTACGAGGGTTTTGAAAGTGACAGAATAAAGTTTGTAATATTGTAACCTTGCGACGAAAATATGTAAATTCAAGAAATTCAATGGCAATATCTATTTTTCAATTATATAATGTAAGATATTTATGCTAATTTTAACTTTAATTAACTTAAAAATTTTAATCATTAATATATTTTATTATTATTATTATTATTATTATTATTATTATTATTATTATTATTATTATTATTATAAAACAGCAGCAGTTACAAAATAGTTTTTTATGATTTACATTCTGCATAATAATTAAATCACTAAAAGCGATAAATTTAAATTGACAATGAAAATAACATACTGAATTTTAATGCTTTAATGCTTCATTAATCATTAAATGTTTTGACTCTAAAATTAATCAGAATGTGTAAATTTATTTGTTACAAGTAAATATTAATTGTGCTAAAAAGGAATTTAAATACGATTTAATAAGTTATAAGTTATAAAGCTTTTGAATTTTCAGATCTATAAAAAATGTTTAATATTTAATGTTTTATATGCCTGTTTGATATTTCTATATTGTGAAACAAGTTGAAAGCGTAACAAAAACACAGCAAATTCTACATCTTTGCATTATATCATATGAAAAATGGTTTGAAATTGCTAGTCATCTTGCGTGGTATTAGAAAGTTACAAGAAGGATTCCCTCAAAGAGTTACATCAAGATTAAGGATATATGAATGACTGCAATCTCTTAGATTTTTTAAAATTAATAAGATAATTTAATTAATAAGACATTTTGTATAACATGTGTAGTAGATCTCGATATTTCCAACAAGATAAATAAAATCTAAGATCTCCAAAACGTTAATAATTATTACAAGACATTTTTATTGTGACAATATAAAAAGACAAAATTGAGTGCAACGTTTTATTTATTTATCTGTATAATAATATATTTCTTTTATTGGAAGAGTTATATTATTGTTAGAAAAATATTATGTCAAATATTATGTCATATTTATGTTTTATTTATTTATCTGTATAATATAATTCTTTTATTGGAAGAGTTAAATTATTGTTAGAAAAATATTATGTCATATTTAAAATGTCCGAAAATATTTTATTATGTGCGTCCAAGTCTTCTTTAATGTAATAAGAAGAGAAAATTAAAATTAATTAATGAAAGGCTCGTATAAATTAACAAAATTTAAAAAAAGGTAAATATTGTAGGCCAACTAAACGAGCAATTAAATAAGATCTAAAGATTTATTAATAATTAAATAGTTAAATTCTCATTCCGTTAGAGAAACAATATACAGCGTAAACGTTTCGACTGCACTACAGTCTTTTTCAATACATAAAAATCAAATATTAAAATACAAAGTTGGTTAAACATTAAAATACAAAGTTAAACGATTCTTCGCTGATGACCAATAGATGAGTAAGACGATTGGTCTGAGATTCCAAGTTTTGTGACGTTTAATCATGCTGTGGATATTTTAAGAAGAGGAAATACTTTTACGAGCATTTTAAGCAAATTTTTAATTTTAATTTTAACTATTTACGTTTTACGATCTTCACACTCTTTGGTCCATGCAAAATATAGATGATACTATCTATTTCAATTTGAGAAAAATTAAAATTTTAATCAGTTAATACAGAATTAATATTTTACATTGGCATATATCGAGATATTATTCCTAAGTTTTATGCAAACACAAAAATGGAGCGCGACATCGGAAGCAAATATATATATTTGATAAGAATAAATGGTAACATCATGTACACACGCGCACGCACACGCACACACACACACGCGCGCGCGCACACATATGAAATTTAATTTATTAATAACATTTAATTGTTTAAATTTAATATAATGGTATAACGTAAAATTGCGACATAATTTGAGAAAAAAGGAAAAAAACCTTTTTTCCAAAACTTACCTTGACTGATGTTCAACACAAATCAGACGCACAGACACACTCGACGTGCGAACGATCGCGACGACGATGACTTTCGGATTGTTGCGGAAAGAGAAATGAACGGAGCGGCAAACTCGAGAGACGGCAAACGAACAACAGAGTGGGAACCACGATTACCTCGTGGACCGGTTCTCCTTTATACACCGTAGGGATACCCCACTCTCGCTTCTCTTACCGTTATGATACGCGGGAGAAAGAAAATCTGATCAATAAGCGATTTTTCGGGGAACTCCTAATTAATGATCGCGCGTTCGTTACTTTACAGTGAGTTAGGACAGATTTTCAGCCGTATTCGCATCTAAAATGGAAAAGGAGCAGTAAACTACGCGTAGTGCAGATCTTGGAGAGTACAGATGTCTCATAGATTGCAACAAAAAATTGATAACGTGTTTGCAATAATTTTAATAAAAAAAATTAATTGCGAAGCAGCTCATTATAAAATCAATTCAAAGAATTTTCATATTACATGAGAAAGATTTTTTAGTCCTTGAAGGATTTGTTTTTAATTCTGCTTCTTTTCGAAAAAGAACGATTACTTACTACATATGTATTATAAAATGTATTTTTTAAGAATAACGAAACAATAATATAAGGTTCACACTTTTTTTCTTTTGCTTGATATATGCAGCGATAATTAATTATGAATGCGCATCATGAAAAATAATTAAATATCAGGAGAAGAATATATTGTGCTTTTTGCATAATAAATGGCGCGATGTGCGTTCGTAATATAGTCAATTCATAATAATTACACCAATACAATCTCTCGTTATGTAAATGCGTATTACTTTTTGTGGCTGGGAAGATAAGCAGAAGCATTGAAAATAGCTACTTAAGAACAGCTGAGAAAACAAGGAAATATATGGAATCGACGCACTCGCGAATTCGCACTCGCTGTCACGTCGTAACGCAACAGCAACGATTTCGCAATCTCAATCTCTTTGCTTTCCAGCGAAACTCAGCGATAGCGACTGTTGCATTTAATATAATTCCGCGATTTTAGAAACTTTATGAAATTGTACGCTTGCGTAACGCGAAAATTCTCGCCCAGGTGAACGCGCACAACATATATCTTGGTCACTCCGCTCTGATAAACAAAATCAAAAACTTTCTTCTCAAGGGGGATCGATCTATGCGCCTTCAAACGCCTCACCTGTATGTTGAGACAGTGGAAAATAATATTCAAATCGGACATGTTGAAACGATTTACGATAAAAGAACTTATTGCAACTCACGCTCTTTTTTTTGCGAATAATATTTTTTGCGCGGTTTTATCATTCTAATTATCTCATATTTATCGAGCGAATTATTTATTGTTATTTATTATTATCGAGATTTATGATGTATTTTATTCTTCCAGTAAGCTCAATAACTGATGCACGAATATGTATAATATGTGATTAGATAATACATAGTCCTGGTTTCTGTTCGCGTGATGCGAGAAATAATGACTTAATTGGCAGCAATTTAAATATTGTATGTCTCCACTAACTAACGAAGATGATGATCGCGATATTCTCTCGATTTTTCGTACATATACTCGTATATGCGCACTTCCGAAGTTCCGAGTGCATATAGAAATGCATGCTGACTAATCGCGGTCAGCGCCCAATGCCCTCGTCTTACTTTCTTTCGCGAGTATAATAAACCGTGTACGTGTGTTGTTGGTTGCTACCTGTCGTTGTTGCACCAGCGTAAAATTACGGCGAACGTCATAATCGAAGGAATTCGCGTGTGCATAAAAGTCAGCGGTTGCAATCGCGCGATTTTGAAACTGATCGAAATGAGCAAAAAATTGCCGAGTAACACACACGTGGTAAATGCTGCAATTACATCACAGTACGAGATAGATATTACACGCGTCGTGTGTTTATTTTTCTCTATACTCGATTTAATTTTAGTATATCACGGATTTTGTGCTCCGGCGAATTTATGCCTCTTCAACATGTAAAATTGTAACGTCGGAGGCAAGAAAATACACGTTGAAAATTTTTGCGCGCCATTTTTAGATCAAAAGTTTTTTTGATGAAACACAACTTTATATATTTTTAAAATATTCCGAAAACTAATCTTTCTCCTTTATAATCAATCAACAGCTATAAAATGATTGCGACAAGAGATCTGATCCGTATATAGCCTTTTTAATTATGTTATAGTTTTTGATTGACTGTCAAGGGAAAAAAATAATTTTCGGAATATTTTTAAAAAATGTGTTAAAACCATATCATATTTAACATGGCCGCAGTGAAAACTAAGGAGTCTTAAAATTAATTTTTTTTTCCTTTAAAGGGAACATCGCAGAGAGATGGATTACTTTCCTAACACGCTTACATTAAAAAGGTTTTGCGAGCAACTGGTAAATTAAACTCTTGCCGAAATAAAGTTGTTGGGAAATTCAACGAAGAGTATAAAGTTTCGTTATTTGTTCGAGCCAAGTTAATTGCTCCGTTATTTAAATGCGAGTCGACAGAAATTGAATAACGCTTTGTATATATGAATAAACTAATTGTGATGCAATAGGGACAACAATACATCAAATGTATACCGTATTAAGGTTTATTTGCGAATTTGGTAATAAATATATCATGATATCGCATGACATATTATTATAATTTCCCTGAATGCTTATTCGTTATATATTCCCGCTCGAAAAAAATGACAAGAATACGAAAAAATTACTGATATTACAATAGTTCTTTAATAATACATTATCGATATACCAGTAATTTTTTTGTATCTGTAGTTTTTTTCGTTAAGGTTCTTTCTCGTAATCGATACATTTCTTTCTCTTTGACAAAAAAAATGATCAAAATTATCAATTGGCACATTTGTTGAAAGTGATTTCTTCGCATGAGAAATAGAAATATCAATAATAAAAATAATTGTCTAGCTGTCTTCACGAAGAAGCCCAGACGGCTGCGACGACCGAGGCCGCGACACTGAACATTGTAGCAAAACCACATGGCATTGTCTTGGACGAAGTCGAGGAGAAACTGGCTTCTTTCTTTTTCTCGATAATTGTTGTCTCTACATTGCTCACAGTATCCTAAGAAAAAGATACAGATACCATAAAATGCTCGTATTTATGTGTTCAGGAATGAAAGATTTTTTTTAGATTAAATTTTTTTCTTTCATCTTTGCAAAACTGATTTTTTGTCGATGAAAATTTTTATTGCGAAACGATTTTAAATTCAGAATAAAATCAATTTAATGTTAAACAATTAAATTCAGAATAAAATCAATACAAACTTACCTTGACATTTGTGTCAGTCGATTTATTTGTCTCCTGCGCAAAGATAAAATGATTTAATGATATTAACATTGAAGTTCTTATACATATTTACATATTTTTTGCAAATAATCACTTATAATAGCTAATAATATACATAATTAGTTATCCTAATACAAGTCGAGTTTTATTTATATTTAATATATGTATGTAATTCAATACGTGTTGCTTTACGTGAGAAAAAAAAAACGAGATTTATATTAATAAGCGTTACCAGTTCCTGGTATCGAAAAAAAACGCCGATATTATAAATGTATGCAGTTCATAATATTATAATAAAGTAGTGAGATTTAATAAAGTAGTTCTTCTTGTAATTATTTATTATTACGATAATCAATCTCACCGATTGTTCCACGGCATCCTTGTCTCTGGTAAATCGTTTCCGCACTGGCAGTTGTGAGAATATCGCGATGGGCAAATGCGAAACAATGGGAATATCGCGTTTATATCGATTTGTGCATCCCGAACCGATGCAATCGCTCGCGATCGCTTTTCTAATCGCGATCGGAAGCTGCTCGATCGTCGCTGCCTCTCGAAGAATTTCCTGATTCGGTCCTTGCGCGACGAACGGTACAGATTCTTCATCCCCGGCACGGATTTGCGTCACGATTAATAGAGTATCTTTTAGAGAAATCTGCGCCAATTGTGCAAATCATATTTAATGTGTATGCGCATTTTTATTAATGTGTAAAAAAATAATATGTTTTTTTATCGTTTTATTTGCAATATTTATATTAACTTTTTTGCATTTATTATAAGTTGATATAACTGTTTTTTAATGTAGATATTCTAGTAATTACTAAAGTATAGAGGCAAACACATTTCTTATGTTTTAAAATTATTCTGACCCAGATTTGAATAAATTATGTTATTATAACGTTAATGAAACAAGGATTACCTCACGCGTCACGAGATCGACAGCGATGATTCCCTCATTTCTCGGCACGATAGCGATTAACATATAACCATTGTTATTTGGAATGGACTTGAGACTCTTGATAGTATTTTCGATTAAATTAGTTACAGTTGGTTTAAGAGGAAATGATTTGTGTAATGAAAAATCGTCTTCGATTGCACTAGGGTTTCTACTCCACGATTCGAGCAGAGACCGGAAGATGTCCATACCGACTTTGGAAAACATATCGAAAACATTCCACGCGCCGTCATTATTCATCGCTAAAAGATCAAAAAAGATCAAATTCTTTAATAATTTTGTATGTTTCCTTATATATTAAAAAAATTACAAAATTTTTCTATTGCTTAATGTTTTATGTTTAGAATTGTTGTTATATTATCTGAATGAATCATATTATTGGTTTTCACTTAATTATTTCATTTTTATTTTCTTTCATGTCCTTTTTCAGTTTTGGATATATTTCTAATATATTAAAATAAATTAAAATTTAAATGTTTTATACGAATATTATCAAAACTGAATTAGAATTTAAACATTAAAATTTTTGAATATATTTTAATATATTAGAAATATATCCAAAACTGAAAAAGACATAAAAGAAAATAAAAAAGTAAATAATTAAGTAAAATACAACCAATAACATGATTAATTTTTTTTATTTCTTTATTTGTTACTTGTTCCATCTTGAGAGACTCACTCTCTGTTTTAGGATCAGCTGTACCCAAAGAAGAAATTGATTTCTCTCGGTTGGAGAGATCGCCAATGATTTTCCAAATGTCATTTAAATCACGTTTGTTCTTATGTATATCTGACTTTATATCGCTTTCGTTGGATACATTAAACTCTTTAGGGTATAATGGAGAGATGAAGAAGTTGCTATTATGCACTACACCTATAAAATCGATTATATGAAATTATAGCTATATGGATATGAAAAATATATACATAATAGTATATTTTATAGCTATATATATTTTTAGATATTGAATTTTTTTATTTAAAATTTTCTTATTTTAAACGAAATATTAAAAAACCTGTTGTCATTCCTCTCGTTTGTCTCGCCCAGGTCACCAATTCTCCGATATTCGCACGAAGAATACGCTCACGATCGCAATCTTTTCCTTTGTTTTCAGAGATTAACGCACCATCCAAGGAGATACTAGGAGTCTCTATCTTGCTACGGCATCTCTAATTAATATTGTACATGACATACATAAACATTTATGGACATACATAGGCAGAAGATATTAATTTCGTAAATAATTCAAATCTCAAATTAAAATCATGAAATATGAACAAAAACTTTAATATATATATATAATTCAGATTTCCCACAATGCAAACATTATATTATAATTCTTTCTTAAATATCATGAACCAAAAAATGAATGTATTTTTGATTATTTCCTTAATTTATGAATATTATATTTTTATCACAAAATATATAAATTTCGCTATTATAATTAAAAGCGTTTAAATATATTTTTGCAAAAAATAATATATTTTATTTTAATTATTGTAAAATGTTAGAAAAGAGTTGAATAATAAAAGAGAAGCCCAAGTATATTTATTTTTTGTCATTCTTTTTAGAAAATATAGTTAATATGATTAAGGAAGTACTTGAAGAAATCCTTCAATCGCGAATCTGTCAATCGGTAATCTGTTTTTGTAGTGTTCCCATAGACTTTCTTCCCTTTTCTCATCCTGATCCCTCTCGTCGATCAAAAGCAGCATGACATTTCGCGGAATAATATTAACTTTAGTGTTCTTTTCCGAGGAATTAGACGTGTCATTTCTCATTGTTGACGCCGCTGTATTATTGACGAATTTGATCTCTGTACTCTCAGTCGTCGCTCTCTTTTCTCGCGTCCCATTTTCTGCTATTCCTTCCAGATTTGCCGACACTTTCGCATCCGCAGTTTGCAATATTCTGTCTGTACCTGTCACTTGCATCTTGTCATTCAACGCGGTGTCGACCCTTTGATAAGTGTCCAAAGACGGTGCTGTATCCCATGTAGACGGCACAAGTGCAACTTGTCAAGTGGAAAATAAATCATTAGTCAATAGTAATCAATCATTCAATCATTAGTATAACAGTTTAGTTTTCTAAGAAAAATCTATTTAAAAAACGCGCATTACGCATTTGTATAATATACATATTTTCTCGGAAAAAAGGGAGGAGAGATATAAGAAACGCATAGAAATGCGATCTGACATAAATATTAAAGATGCTAAGAGTCAACTGAATGATTATAATTTGTGTAATTAATGCACTCTGTATTCTTTCTTGTTGTTAATTATAATTACAAATGTGGCTATTCAAACGTTGCGAAGACGAGAGCAAAGATTGACGTACCTGAACGATCCATCGTAAATCCAAAGGAACACGTCATCACCGACCATAACACCGCAAAGACACCAGGATGAAACATGGTGTTTTCTTTTCAATTTCTGTATTATATCAATCAAATAATAATTTAACGTGTTTTTATTACTATTTAGCAACGATATGTAGGACGGATTTCCTTGTCGTGTAATTTAATGTATACATAATTTAATGTATACGTAATTTAATGTATACATCACTCACCCCGGGTAATCAATTTCTGACAAAAATGCAAAGTTGAAGCGATTCTTTGCTTTTGGATCGTCGATCTCTGCAATTACGTGAGAAAATATGTCCGACTTGTTTTTTTCTTGAAAAAAAAACAACTAGGCTATACTATTGTCAGTTATCAAAATCGGTTGCCTGTACAACCAAACAAATTATTATCTATATGGTAATCAAAAAGTATACTACATTTTGCCAAATTTTTCGATTACATAATTACCGCTAAATTTAGATTTTTAAGCATGTATATACTTTTATAATAAATCAAATCGTCTGATTTGTTACGATAAATTTAAACCAAAGGATAAAATAATATTTTTATACTTTAGAGAACAGAATTGAAATACGAGATTTTCGTGTTAAACACTTGACATTGAGCGAATCTTGTGATTTCATAGGACAAGAATTCATAATAAATATAATTAACTATAAGTAGTTGGGATGGGAATTATCGTCCTAAATAATAAAATATTCGTCGGAATATGACTTTCGCGATCCATGTTCATAAGTTGTAGCGCAACCCCTGTTTCAAGTCGATATGTGACATATTTAACCGTTGAGACTTACATAGGTCAGTTGACGGTGAACTACGCTCAGCCGATTTATACTATTTGTTTTACGTCATTCATTTCGTATGCATCCACACGTTACACACAAATCATTTATCTCCATCGATTAACCCCGACTTACGTACGTGATGACGGTACTACAGTAAATTGCCACTCGTCCGTAAGCATTTGCACGTGGAATTTTTTCGACGCAAAATCTTCTGTATACATTTTTAAAAAATATGACAATTTATCGATCTATTTTTTACGGAAAAAATTGATTATATATAATCTTATTTAAAACTGATCATTGAAATTAAGTTTGGCTGTTGTAAAAAATATAAATAGACATAAAGAAAAAATGATGAATTGTCATTAAATTCTGTTTGCAAGATATGCTTGCACACGAGTCGCTTAACAAAAAAATATACATAGTAGGAGAAAATATCAATATTATATCGAAGGGGTAAAAATGAAATTTTTTATTCTAATGATACAAGCATGAGATATTAATCACGTCCTTCGGTCTACATCATTATACCCTGCAAAGTATTTCGAAATAATTTTACGTATACAATCGAGTCTACGCGCCGAATCTCCGATAAGCGGAAGTTTCATTCTCACCAGTTGCTGCTGTAAGGCATCTTGGAACTTTTAGAATGTTTTTCTTCGGTAAAACTTTCTTTATGTTGAAAACTGCATGGAGAGCACACGACAGCGTACGGTCTGAATTATTAAGAAGATTATAGACCCTCGGGGATGGTGCAAGAAGCGACATGGCGTCGGAGGAACGTCGCGCAGCGCGCGACCAAGTGGTCTGCGCCTGGTTACCAAGCCGCGATTGGTCCACGTTTGGTAGCTACCCTACTGGAAGGGGTTTCCTGCCGACGGGGGTGGTGGCGGTGGCGATGGTCAGGTCATAGCCATAGGGGATTGGAAGAATACAGGGTAGGAGCAGAGGGCACCTTGGGTCTCAGTCGGAGAGACGTCCGTTCACAAATAACGAGGATCTGTCGCAAAACGACGACTGATGGGGGGCCGGTTAGTTAGTTTGCTCTTCTTCGTTCTTCTCGTATATTTGGCACGATTGCTGCAACGTAATCGCGAGGCGCTGAAGGCCGCGTCATAATTCATCAGCGGAACCGAGTTCTTGCCGAGTGATCTTGGACACATCGAAGCTACCAAGGTAGGACTTAACCTTCGAAACAAGTGCTTGAAGATTGTTTGAAAAACACTTAAAAATTGCCGGAAACTTTTAGAGTATTGCACTTGCATTGTCTAGAAAGCTAAAAGTATGTAAATGTCCAAAGCAATCGTCGTAAGCATCGCGAAAAGTCTTCGCTAAATCTTGTGAACGTTTTATATCGTCTGTCAGGAAAAAAATGTCTAAAGACTGCCTAAAATATCGAGAAAATCTTCACATTCCCAATTCTTTAGTAGTATACACGTTTTTATTGTTTGCTGACTAAATATTGAAAAAAATTTGAATTAGCGACATATAATTTTACACGAAAGAAGAGTCGCTTCTAGAAGTTTCACTAACTACTTTATGTACGTCTAGTGGCCTTGCGATAAATAACGCAGGTCACGAAATGTGGGCGTTAACGTAAACGCTAGTAACTATGGAGCTGCTAACAAATTTTAACGACGATCCATTTCCCCGCAGATGATGAAGATGAAGCAGCAGGGCCTTGTGGCCGATCTAATGCCCAACATCAGGGTTATGAAGATGTTTGGGCATTTCGTATTCAACTATTATGACGATAATTCGTCCAAATATTTACATAAAATATTTTGCTGCGTAAGTAATCATGCGTTTTCGTTCGATCTAATTAAAAATGTCGAGGTTTGTTGGTTTAACAAATTTAATTGAGCTAATCATGGAAAGCGATATTATTACTCGTCCACCTTCAAGTATTTGCGGCTCAGCCGGAGACACGTAACATTATTCTTTCTAGGTGAATCTATTCCTCCTGCTGTTGCAATTTGGTCTGTGTGCTGTAAATCTAATAATCGAGAGCGCCGACGTCGACGATCTCACAGCCGACACGATCACCCTTCTCTTCTTCACGCACAGCATCGTCAAAATCATCTACTTCGCTGTCAGGAGCAAATATTTCTACAGAACGTGGGCGATATGGAACAATCCGAATTCCCATCCGCTCTTCGCCGAGAGCAACGCCAGATACCACGCGATCGCTTTAAAGAAGATGAGGCTGCTGCTCTTCTTAGTCGGCGGCACCACCGTGCTCGCCGCGGTAGCTTGGACCATTCTCACCTTCTTTGAGCATCCGATCAGGAAACTGGTAGATCCCGTCACGAACGAGACGACAATAATCGAGGTAATAATTCAGACTTGTAAGAAATTATTTTCCAATGCAAAAAAATTGAGACTCGATTTAAATGATAATGCTAAATACATAACTAAGAATTATGCACAAAAGTCGCGTTCGTTCAATTTTACTTTACATGTATAATAAAATGATTTTTTTTTTTTTTTTTACACATTCTAGCTACCACAATTGTTGGTCCGTTCGTTCTATCCGTTCGATGCCAGGAGAGGGGTGACGCACATTTTGATACTCATATACCAGTTCTATTGGGTGTTCTTCATGCTTGTTAACGCCAATTCGTTGGACGTTCTCTTCTGCTCATGGTTGCTATTTGCCTGCGAACAACTGCAACACCTGAAACAGATCATGAAACCTCTCATGGAGCTGAGCGCGACTTTGGATACTGTGGTGCCTAATAGCAGCGAACTCTTCAAGGTATGTCGAATTTCTACAGGATAATACAATATAGTATTTTAAATTTTATTAAAATTATTTATATTTTTTTATTATATTGATATTTTATTTTATTATATATATATATTATTTATTTTATTAAATTTTTATTAAAGTTATTTATAAAGGAATAAAAAATAAATTTTATTTTTTATGCATCTCTTTTTATGCTCTCGAATTTGATATGCAAAACAATTCTTTTCTCTTGCGCGTTCAGGCCGGTAGTGCGGATCATCTTCGCGAAGAATCTGAGAACAATCAACCTCCACCACCAGTCCCGCCTCAAGGCGACAGCATGCTGGATCTCGATCTTCGCAACATTTACAGCAATCGACAGGACTTCACGGCGACCTTCCGGCCGACTGCTGGAATGACCTTCAACGGCGGCGTAGGGCCAAACGGATTAACGAAGAAGCAAGAGATGCTCGTGAGAAGCGCCATCAAGTATTGGGTGGAGAGACACAAGCATATTGTAAGGTGAGTCCATTAAGTTGGAAAGTTCGTCATCAACTGTCGATCGCGAGCCAGTTTCTCATGAATAGTATTGTATAAAAATGAGGAGTCGCAGGATAAATCGCTTATCAAGACCGAGTGCGAGATAAAAGATTCAGTATCGAGGGTCGCGATGAGAGATGCGAGTCGTCCCCGTACTCTACTTACCTACTGAAGACGTATAGTTAATTCATGCGCGATTCCTCTACTTTATGAGTCAACGACGGATCACTTCTTTGAAAGTCATCTGCATCTTGCGTGGACTAGTGACCCAGAATCTTGTAAATTGCACGTCTTCTCGGCATGTATAAAGAATTTAGTATATAGAGGCAACATATTGACCCCATACAGAAACGTGCTAACTACTCCCCTCAATTATTAAGAGACGACAAAGTTATCAAACGTTGCGCGATCAAACATTTAAATTAGGAATATTTTATAATATATGCGGAAGCTTTTCTCAGAAATATTTTTCAATCTAATTTGATAACGCATCGATCGAATAAACCATTTTTATGACTTTGAACGGAGAACAGAAGAGTAACGAGGAAACAGTCTCTAATAAAAAAGATTACGAAATTATATACACTACTTTAACACACATATAGTAACATAACTGTAACAACGTGGTTTACTTTTCAAGGTTTATCAAACTCCTAATATTTGTTTTGGTACTTTCGTAGTATTTTAACAACCTGTTATTGACCGTAGTTGTATATTATACTACTTGGTCGTACACGTGCAGTAAAAGTATTTAACACGAATGATCAATAAAAAGTTTATTAAACATGACAATATGAGAATGTTCGCGAAGACTTGCATTTCAATATACAGGGTGTCCCAGACCTACCGTATCACACGCTAATGGGAGATTTTTGAGGCAATTTTTCCTCAGCAAAAATGTCGAAAAAGGTCATCATTTTTTTAATGTTCCCAATTTTTGAATTCATGTATCTTTGTAACTAAGCCTTAAATTAAAATTCTATTAAAGTAAACTTTATCTGAAATTAATTGAAAAATGTAGTTTTGTTAATCATTTATTTTTACAAGACTTAGTTTACAAAAAAGCTTATTTTCAATAGTTTATAACTCGAAAATTATTGGTGCCTGGACATTTTCGCTGAGAAAAATCATCTCCAAATCGCTTCAGGAATCTCCCATTAACGTGTGATACGGTAGGTCTGGGACACCCTGTATAATTAAATTTTGTCTAAGTTAATTGAAATTATGACATTTAACGCATTAAAGTCACTCGTTAAGAGAAACTTTGCAATTTTGAAATCGAATAAAGCCACCTATTAGAAAAAAATATCAATTGTCAATGTCTTTTTTTTATACATAGCAATCTAAATATTTTCAAGATATATGGTGAGCATTTTACCGAAATGAAACCCCTAACAGTTTTACAAAAATTGACAAAGTACACCATATATATATATACTTGATAAAATTGTGCATATCGGCGCAACGCAAAATTGCACCTCGAGAGAAAGAACGGCGCGAACGGATGTCGTGTTTCCTCCCTCTCTCACCCCCTTTCTCCGTAAGTTCGCGAGGGGGTGCCGAAGCCACTCGTCGGTTGGCGCAAGGGATGCGCGTGTTCCCACGGTGGTGAAGTATTTATTCTAAGAAAGCGCGATATTGACCGCAACGGGGGTCGTGTATTGTGTATGGACTGTGCGATCCGCGAGAGAAGGGGATGATTCGCCTCTGGTGTTCACGTGAATGCGCACACGTGGTTCGCGTGCCCCACGCGCGCGGCGATGACAGATTTTCGTCCAAAATCTGCGATCTTTCAGATGACATTTCGCGCCTGTTTTTTATGACATATCATTCTTCCTAGCATGACAGCGGGATTTAAATTCGTCGATATATTGATAAATTATTATTTTTTATTTTTTTTTTATTTTTTATCGCATTTTTTTTGATAAATTAATCTCGATGGCATATATAATTTCGATATTCGAAAAATTGAATGTGTCCCTTCAGTTCTTGTGTGAAAATTCTCTTTAATAAAGCTTGAAGTAATTTTCTACTTTAATTTGTAGCCTTTTTATATCATCGATAATTATAAAATAATTTTTATTGCAACAAGAAACAGAAAAACATTGCGAATTAATATCTCAGAATTGTTACAATATATAAATTTTATGGTTCAAACGGGAGAATTGTGTCATTACCTTCGCAATATAGGAAGTAAAAGATATTGACCGCAACGGAGGTCATGTCCTATAGGTCAAACTAAGTGGTCTAAGGGATGATGAAAAGTTTTTACTAAAAGTATCGCACTGGAAATTTAATTTAGAATTTCAGATCTTCACACGCACACACATACGCGCGAAGAATAATTTTTAAAAAATGTCAAACGTATTCGCGTACGCGTAATTTTCCAGATTTGATTTTTTACGATAGCGATGACCTCAGCGTATAGACCATTACATTTTCTTCAAGGCGTTTCGACATATCGATCATTCACTTACAGGGAATAGCGTTAACTCGACGAACGGTCGGTGAAATAGGATATATAATACGTGGTGAAATGAAAGACACACGAGCGATCGTTCGTCCATCGTTGTTCAACTTTGTTCTAATCACATAGCTTAGTATGAAAATCAAGGGTGGCGTGCCTATGGACGAAAGAAAATGAATATTACGAATACATCTTTCATAAGCCGCTTGTCAACGGCTCGTAATGGCCGGTGTAGGTCATTCGTAGATGTCATTTGTTAATTTAGCAATTAATTATTAATTAGCATTTAATAATAATAACAATTGTTTGTTTCATTACGATTTAGATTGGTCACCGCAGTCGGGGACGCTTATGGTTTCGCTCTTCTGCTTCACATGTTGACGACGACTATTACTTTGACATTGCTCGCCTATCAAGCGACCAAGGTAAGTTGCCTTGTCTTTTTCAAGGTGGTGAACAAAAGACTTATCGATCGTATATAAATTAGTAAAGCAAGAAATGACAAAGTCGATGAATTTAATGCGAGAGCTTGAATATATATATATCAGAACATATTAGGAATTAAAAATTTATACTAATACGTTCGAGTTTTAAATGTTACAGGTGAATGGTATAAACGTTTACGCGGCCTCCACCATCGGTTACATTCTCTACACATTCGGCCAGGTCTTCTTGTTCTGCATATTTGGAAATCGATTGATCGAAGAGGTACGTAAAACGCGAGAATTTCATATTTTATTTCAAAGAGCAAGAAAAAATATCATATAAATTATTACGGACGCGTAAAAAGGATTAGATGTTTCGACGTAATTAAAAAAAAATACATCGCCAAGAATCTTAGAATTAATTTTCGCCGAGTAATTAAAATCTCTGCGCTTTCTTTAGAGTACTTCGGTGATGGAGGCAGCTTATTCTTGCCACTGGTACGACGGCTCGGAGGAGGCTAAGACTTTCGTGCAGATCGTGTGTCAACAGTGTCAGAAAGCTATGTCAATATCAGGAGCGAAATTCTTCACGGTGTCTCTAGATCTCTTTGCTTCGGTAAGATTGAACATTTATATCTCTCGATTACTTTTTCCGAATACATTTTCGTCAATTTCCTCGTCCATCAAGATTACAACGAAATGACACCTTTTTTCTTCAAATGTTACAACTCTCCAATTTTACAGGTATTGGGTGCCGTTGTAACTTACTTCATGGTGTTGGTGCAACTGAAATGAGCATTTGGCTTTGTGCGTTTCAAATGCGAACGCGGCATTTCGTATTGCACGCGGCTGTGCAAATTTATATTTTTTAAGACATTTACAAGGGGAACCAAATGTGGAGTATTCATGTTCGAAAAGATCTCCATGGGAAGAGAGTCCTGCATTTTTACGGGCGAGTATAGTGAAAATATTAAGTGAAAAATTCGAAGAGAAAAATTTGCAGAAAAACAATTATTTAAAATCATATAGAAGCAATAAATATCTTTTTTATCATTACATACAAGTCAAAGAGAAGAATGAGCAGTTTTTTCGTTCAAATGTAAATTTTTCACATAGATCTCTATATATGATTTTCTTCTTTGCGTTAAAAAGATTAACATAAGCATTTGTCGCGATTTATTTTCGTCAATTGTGCAATTCTAATTTGACGTTTATGGGGAAGATATACGCTATTATAATATATCGTTCGAAGTACCGTGGCGATAATGCGATCGTCATATATTATTATAATAAATAAACGCGAAAGATGTTATCGTTTTTGTTTAGCGTTGTTCAGCATTCTAACGTTATTATGTTCTCAACCATTTGTATTTCGAAAATCGCGTCATTTCTGAAAACGGCGGGATAAAGCGGCGCATGTACATTAACGAGATAGTCTGAATAACGTGTAAATAGAATGGTTATATTTTCTAGGAATAGGGCAGTAATCCGCTGAATTGTAATGTTAAATTTTAGGTAAAGGCACTCGCTTTATCGTACGTACGCAAGAAGAAATAGCATTTGTCTTGATGCAATTTAGACGCACGTTAATTTATTTACTAGTTATATTTCTTGCATTCGATATGAAAAATTAGATTACATAAAAATATATATATATATATATTGTTATTTATATAGATAGCTGTTATTATAGATTATATAAATGTTTTTTTTATTTTATGTGAATTTTTTTGTGAATTTTTTTGTGAATTTCGGTATTTCGTAGCTTAATTAATTGTTACACAATTTTTTTATTTATTTGCCTTCTGTCCCTTTCCAGTCTGTCTCTCGATAATGATAAAATTTTAGGTTTCAGATACATTTTTAGGCTCTCTAGCACAGAAAATGCGTTTTGACACGTAATACGATTTGTTAATCTCCATATTTATTGTCACTTGACCCTTCGAGGGGATAGGAATTAAACAGTCCATCGATTTTGCTTCTTATCACGCATCTACGAGAAGATTAAAACAAAAGATTTCATCGATCAATGAAATACGCGAGTTGAATAAAAATCTTTGCCGCTTCGGGAATAGTGTAAAAAATTATAGTTTCTTGTTTCTCGGCGATAAGAGAAAAATGGCGACATATATACAATTGATGTGATACGTCAATTATTAAATATGGTACAATTATCGAGAATGGTACTTAGGGATTTAATATACATACATATATAAATATATATAAATACAGAGAGTAAGATATATATAACATATATATATTTTCATTATATATACGTAAATACACCACTTGCGTGGATGGACGAACGTATACCTAATGTACCTCGTTTTTTATATTTCATAAAATATATCTCGGTGTCTCAAGTAAAAGATAATATCTCGTCACAATATTTAGTCCAAAATGTCCAAAAGGATGTTTGCACCGTGCATGGCTGCTCATTCTGACCGTTATATAAATATGTACCTTTTATCGACGCGGATATCGTTTTACGAGACGACGTGAGATATTTTTATATCCTTTGTCCCGGGGATACAAGAACAAGAAATCCGTATACATCGTTGAAAGAGAAAGAGAATAACGTAAAATATATAATATATATAATATATATTCTAAAGCAGAAAGGCACCGTTTTATAAACGCAAATAGGCGAAAGCGTGTCCGACGATATCCGAGCTCGATCTACTTCGATAATTAACGTGTAATTAACATATGTGTACATTACCGTGTAATCAAAAGTTTAACCGACGACAATCACAGTATTATCAAATATAGTTTTTCTCTATGTAAAGCTATGTACTATATATTTATTTAATAAAATCTTGATATAAACGTTCATAATAAAAACTCCGGAGTGTTGGAGCAGGAGAGTTCAAATTTTGTATTTTCGTACGCGATCGAGAAAGTTTCGAGAAAACTACGTTTCCGCCGAATAAATTTGTTGCAAAATTTACTCTTTCACGTCTTGAATCACAGCACTTGATAAAAATTCGTTACGCCAGTGCGCTTCGTTATAAGATACATTTGTAAAAGAAAAAATTATATGGAAGAGACGCAATTTATCTCTTCTCGAGAAATTTAATACATTATTATATAGCGAGAAACGCGGATTTCTCCTTATTTGATTCGATAGTTGCTTTCAAAAAACATGATTCTTCTTCCGACACAGAACATTACAATTTCATCTTAAATAAACATAACGAATTTACAAGGGGATTAAATATAATTGCGTCAGAAAATACATGTTCTGAGGAATTAACGCGAAAATAGGATCATATAGGGATAAAAAGGGATCATATACCGTCGCTCTTGCTTACTTAACGAGAAAACTCTTTGAGAGATATACAAACAAAAAGAAAATGGATCTTTGCAGCAATCTTTTATATACATTGTGTGCTTTCCTACTATTAATAAAACTTGGTTGCGAGATAAATCGAGATAAATACTTGAGTAGAGCGAGATGACATACGCGACTGCGCACTCTCTCTCTCTCTCTCCGCTTCGCGTTTTTTCCAATATTAATAAAATATCGACGTAAAGGTCGCGAGACTTGGAGACATTATATATCTCGAAAAATGAAAGGACAGTGTTTGCTGTTATCTAAATAAAATTATATAGATGATCATTTAGATAAAATTTTCACGTCATCTTATCTTTATATAATAAAAATATGTTTATTATTTTTATCTGCATTTTAAATGAAAAAAGTGTTATTAAATTATATAGAATCTAGAATAATGTTCAGATAATTTGGTTTGGGGCCATAACACAAAAATACTTAAGCAATAAACGGTAAAACTTATAAATAAAAGTATGAATATGTTTTTACATCTCTTTAATAATTTATGTTTTTTTTTATAACTGTATTTATACATAAGTGATCTTAAAAATAATATAATATTATCTGGAAGTTATCTAGATGAATCACCACATAATTTTATCTTTTATCTAGATATGCATATTTATTTATTTATTTATTTATTTAACAAGATATTTAAAACGAAATCATCCTTTATCTACAATAAATTAACGTATTTCGATCTCATCTTTATCTAGCTAATTAAAAATCACCTAAGCACAACACCGCGAAGAGACGATCTATTGACAGCAGTCGTGAAAATAATAAGCATTTAACAAACCGAACGAGAGAGAGAGAGAATATAATTTTATCTTTTATCTAGATATTTATTTATTTATTTATTTATTTATTTATTAAACAAGATTTTTAAAAGGAAATCATCCTTTTATTTAAGATAAATTTACATATTTCGATCTGGCTAATTAAAAAATCATCTAAACACAAGACCGCGAAGAGACGATTTATTGACAGCGGTCGTGAAAACAAGCTTTTAACAAACCGAACGAGAGCAGAGTCGGAGAGTCCGCGGCACGCAGGCGCAGAGAGCGAGCAGGAGGCATCCCCGAGGTTCTAGGGGTAGCTTCGATCGTCCGGGGGATGCCTCCCGAGACGTCTCTACCCTCGTGCGTGCTCTCGCGATGCTGCCTATCCCGAGATCTCGCGCCGCCGTCGTTTTCGTGACAGTGACACGCCTGCGGTGCCGATCCCGCGCGATTGCGTAATTCGTGGATTCGCGGTGAGAGATCGGGAGACGCGTCAGGTATAGTTCGGGAGAGAAAAGGGGATGTTTGCGGTCCAGCAAGGGGATTCTGCGATCGCGCATCGCCGTCGGTAAAGTAAGATGCACCCCGACCGCGGGATCAGCTGTTGGCTCGATCAAGGACTGGTCCAGATCTGGAAGGGTCTGGAATCGATCGTGCTTGACTGACGATCATCAGTGACCGATGATCATCATCATCAACATTCTCGCTCATTCTCACTGTCATTGGGAAGCAATATTCATCAAGCAATATACGTCTCGACCGTAACTACTTGATCACCGTTTTATCCTCGATTTACAATTACTAGACGCAAATGAAAATGATGTGACAAAGCGAAAGTGCAATGATGGTATGTTTTCTGGGACACTTTCGGACACCGAATCTGATCGCGAGTGCGACGAACGAATTTATTCGATCTAGACGCGCGTGATATGATCGATGATCGAATAAAATTGATTCGATCAATTATTTTCTTCATCAAATATAATCAAATTTAGAAATGACTTTAGTTAGCAAGATTCGAAATCAATGTGTAATTTTTTAAATTACACGAGGTGATTTTTGTAATTAAATCTCGATTCTCATATTCATATACGAGAACAATCGCTATATTTCTTCGGGACGCGAATAAATTAACATATACATGTTTTTTTCATCAACGTAAAAAATTGAACTTGTGTTGAAATGGCAATGGAAGTTCATTGACTCTGATGATACAATATTCTGAAGAATATAATTAATCAGATATATGATTCAACGTGGAAGAAACAATTTTGCAATCAAATCGCACAACGAGAACGTGTTTTCTAAACACTTTCTCGACAGAAGCGAGTATACGCACAATAAGAATTCGAATTCCTCTAGCATTCTAAAATCTATTACGTTTGTAACAAACAATACAACTGTTTGATTATGTGATGACAAAGGCAGTGATACACACATACATACATAAATACGTACGTAAGATGCAACGAGTTACATAATCTATATCTATAAAGTAGTAAAATATTATAGATGTCTCTTGGGGACGTTTTGAATTGAGAGGACGTAAAGCGAGGCAAAACGAACTCGGAGTATCTATTCGGGATGAAATAGAACCCAAAGGACGATCGAAACCTCTTTATTCGTAACGCGAGATTGTTGTAACAATGACATGTTAGCTTCTAAGGATTAAAAATACAGTGAGAATTTTTATGGAAGAAGATAATTTACATTAGTATTTTTTTCAATTGTTATATACATATATATGAAATATATCAAAAATATAAGAAGCAAAAAAATGTTCAAGAAAAGAAAATTCGAAAGCACGAGAGTGTTGAAGACCCTGTTGGCGCAACCGACGAAGATTAAATTCATCTTTAATCATTAGAAGGCTCAAACAACGAAGTCGTACCGAAATTAAGCAAGACGGGGCAACTTGTGAGAACTTTTTGGCGAATCAGCGATAACCATAGGTACAAAAACTGCGAGCGGCTGGAGGAGGCGAAGCCTCCCGCCGCACAAACACTATCGTAAGTATTATTCGTTATTTTTTTCTTCAAATATCTTATTCTTATTCTCTAATTATTACTCATTATTACTCATTATTACTCATTATTACTAATTATTACTCATTAAGAGTCTAATTATTACTCATTGAGATGTGCACGAGAGAACATCGTTTCATTCCGTTGTCTGAAACGGTATATAAAATATATTTTAGATATATTAATTTGTTATTATTTCTCTATTTTTCGTCTTATTATAATGAGATCTTTTAAAATAATTTTAAAGATCGAAAAATACTAATCAAAATCTCTTTGTGATAAGAGAATTATGAAAGAGCTTTTTTAAGATTTAACGCAACAATCGCACTTTTATCGATTACTTTTAATTGTATTATATATTAATGTTATGAAAGCTAAAATTAATTAAAAGCTCCGATAAAAGCCTGCAGCTATGCATAATAATTAGAGTTTCTATACTATAACATTCTGTTGATGGAATAACAACAGGGCCGTCTTTCGCAAACTTTAACGTAATAATTTGTATAATTTAATCCGATTAATAGCCATACGTCAATGCGTGATGATCTCTTCATTCTGTAACCTGGCACGTGCACGGAATGATTTAATTATCATTCAAAGAGTCCGTCGTTCAAATATTAACAATTCGAGTAATTCGGACTTTGAAACATTATTATAATCAGGGTTGGGCAGGTACTTCGAAACAAAATATTTAAATACAAGATACAAGATACTGCTTGACATATATATTTAAATAATATTAAAATACTTTAGTTTTAAAATATATTTAAATACTAATTATATTTAAATGCATTTATAAATACTTTTAAATACAATTATTTTTTTAATTTTCTGATTATATACTATATACTTAATATTAAAGTAATTACTTTAATATTAAGTATAATATAGTCTGACGGTAGAATTATATGAAAATAAAATAAAAAATAAGTTAATTTTTTTTTTTAACACTTTGAAAGATAAGTTTATTTATTTGAACTTTAAACTTTATAAAATAATAATAATTACCTGGATATAATAATCGCAATTCTAATTCTCGGCATACACATACATATGTATATGGTCGTTGATCCCTGCCTGAGAAGAGACAGTATCCCAGAGTTTCTCGTCAGTCGATCGGCGAACTTCGACCGCGAAGGTCGTCGGAACGCGTCGACAGATGCGCGAGATGAGAGCATTCATCATTTATTACCACGATCGCGATATTATTTTTAATCCAATCTCATGGATAACACGCTTAGAGATAACGAGACGTCATCGAGCTCGATCTTGCAAGCGAACAGGCGACTCTTGGGTAAACGAGATTCGCTTGTCAATACACGTGACGTTTTGATAAGTTCATCGTACTCTATAAAAATGCATGTGAGATATATTTTTATTTTTTATTGTACGAAGAGAGAAAAAAAGCACTTTTGCGGGCAAAATTTATATATTGATTTTATTAAAAAAAAATTCCGTCGTAGATCTTTCCGAACGAATACGAACGAGTATCCGGAGCAATTTTAAATATTAAAAATGTGTCGAAACTTTTTCTACGCCCGAAACAAAATACAAAGGGCCTTTGTATTCGGAAACCTACTAAAATATAAATATAGCGGGAAAAAGTGTTCAATGCCTCCAGCAGCTGCTATAAAGAATGCCGCGGTGCAAAGTGTCAAAAACATGCAGTTGGTACCCGAGTATACCTAAACATTAATAAAAAGTTGAAAAATTAATTATCGGCAGAAGGATTAAATATAATTCGTCATTGTGCTTATTTTGCCATATGTAATGCCATATTATAAATGCCCTTAATTAATTCGATTATTTAATCACGAATTGGGGATTTGATTGATTTCCATTGTAAAGTGCATACCTGTCATTCGCTGCTTTTATTTGTGGCGGCATGAATTGACGCATCCTGTCAAGTTTAAAGAGCAGGATAAAATCTTGTATAATTGTATGCGTAAATATTAATTTATATATAATATATATATATAATATATATATGTATACATATATATTTTATTATTTTATATATATTTTTTTATAAGTGCATTATATGTAGCTTTTGATGTAAATTTATATAGAAATATAATTTACACAACACACACACACACAGACTTATTTTAATTTAATTTCGTAAATTGTAAAACTCTGACACGTCACTGGATGCTATACATCTTCATGTAACGTGTTCTTGCAATTGATACATCATCTATTTCTTTCGCAGAATTATATGTTGAAATTAAATCTTTTCAATCGTGGACGTGTGCTGCAAATGCATTTTGTTCGCGCGTGCGACCCCGTAAAATAAATACTTGAGTAAAGACAAACAAATCCGATCTCGATAGATGTATTTATGGATGCGTGAGTTGTGTGTGAAGTTTCAGCATAAAAATTTAGTCTCTCTCTCTCTCTCTCATCCTTTTATGAATAATATATATCTTTACGACGGAAGATTCTATATAGAATAGTATTATATACCTACTGTGAAATCGACAAAACAAATGTTCAGAAAATACTTTCTCGCGAAGTTTTCTACGGAAAACTTGGCACTTTACAATACGTGCGAAACAATGTTCTCGTGACTAACGGCTAAAGTTGCGATCTCATTATCCGTTTCTTCCGAAGCGGATTCTAAATACTGTTAATTAATTCGTTCCATCGGATCGTTGCGCATTTTCTCTCTCTGTTTTTTTTTTCTATACGAACATATCGTAAAAATCAAACCAATGTAGGAAACGAACAAGGTTTTTCAATCATTTTTTTGCTATCTACGTGGTATACTAATTAGATTGTGATATTTAACAATTTATCAGATTTATCAAATCCTTGTTACATTTACCACTTTATTGCACAAAAATTTTTCCTCAATAATCTGATTTTTAAATCTTAAAAAAGCTTCTGGGTTTAATTTATACTGATGAAATCTTGATTACACTCTTTATATAAATGTAAAATAGTTATGAACTTTGAGAATAATTTTGGTAGATTATACAATATACTATATATATATAATCTTTGATATTTCAGCGAAATTTAATATGATATACAGGATGTTTCTAAAACTATATTCAGATATTTAAGGGTGCATTCTAGGAGTCAAAATAAAAAAAATTCCTATAAAAATGGATTCAAAAATTTTTAAATCCATTTTTACCTAGAATACTTTACCTCCGAGTTACAGTCTCTTTAAAGATAAGTGAAAAAATCGAAAAATATATTGTATAGTTTTCGGAGATTTTTCGATTTTCTCCCCCAACTTTAGGCTATATAACTCGGAGGGAAAGCATTTTTTGACCCATGCATATATGTTTTAGAAACTTTATCTCTTATTTTGAGCCCTAGAATACGCCCTTAAAATCTGTGACATAATTTTAGAAACATTCCTGTATAATTGGCGAATATACACATATAATTTGCGGAACATACACATCGCGAAATTAATTCAAAACAAGATTCATTCGCATCGCAATATTCTCAAAGATCGGATCTCACAAAGTTAGTAAAATCCCTCGATACCGTGTACAACCGAGCAACAAGTTTTCTCTACACTGCATATGTCACACACATATATATATACACTATATATTTTCGTGTTTCACACAATTCGATTGCTTCTCTGCTACAGAGTTGGACCTCGATTATTTGGAAAGAAGAGGAGGAAATACAATAACCTACGAAGGTGCCGATGCCGGATCGAAAGAGGAGGAAAGTCCCGCAGACACATTAGATCGTGTTAAAGTTGTCTTCCTGGGTGCACCCGGCGTGGGAAAGACAAGTATAATCCGAGTAAAGTCCATTCCCATAACATGATCGTATCAATTACTTTTATATTTCGCGTGAAAATGTTCTCTACCCCGTTTTTCAATTAATTTACCGTGTATCAAACGTGTAGTTAATTAACGCGTGCGTCGAATTTCTATCAGTTTAATAGATTTATTCTGAAATCAAAACATATTTTCTAATTTAACATACTTCAGGCTCTTTAACATTTTATGAATAAATATATAAATTGCAATAGTTTCTAATTTTTTTTTATAAATTATTCTATTAATTGCATCGATGACTTAGAAAGTATTCCATGTACGAAACGCGATTTTGCATGCGCGCGCTTCAATGTACAATTGACGAAAAGGTGTCGGAATCTTTGTTTCAAAGCCAGGAAGGGAACAAATCACGGAAACGAGTCGCTGGAGCGCTCGATTCATTTCCGATAGCAGTTTCCGCTTATCGAAGGCGACGATTATCGACTCGCGAGATAATTAAAAGGCACGACGAATTTCCTAAGGAACGCCGTTCGCTTCCGACAAAAAAGTGTCAAATTTACAAACAAAATTTTGTACTATGCGCCTAGTGTTGTGCTTAGATGATTTTAAAATTAGCTAGATAAAGATGAAATAAAAATATATAATTTATCTTAGATAAGATAAAGATGATTTTGTTTTAAATATATTTAGATAAAAGGTAAAATTATATATATGACGATTCATCTAGATAATTTTCAAATAATATTCTTTTTAAGAACTTAAGTATTTTTATGTACTAGGCTCTAAACCAAATTATCTGAACATTATTCTAGATAATTTAAAGTAAAGATAACACTTTTTTCATTTAAGATGCAGATATAGATATACCTAGTACATATTTTTATTAATTATACATAAAGGCAAGATGACACCAAAATTTCATCTATATAAAAAAGTAATATAATGGCTCGCGCTTTTTGCAATGCAAATAATTATATCAAATACAGGACCAATATACGCGAGCATAGAATTAGGTGTCATATATATATATACAAATTATGTTAATACGAAATGTTTAAACATTTAATAATATCTACTTAAAATATTAATATGTACATAGTAAATTTGATATTTTATTGTGATAGATATTACTATTTTCATTGTGATAAAAATTAATGAGAAGAATTCTTCTAAAATTCTTCCAATACCATATTGTCCATGATTACCATGACATTCAGGGTAAGTCCTAAGAGAAAATTCTCTCTGTGTGTATTCGATATAATTATTTTCATCTATATAATTTGATTGATTGATAACAGCAAACACTGCTGCATGCGCCTATTATTTTGACAAATCCCGTTTTTATTGATGTTTCCAGCAATTTGTTTGGAGCGAGTTCTCCGAGGAATACACACCGACCGAACGACGGGAGACATTTTATCCGAGTGTGGTGCTGGCCGATCGATTGTACGAACTAAAGATCACCGATCTGCCGACCATTCCGTACTTCCCGGTGAGCTCGCATCTGGAATGGACCGATTTCCGTTATTACGGATTACGGAGCGCGACAGCGTACGTGCTCGTGTTTGATCTCAGTAATCAGGACACGTTTCAGGTATGTACCCCGCTTGACGAGAAATTCGACATGAAAATGTGATAAATCGAACGCAAGAGATAGAATTTTATTTCGACAAGTCGACGTCAGAAACTTGCGACAAATGTCTTTCTTCGCAAAGTTCTTTTCGCGCGAGATTTTTTCCCCACGAAAGCTATCACTTCTGCGACTTGCAGCCGACACGAAGTTGCCGGCGTAAAAGTTTGATTATCTGAATGTTTGCCCGGGTGACGAAAGACCGGCCTCTTGGGGACAAAACCTAACGCAGAGTTTGCACAAGTTTTCCGAATCGATTTTTGCCGCCGACAAGTCAAAAGTATAGACGAGGAACGCGATATAATAATCATGTTATACGCGTAATCAAATAAACCAGTTGTTTGCAACATAAAATTTAGACTACCAAGAGAAGAGAAACTCTCCAACTCTCGTATTTTATCTATAGAAATATTTTAACCGTGCATTTCTTGAAGACTGCACGGTACATAAAATGATGCACCTGTATCCCAGATAGACAGGTATGCTGAACATAGTATGCAAACATTTTATATGTATACTTTGTAATGCAATTAGAACAGCATAAAATTACAAATCATTTTAATAAATTTTAATTGTGTATTATGTCATATTGTTAACATATATTTTATATATTTTATATAAAGTAGCAATATGTTTCTCTATATTATAAACGCAATATATATATTTCTGACAAAATAAGCAGCACATTTTCTCAATTTTCACAGCATTACAAGATCCTTTCACTTGCTGATAATACTCATGTCATATGAGGACGTATCTGTTAATGTTTATGCAAGCATTTTCAATTTTAAAATGTGTCATCATGCAGGCAATCTGCTGATATATGTCTATCTGGGATATTTCTTCAAAGTTACAAATTGAAATACTGCAAAATATACAACTTTAAAATATATATATATATATGTGTGTATACAAGGGGGAAAAATTAGCTAATATTTGTTTCCATGTACTCTCATTTGCGATCGATTTGTTCAGTACATCAGAACGTTGCGCGAACAAATCTACGAGGCGCGCGACATGAGAGGCGTACCGTTGCTGGTGGTCGGAAACAAGCAGGACGAACTGTCGCAGACCGTCGCTTCCGGGACCAGATACAGGGACATCGTGAATCTCGTCCGGAAGCACTGGAGATGCGGTTACGTCGAGTGCAGTGCCAGATTTAACTGTCGCGTCGTACAGGTGCGCTTCATATATTATTTATCAATTTTCTTGTCGAGAGACAATCCGCGTATTATTATTATCATCCCCGTTTGAATTAAACTTACCCTTACTCGCTCTTCTAGTTCCTTCATTATTATTCTATCATTTTCTGCATTTATTAGATTATTCCGTATGAAATGTCTCATTTTTCAATGTCAATTTTTTAAAGCTTTCTCTTTGACAATAAAAATCTTTATGTTTGTACATGTTTTATACAGGGTATTTTTAAAGCTATGTCGGAGATTTTAAGAGTGTATTTTTTAGGGAGCATAATAAGAGAAAAAGTTTCTAACATGCCCGAAAATGCTTTCCCTCCAAGTTATAGCCTTCTAAAGATGGGAGAAAAATAAAAAAATGTGTTGTGATTCTCGAAGATTTTTTCACAGATTGTTGAAAAAATCTTTTTCTCAATTTGTGAAAAAATCTGCGAAAGCAATAACATACAATAAACATTTTTCGATTGTTTCACCCATCTTTAAGGGAGTTATATAACTCGCAGGGAAATTTTTAGAGCTAATGTTTATAGGAACTTTTTTCTTATTTTTATTTCTAGAATATATCCTTAAAATCTCTGACATAGTTTTAGAAACATCCTGTATCTCATTTTAAAACTCAAAATTTACCTTTTATTTTTTGGTTTAATTAATTTCAAATGTATTTTTTTCAACATTTTTTCAATATGAATAAACGTGATTTTCACGTACTTTTTTGTATAAAAAAAGTGGCCAAAATGCAGCAGCCGCTCGAAACATTATTAATGCTGCATTCGGCGAGAACTTTGTTAACGAACACACCACTATAAAAAATAAAAATCTGAAGACAAAAGCTTCACAAATGACGATCGCGGACCTGAGACTATTGTTGATGACATTAAAGGTTGAGACATTAAAAGTTGAAGCGAATCCACATCAAACTATTAGATATGCATGAATGATTCTTACTTTGATTAATAAAGTTAAATTTAAAAAGTATTATGTTTCTGGAAATTTTTTATTAAAAAATACTTTTAATACAAAAAAGTACGCGAAAATCATGTTTACTAATAATGAAAAGAATGTTGAGAAAAAGTATAATCGAAAATTAAACCGAAGACTAAAATCTCAGATATAAAAAAGCAAATGAGCTTTAAAATGATATATAAAACATGTACAAAGCTAAAGATTTTTATTGACAAAAAAGTTTATATTGCAAAATTATGGAACAATCTAATACTACAACGAATAATAATTGATATTTTTTAGAGTTGAAAAATTTACCGAAAAATTCACAAAAATTAAAAGAGTACATTTTTTATGATAAAAATCGTGTTTAAATTGTTTCCTATAAAATTCACTTGTTATAAATTCGTAAAATAATAAAATAAAACGTTTCAAACAAGTTAAAAATGACTAACAACTTGTCTCGATAATTGCTAGGTATTCCGAGAACTGATGAAGAGTATTCAGGCGATAGAGGGTAGGCCGAATTCGCCATCACCCGCGACTTCGCAACCGATGCGAGCCTACCCGCACGACACCGGCGAGAAGTGCATTCTTCTCTGACATTGAGACTAAATCATATACCCCTGAGGTCATAAATAGATCTCGTGCGATCTCGTGCAAGAATAAAATGTGCGCTTTTCGATAGACATACAGATATATCCGGCGAGAGACTCTCGTCGTCTCTCGATTTAGCGTACTGCGGATCATTGAGTCTCAAAGCAATGAAAATTTGCTCAATAAAAGAGCACATCGATCGACGAAAGTCGAAAGCAATAGACGTCACAACATACAGATGATTCTTCTAAAGTTGCAAAGAGTCGTCGAATAACGCGCGCGAAAATGTTACGAGCCAGGAAACGTGATTTCGGAATAAGCGACAATAATAATAATTGAAATTTTAAAAATAATAATAATCGAAAATAACAAAAATGTCAAATGTCAAATTCGCAAATCTCAATCATATGTGTAAAAGATTTTCTAACGAATCATTCGCAAAAATTTCCAGATTTTAGTGGACTCATCTCTTCGCGGTATTAATTTTTTTTTGTATTCGCATTTGTACGTGTGTGTGTTTAAAGATTATATTTCTTTATATAAATCACACAAATTATGGCGTACATGTGTGATTTTTGACTAATCAAAATTATATATCGACTATTAAATTTCTCGGAAGAAAATAAAATCGTGCCAATAGAAATTAACATTCGATAATGATGGTGAAGAATGCTCGGAAGAGGATTATCGCAAATAAAAAATGACAAGAGAAAAAATAAGACGAGAAGATAGCAAAATGCAGCGGTCGAGTGCATTTTTTTAGCTCAATCCTTTCCTCGTGCTGCATTCGGCCTAAATATAATATTGACGTTGTATTAGGAAGATATTCGTAAAGGGCGAAGCAATAGTATATATACACATATATAATATATATACATACACATATATATTTTACTATACTCTGTTAAAAGTTAATCGATTATTAATTTAATGTTGAACATATAGTTAATCATTCGCGAAAGACGTAATCGTTAATATATATAAATATATGAGATGTTATAAATACTTAGTATTATAATACTAGCATATATCGTGTATATTAGCGTTATTACCGTTTGTATGTATTCTATGATAAATGCAACGTGTGCATATAGCCACATATACATACATATATACACGCGCGCAATTTTTATCTTAGATCTTGAAGTAAGACACATCTCCGTTCAATTCGTTATATAAACGCGCCATTTTAAAAAATCGCTCATATTCACTGCGTATAATATCACATATGCGTAGAACATTAGCAGAATAGAATGTTATCAATATTATTATTATCTATTATATTTGAAGACATTTGTTGAGAATAATCATACGAGCCTGACAATGATAAAAAATATACATAAATGCTCAATTACTCGAAATGCATTTTGTAATACGCGAACGCATGTATTTGTTAGACGTTTGTACGAATATCGTAAATCGACGTATTTTCGATGGTTTAAAACGAGAGAGAGAGAGAGAGAGAGGGGGGAGAGAAAGAATTACAACTGTAAAGAAACAAAAAATCATTAAAATAATACACCGAAAATATGAGGCTGCGAATATCTCATATTTTTTCAGATGCGATTCTCTCGTTCTACACTATCGATTTGTGTCAGTGTGACATGTAACTGATACATACAAATACAAGAACGATATTGTACGAACTACAAGCGATGATCTCTTGTTTTGTATGTATTCGCACGATATTCGCAATAAAAATCAGCGAAATATTAGAAATGTGCATATCGATTATTTTTTTCTATATATAGCCCAAAAAATGCATTTCAAAATACATTTGAAAATTGCCTAATAATATTTCTATTTGCATAATTATCATTTAACAGATTACAGATCTTCATCAGTTTGGTAAGTATTAAATAAAAAATTATACACATATATATATATATATGTGTGTGTGTGTGTGTGTGTGTGTGTGTGTAACGATATGCAAAACAGTAAAATCGAAAACTCTCGCTTCTAATTTCTCTTCGTCCGATTAAACGTCAAAATGTTTAAAGTAAGTTTAAAGTAACGCAAAAATTGCTGCGTTGCATTTCGGGTGAAAAAAATGAATTCAAGTGTTCAATTGAAGCAACAAATAAATTAAAATTAAAATTCAACACACGCTGCTTCCTTCGCTATATCTTTCATACGTAACACATATATCGTCGGTCAATTCAAACTCTCGAAGTGAAGAGATTATTAAAGATTACGAAAGATGTTTCAATCGTCAAGAGGATTCCGGTGTCGGAGAGTTCGTTTGCTCGCTCTATGGGATAAGGGAAGGAATTGCATCAGAGAAAGAAAGGCTAACTTTGGAACGGGAGAATGGCACGTATGACGGTTGGAATTGATTTATCGAAGTACGAGGTTGCGATATATAATTCGCGCGCGAGAAACTTGGCGAGGAACTCGCGCTAATTCCATTCCTGATTCTATTTAAATACGTAAACAGCTTTTCGAAATGTACGAGATGAACATTAAATCTGTCTGCTCTAACTAAGGTAAGCAAGACGAGAGGAGAACCGAGCACGAGCACGAACTTAAAGGAGGCTCTCTGCGAGAAGATCCCGGTGCATCACGATCTTCTGAGATATATTCGACGTTACTTCGGTCCAAATATTATCAGTCAGATTACGGTCGACAGTCTTTACGAAGGATTGAGCGACGTAAACTCAATCGTCAAAGAAACTTCGGAAATCGACCCTAAACGCGGTGTAAATAATCGCATACTCATTTATTGATATATACACTGTCCCAGACTTACTGTACCACTTGTTAACGGGAGATTCTTCAGACGATTTGGAGATGATTTTTCTTCAGCGAAAATGTCCAGGCACCAATCATTTTCGAGTTATAGATTATTGAAAATCAAAGTTTCTTTGTAAATTAAGCCTTGTAAAAATTAATTATTAACAAAACTACATTTTTTAGTTAATTTCAGATAATAAAGTACTTTAATCAAATTTAAAGCTTAGTTACAAAGATACATGATTTTAAAAATTAGGAACATTGAAAAAATGATCTTCCTCGACATTTTCGAGGTAAAATCGTCTTCAAATAATTTGAGGAGTCTCCCATAAACGGATGGTACGGTAAGATTGAGACACTCTATAATTATTTTATATCTCAAGAAAATGATATGCTGAAGAAATACAAGAGAATTTCTCTTTAATATAAAATAAAATATTTGCTTAACTTAGTCGTATTTTATTCTTATATTTTTTATAATAAATTAATTTACTCTCTTAACATTGATTTAAAGGAGCTTTAAGCTTGTTGGATAAAAATATCGATACTTTTCTTATCGTTCGAAACTTCTTTAGCTCGTGTACCGTGGATTGACCATACCGGAAGTAGTCACTCTATTGCCTCGTCAAGGAAACTCGCCGAGTGCGGAAGCTATCTTTTGGCTGCTCTTAACCGGTGACATTCCGACGCAGCAGCAGACAGCTTCGCTTATCGCCGACTGGACGTCGCGACGTCAAAAATGCACCGAGTGGTGGTCGGGATCGCGGGGTGAAATGATAATTTCAGTTTTGCGTTCTATGCCCGAGGCAATTACACCCATGCATAGATTATCGGTCGCACTCACAATTTTCAACATCAGTAAACAAGCGAAGGAGGCCAAGAGACACGGCGCTCTACCGTACACATATTGGGAGGTAATTGAAAAAAATGTATTGTCATTATGACAATTTTTACTCAATAAGCAGAAAATTGCGTTACTTCAAAATAACATCAATAAATAAAATTAATAATGGCTCTATAAAGACCAAATTAAGTTAATTGAGAGCTAATAAGAGCGGATATCCAGATATTAAAAAATAAAATTGACGTGTTCCTTTGATTAGATAACCGTTATTAATTATTTAAATAATATATAATAAATATTATTTATTATATCCTTAATATCGACTCTTATTAGCCAATCAGTTAATTTAAAAACAAAAATTGACATTTTAGTATTGATGAAAAAAAATCTTTATTTTCTTTGACAAAATGTAAAATATAAAATAAAATATAAAATATAAATATTAAAAAATGTAAAGTGCAAAGGATGCAGTTAAATATAGATTAAAAATAAAATAGAAAATATTACAATGTAAACATAAACAAAATTTACAAAAAATAAATTATATTTTTTATTTTTAAAATAAATTTGATGACTCTTCTTAATCTTCATTTTATAATTAAAATTAATCGTTTAAGAGAAAGTAACATAATTAATATAAAATTGAAATTTAAAGTGTAAGAACAGCAACAAGAGCCAATCGCGGAAGACAGCGCGCTATCCCAACGAAACTAATTTTTTTTTTTTTTAATATAAAATTGGTGCCTTTTTCTACAAAACATTTTATATTTTTTAATAGATCTATTGTATTTCTTTTATTAAATAGATCTACTATATGTTTCTCTTAATGTATTTTATAAAACGTTTATTTTGACTTTATAAGTATACCTATGAGGATGGTATGGAATTTCTTGCAACCTTACCAGCAATCATCGGTCTAGTTGCAAAGAGAAAAATGTTGAAAAATGTGAGGAGTGACGGTGATTGGGTTCAATTTCTATTAGAATGTTTGACCAACGTGAACGAAAGCTTTGACAGCCGAGAATCATCGGTTGTGGATTTTCTCAGATTATACATCACTTTAAATGCGTAAGTATATACTTATAGTCGAATTTTTAATAAATAATTTTCCAATAATACAAATTTTCATGGATAAAAAATAAATTCAAATATTAAGTAATTCACACATTTAAAATTCCAATATTAAGTAATTCACACATTTAAAAACAACGAAGTTATCTAAAATATTTAAACAATTAAAAGTAAAAATTGGAGAAAGAAATTAGATGATTAAAAGAGAAAAGTGATTAATCGAGAGGCGAAATTTCGTGCTAGATAGTGTTGGTTGAAATCCTGCCATTTTATCTTTCAAACTAACCAAGAATCGAGAAAAGAATAAAAGAATCGAACAATTGTTAACAGTGACGATGACGGAGGGGCTCCTGCCGCTCATGTCACCCATATTTTGGGTGCGACTGATCTCCATATAAATGAGATATTATCGAGCAGCGTTTTGGCGTACGTCGACGAGCCTAAAAGTGGAACGATGTCGCAGGTAACGAATCGTTGAAAAAATGGTTTAAAATATCCTTTACGCTTTTCTAGCTCTTTTTTCGCATATTATATGTAGTGGAAAGAATTGCAAACGAAAGTTCAGAATACGCTCGGTCGAGGATGGACGGAACACGACTTGAGGACTCGCGTGCTAAATTTATGGAGCAAAGATAAATTGATAGGACACATGGAGGCGGATTTCTCCGATCCACGGTACACGGCTCTCTTGAATTATGCCAGACAACATTTGCCCGATAATGCCGAAATCAAGGTACGCATATGTGCGCGCACGCGCGCGATAAGAAAAAACAGATTTGTCTTGGCTGAGATACGAGCCCAATAAAATTAATTGTAAGAAATCTTTATAGCTCTCGCAGGCTATCACACGAATATTACAATCGGCTCTAAAGAGACCAAAGAGAAAGAGTATATATCCGGAACAGAGTGTCATAGCTTCGCTTATTTTTCAGGTAAAATTGTAGACACGCTTTTATATATAGCAGGAATATAATTAAAAATAAAATTCTTAGGAGCAGAAGATTCAATATTTATGTTGTAATTTTTACATGATCCTGCGCACAATAGAAAAAATACTGGAAATAAATATTAAATATTAGGAATTATTTTTTAAAATAAAATAAAAAAATCTCTGATATACAAATAGAAATTCATATAAAGTAGCTCTTACTAGTTTATTAGCCCTTACTATATCCTCTTGTATTTTTATATATCACAGTCTTTTTGATTTTATTATTTTTAAATAATTTTTATTTCTAATATTTAATATTTGTTCCTAGTATTTTTTATTGTACGCAAGACCTATCTTTTTCATAATTTACCCAAGTAGCAAAAATGTGTATAAAAAATGTTAAGAACTCATTTTCAAAGATATTTTAGAAACGTTAAAATAATTGATTGTAAGTTTCTTTTTATTTATTGAAAAATATTATTTTAACAATCAATGTAATATATTTTATTTAACGTTTTTATTAAATATTTATTTTATTAATATTTTATTAATAAAAGATTAATAATATATTAATAAAATAGATATTTAAAATAAACGCTGAATAAATATATTTATTTATATTACATTAATGTTAAAAAAATAAACGTTTTTTTAATAAATAAAAAGGAATTTAACCAATTATTTTCAGGTTTTTAAAATATCTTAGAAAATAAATGTTAAACATTTTTTGCTACTTGTGGGAAATTTTTTTTAAAGAAAAGATCGAAGAAAAAATAAGACAGCATTGTTTAAATAAATATATTCTAACAAATTGATGAATTCGCAGGTATCAAAATTATAGTCAATTTGACTTAATTTGATGTCAAAATAACGTCAAATAAAATCATGAATTTTGATAACTTGCATTACTTGCAATAATTTGTCTTTATAGTACTACGGATTGACGGACATGAGCTTGAATCAAACTATACTTTACATGGCGAGAACTTTGGGAATGATCGCCTCGATAATTTGGACGACAATTATAAATTCCCCTGTCGAGCATCCGATATCAAAGTGCACTTACAGTTACATCGAATCGGCTCGCGACGATATCATAAAAAAGCGAAAATGCAAGACGACCTTGTAAGCTTCCTTATAATTAAATAAATTTCACAATTATATTTTTTCTTACTCTTCTATAAAAGGATTAACCTATAAACTATTAATTACTCACTGACCTTTCCTCCATTTGCGTGTGGAATCCTGTACTTACGTAATCTCTTCTGGAAACTGGAAACTATTTGTGACACGACGCGCGCTTTTTCTCAATTAGTCGTGAAAAAAAGAGATGCATTTTCGTAATCAATCACGTGATCACTTTCACGATACACTATGCGACATCTATGAGCGAGACTCGATATATTGTTTGACAGGACGTGAACAGCTGATACAGCAGAATTCTTGTTTCAGCATTGATAATAATAAGAGTGCACGAAAATAGCACGAATGGAATATTTATTAGAACAAATGTGTACACACTTCTCTCTCGAATTCACCTAAAAAAAAGAACTTGCACTCGACAAGATGGAAAAATTGATCGAAGAGAGAAAAAAAACGGAACACGCGCGCTTCAGCTTTCAAACCTCCCGGTTTTAGCACGCGTGCTCGAGCTGGATCCAATTACCGTCGTACAAATAATCACGAAGAAAATGGCGTGACACGATGTGCGTTCGCACATTTATAATTATGATAAACAGAGATTCGTGGAGAAGACGACAAAGAGAGGACACGGTACGAGAGACGCAAAATAGACGGACTAGAATATCTTAGATTGCAAAAAAGGGAGAATCGAAATGATTCGACAATCGTAGCAGAGAGCTTCTGTACGATTAGAATATATATTTCGAGGTATATTTACTTTTTCCTGCAACTTTAAAATTGTTAAAAATGTCAGGAAGCATCTGCTGTCATTGTTTAATTGTTTTCTTATCTCTGACATTTTTATATCATGACGTTCATCTTCGTTATAGAACTTGACGTTTAAAACATACAATGATATATTCACTTCAGTAAATTAATTGAAATAATGTTGTATTATATTATATAATATGCTATGCAGCACTCCATTTTTCTTATATCATTTAGATATCATTTTATAAAAATTGTGTATTATATATATGTATGCTGATGGAATACACAGAACTCTGATAAACTATTTTTTGTTGATAAATTGATCAAAATTTGTATGTTCTAGCTAAAATATGGATGAAAATAGACCAATAGAAGGTGCGTTGAGGGGTAATTGCAATTTGACAATATCAGATATGTCAAATTCAAATGAAAATGGACAAATTCAAGAGTCGTCAGATAGTACTAGATGTACATTGGAAAACATGAGCCCTGGAACAGCATTTAATTTTAGTGTCAGAACAGCAGAACGTTCTAGAATGTTTGCAGATAATATATCCTCCACTATCCAAGGAATTCGTCCTCTTATACAACATGCAGCGGTATGTACTATTAGCAACAATGCATTGTTGAGTATTAGAGAAAGACAATATTTTTTATCTTAATCATTTTTTTTTCTTGGAATAGCCTAATATATCATTGTCATCACTCTTGACCATTCATGGACTCCGAAATCAAGTCCATCCAGTTCATCCACTATCAAGCGACAGCTATGTAATCGATCTAGAAGAACCTACAGTAAATGATACTCACAACGAACCTATGCACAATCACCACCATCACACAACATCGACAGTGTCAAGTAACTTGGTGAGCAACACGCCTGAGACAGCAAACGAAATTACAGAAAGCCATAATAATAATAATAGCAACAACAATGCCTTGGAGAATACTACCGCCAACAACAGGAATGTACAAATAGATCCGGAAATTCTAGCGATGCTGAAGCAGCTTCAACAATACATTCCCTTTGTATTTATTCTTCTTATTAAGGGTCTTTATGATCACAGAGCTGGAATATTCATGTTCGTCGTATTGCTGATCACATTCATACACGCCAATAATGATCTCAAACGCGAGATCGCCAAACAGCATAATCGTAATTGGTTGTTCTTAATGATGACTCTGGGTTACATCACCGCCTGTATCGTATTTGTGAGTTACACGTTCGATCTGCACGCTTTCGTTCCTTATGCTGAACCGCTCACAATCTGGGATTTGCTCTGTTACGTCATAGTGATGGACTTTTTCCTCAAACTCATCACTGTTATGTGCAAAGTTCTCTTGACTTGTCTACCAGTACGATTACTGGCATTCCAAAACCGCGTAAGTATTCTTACTTTGATTAGAAATTATGGTTTAAATTGTTGATTCTTATTTATGCAATACAAGATGAAATACAAATGTCGATTTATTTCAGGGCAAATATTATCTTATGGTGGAAGCGACGTCTCAGCTTTATCGTTGTGTCGCGCCTGTCCAACCATGGTTGTATTATTTGTTCGGGACGTATCAAGGTTCGGAAAAAATCATAGGAATTTTCTTATCAGTGATGTATAGCATGAGCAAAGGCAGCGATTTATTATCACGTCTCAAATTGTTTCGCACCGCCCTATGGAAGCTGTTCCAAAATGTGGTATGTAAAAACTTTTAAGTTTTATTTTCAAAATTGTCGCATTAATGCGTAACAAATGCTTTTTCTTTATAGAGCTTAGGAGTATCTCCGTCGAAGGAGCAGCTGATTGCATCTGGCGGTATATGCGCTATTTGCCACGAACAATATACTACGCCAGTCAGGCTTCATTGCAAGCATATATTTTGCGAAACGTGTGTCTCAACGTGGCTCGACAGAGAGCGATCGTGTCCGCTCTGTCGCGCGTCCATCACAGATGATCCGATTTATCGGGATGGCCATACAACACATTTTATCCAATTATATTGATTCCGTCTTCAGAGATACAATCTCTCTTGTACAGTCTTATTACCAAGTAAAAACGTACAAGTTTTTTTTAATGACAAAAACATGTTCACCCATTATTTGCCATTATTGAATAATTTTTAAATTTTTATATCTTTAAGTTACTTATGACTCTTAGAGTAAACTCTTTGATAACCTTTTCGAATTAGTAGCAAGTAACATAAACAATGTGATCTTTAAATAAACTCAATTCCAGCGGGACAAGATTTTCAGATTGAACGATTATATATGTTTGTGAACATATGTAAAATATTTTGTACATAAGTAGATACGTTTATATATAGGGATTTACTCTCGTGTTAATTGTGAAAATCGCAATAATCAGACAAGGGTTATAAAGGCTAGAAAAACTTTTAGAATTTTTGTTCATGATACGAAAAGAAAAATTTAATCATTATGTCAAATAATATGAGATTTATGCTTATATAATTATTCTCTTCACACAATTATAATTTTTTCCTCCAAATTTTTGTTTTATATACAACAAAAGTTGTCGGATACTACATTTTTATAACTGTACAATTTTTTGTCTTCCTCTCTTAAAAATCTATATATATTATTTAAAAATGATATATATTATCTTCCTTGTCTTGATATTACGTTAATGTATGAAACATACAATCAATTAATAAAGATTGCAATTAAAATAAATACATAATATTGTCCATATAACTTATCATTACACTCAACCCAAATTCATAGAATCTTATTCCAATATTGCAAATGTTTTAATACTCTTGTGCCTATTTCGTGCATGTATGTATTTTTTATAGATTCCTATATACAAATCCCTAGCCACTTATTAAAATGCACGAAATGTGAAAAAATCGTGTAACTTTTTTAAAATATTAAATACTACTAAATAATAATTTAAAAAAGAAGAAAAAATAAGAGATTTATCGATGATGCTCAGCCAAGAAAGTCATAATTCGATACATCCTCAAACTGTTGATTTTGTGCATTACCAGGTGCCATTGGCCTTGTTGCTATCTGTCCCCTTGGACCCACCATTTGTTGTTGCACTCCAAACACTTGTCTGTACTGAGGTTGTGGCTGTAAAATATTAATTCTTAATTATATATTTAATAAGTGTGTATTATATTCAATAAATGTGCGTATAAATAGAAATTATTGCAAATATAAGTATATCTTTGATACAAGAAATAATGTGAATAGTTTTTCTAGAAAGCTTTCATTGAGATAATTCTTACTTGCTGTAATAAATGTCTGAGACCAAGATTGTTGGTAGAGACAGGACGCATTAATCTTTGAGTATTTGCCTGTTGATTGGACATAGCAGCAGGATTCAGACCTCTCTGTGCCTGCTGCGCCTATAACAATAATTATTTTTGTATCATATGTATTAAAAATATGTACATCTATTGATAAGATGATCAAAAATAACTTACCTCAAGTTGTTGTTTATATTGCATTTCCTGTTGTTGGGCTACTTCTAAATTTTGTTGAATCTGAAAAAATATATTGTATGCATACATAATCAAAACTTTTCAAAACTTTTTGAAAAGTTAGTTTCACGATTAAAAATATACAAGTTTATACTTACATTTACTTCCAATTGAGATTTATATTGGGCTTCTTGCTGTTGGGCAGCTTCTAACGTTTGTCTCAAATGTTGAATTTTCAACAAATTTTGATGTCTAGCCATCTCTATATCATCAAACGGAGGTCGTTGCTGTCCGATCATACCACCGGCACCAGTATTCGCTTGTGGACCACTTATTCCACTATTCTATAAATATATAATACATATATTAATAAAAGTAAATTGATAACAGGATTGGCATTTTGTCCACTTTTTTTTCTCCAAGGCACTGGACGAAAGTGGACAAAATGGACGAAATAATATAGAAATTTATAAAATGAGAAATAACAAATAACAATTGATACCAGTATTGACAAAACTGAGATTGATTTTATCATATTTAGTACTATTTTAGCACTACTGTAGACAATGTAGAAAATAGAAACTAATATCGATATTATCAATTAATGATTAAATAATATACTGGCAGTTTGTTTTTAAGAAATTTTTTCCAGTTTTGTTCATTTTGTCCAGCATATATATTTCTTCAGAGGCGAACAAAACTGGAAAAAATTTTTTAAACCAAAGGGATTTTTTCCACCCTGGACAGTGGATGCCAATCCTAATCGATAACTGATTCTACTTTTTAGAATTGTATGCTATAGCATATTTGCATGTTACCTGCATGTTCATTTGAGTTTGCGGGCCACTAGTCGAAGTTAAGGTTTGCGGAGGAGCATTAGTAGATACAACATTCTGCGTTATTTGGCCACCCCCCATTGCCATTGTATTCGTTTGAGACATAAGAATACCACCTTGCGTACCTGTAGTAGGCATAGGTGCGGGAATTGTATTTCCCGGACCAGGATTAGCCTAACAAAATCATATAAATATATTTTCTAATGTTTTTCATCAATTTATGAAATTGATTCGTATTTTTCATTATACTCACTTGTCCCTGCCTCATAGAAGCGTGAGACGTTTTTTGCTGTTGTATTACCTTGCGAAGACGATCTACAAAAGCCGTTTGATCGTTCGGAATAAAACCTAAATACGTTTTTTTTTCTGCAGTGTACAAAAGTATAAGTACTTTTATCTCACAAGCCGGACTCGATGGAACAGAGGTGAAGTGAACGCATCCTGCCTGAGATGTTTCGAATTTTAAACATTATTTTTGTTCAGAAAACTTATCGTATAATATATACATATATAATGAATATATTTACAAATCCAGCGCTCATCATTTTCGTCAAGGATTCTAATGCTTCACACGGCGTTGGATGAAAAAGAACGGATTTAGAATTTTTTAGATAAGATCCACCGATATTTCCTATCAATTGTTTCGGCATCAATTGCATTATCAATTTCGACGGCCACGTATCAGCTTTCCTAAAAGATAAACAGTGTATAAAGTAAAAATAAAAAAGCTATCTCTATTATAAGACAGCGAAAAATAATAATTTACAATTCTGGATCTCCATCTTTTGAATTAGCCGAGACTTGACACGGAACATGTCTCGTTTGCTTTTGCGCATCCGTAGGATTTTTAGCCTTTTCGATCCATTCCACGATGCCTTGCCAGATGGTTTGGCGTTCGCGTTGTTGCACGAGTTGTTGACTTTGGACAGTACCAGTAGATACGGTACCCTAAAAGATCATGATAGAATTGAAATATATTAACTTAAGTATTTAAATATTTTAACAATATGTAATTCTTACATATAAAATATTATATATTTACATCGTAACTTTTGAACAATTTTTTTGGACGAAAATCAGCACTTCAACTTTAAACAACCGCTATTTTGTGCCAAATTAATTTTTCGAGATAATGAAAATGATAACTAGATAAACTAATATACTAACTGAATTCGTTCGAATTTGTCAGATGAACGAACTCAAAGCTATAGTGGTTATCGCAAAAAAAAAAAAAAAAAAAAACTGTAGAATCCTCAAAATATATACAATCAAATGTTATTTTAAAAAACTTTCAGTCTTTTCAAAAAAAATTCCTAAAAATATGTTTTTTTTCGACACAGGTAGGTATAATCCCTTAAATGTAATATCAATGCAACGTTATTATTAATAATAACGTTACATTGATATTACATTTAAGATATTATACCAGGATTGGGAAATAACGCGTTACTTGTAACGCCATTATCGTTACATTTTTTGGTAACTGTAACGATAACGGCGTTACAAATTTTATTTGTAACGCAAAAAGTAATTTCATTGGTAACTTTTCTTGGTAATTACATAGTAACGAATTTAATCGTTACTTTTATCATTATTTTTTCTAAATTTACTCGGTAATTATCTAGGATAACTATAGCAATGACCTAAATTTAATATAAAAAAAAATGTTTAAAAATGTTAAAAATATTTATTTTATTCTATTTAAAAATTTTTTATTAAAAAAAAGTTTTAATAACGAGTTACTTTTTAGAAAAATAACGGTAAGGATAAGGAGTTACTCTTATAAAGTAACTTCTTCGAGCCTGGTTATTAAATACTTGGGTTTGAGGATGAGTAATCTGTTGTGTAATGGAAGACACCGAGACTGGCGCTTGTTGCGAAGCTGTGACAGTCTGTGGCACTTGAGTGGGCACGGATTGGCTAATGCAAGACACAGTAAGTTGTGATCCCTGTTGGCTGTGAGTCGGTTGTGTGGCCATGGACATGGTAGCCTGTTGAGCATTTTGCTGTTGCAGCTGCATTGTCAATCTTAACTGTTGCTGTTGTTGAGTGAGTTGTTGTTGCTGCTGTTGTTGCTGTTGTTGTTGTGGATTAGCCGCCATAACATTATTGCCAGCTACTAAAATAAATATTATATATAGTTTGCATTATTATAGGAAAGTAAAGAGTAAAATTTGATCATCGATGAAGCTCTTACTTTGACCAAATGCGGCTACATTGAGTCCCAACGACGAAGGTGGCTGTGTCAATTGTGCTATTAAGGCGCTCCCTTGTGCATTTGCAGGCGCAGTAGCACCCGGTGCTATAAACGGTGGTCGCATCCATCTAGCCCTCGTGGCTATGTTTACTCCTGGTGGATGATAATTCGATGGCGCGGCTATTTGTGGATTGTAAGATGGTCGTGCCGTGTTCATCGGTGCCGCCATGCTTGATGGTACGGTCTGATGGACCGCAATATTCTGAGGAGTTTGATTCCTGAAGGGAGGACCTTGCTGCTGATTCGGCGGGGCAATGTTCTGTTGTACTTGATTAGTGTTCGGACTGTCATTGCTCTGTAATGGACTTAGAGGGATCTGCGTTACGCTAGTTGTGTTATGAACATTACCGCCCATTTGCGGACTAACGGGTCTTTCCTTTAAGTTGTAATTTCGCAGCAGTACCAAATGTCGCGGATCTTTCGCATAGTTTTTCGTTTGCGATGATTGTAAATCTCCGCCAGCCTTTTCAAATAACTTGTACAATGCTGGAATCTTCCTTGGTGATAATATAGAAATGTTAATATTTCTCTGAAAAATTATATGTAAATAATTAATGTAATATTAATTAATATTAATGTAATGTTAATTAAACAACTAATGTAAATATATATTAGATGTGCACTTTGATGTGCTCACTTACATTTGACATAATTATTTTATATTGTTTACCTCTTGATAGATGGCAGCCAATTGTTCAATAGTATGACCAGCAAATTTATAAGATTCTTGAATCATAGTTTGATATGGAGGAGAATTACATATCAAGATACAATGTTTCTGCGATGCAGAATTTGGATCTCGTCTTACTTGCAAGTCTTCAAAACACTGTAATCCAGTTGCAAGGCCTTCACCTATGTTTGCATAGGATTCTCCCTTTCCACCAACCATTCTAGAAAATAGAATGTTATTAATAAAGTAAATTAATTGAAAGAAAAAATATCTAATTTTAAAAATATAATATATAATGTATTATTTCTTGGTTTGCACGAGGAAAAGGATTAATTTTATATTCTATATTTACTCAAGTTTATCCAGAATCATCAGTAACTTATGAGGAGTTGAATAAGGTCCAAAAGTGTCTGTACAAGGTGATGGTAAGCAATCGGCAGCATGATAAACAACTATTCCATACAACGTTGTGCTATTCTGTGTTATACAAATATCAATTAAGATAAATTATAATTCAAAATAGTATAAGAAATATAATTATATTACCTCAGAGACATATTCCCTGTCTTCTATGCCACCTTGACTAAAATATCTGTGCATAGAAATATAAGAATAAACTGATAAAAAGATGTCTTTTTATATTATACATAAAATAAAATTAACAATTGCAATATTTTTAGATTTCTACATTGTATAACAGGTATAAAGTCTAAAAGAATGTACAAAAAGTATATAGACATATATTTATAATTTGACACTTACTCTAATGTAGGAATAACATAATTTGTTTTAAGATCATTAAGGTACGCGCCATTAACGGCTGTTCCTTCAATGACAAATATAACATCAGCTTGTATTCCATGTTCAGTAGGTCCTGTTACCATTGTCCTAGAATATATAAGAAAAATTTTATATAATTTATATACTTTAAAACACTAATTTTTGTATATATAAAAAGCATCTTTTTAAATATTTATGTTATTTAGCTTTAAAATAAAAATTGATAAATTTTATTTAGAGTACAGCTTTTATAAAATTATAGAACTACGTTCTACTAAAAGATAAATTTCAACAGCTTTTTGAACCTAACCTAATCTAAATTAAATATAATTCAATTACAAAAAAATATAATTCAAACTTATAATAATTGTTATTTAAGAAATAATTTTACAAACTTACATTCGGTAAAAATTGGCAAGTTTGATCAGACTCCTGTATGCCTCGATATATTTCTTAAAATGTATATATGTATACTCTGAGAGCAACACTTATTTTTGGTAAAAACCAGATTAAAAAATCAAGTTACATGGGAAAGCATTAATTATATATACGTTTGTCGTAATAATAAACCAACCAAATCACGCACAATAAGATTATCTGTAACTATTTAATATTAGAGAACGACGCGCAATCTGACAAAGAGTTCCCTCTTCCCCGTGCCACCACCATTCTGAAATCTCATCCCTAGTCTGGAATTTCTAACTCTAAAATGGCATATGCGTGAGATCATGAAAATTATTTGTCACCGTACATCTTTCACTTATATTTTATATATTTTTATATATTTACATATATTTTATATATTTTATAATTTATATAAGAATAATATAATAATATTGTAATATATAAAAAATACATGCATTTATACAGCGCGAGCTCTGCAATACCGAGGAGGCGCCAGCTGAGTTGCCTCGTTTCGCCGACAGATGTCGCTGGCGGCGCCTCGCGCGTGCGCGCGACTGTCATTCTTAATCACAAGTGATGAGACATAACCTCGGCGCGTGTTCGGCGTACATGGTACACGTGAGAAGGAGAATCGGAGAAGTGGACGGAGGAGGTACACCTGTCGTTTTCCCGCGGCACTTATCTATTGTACATACATACATATACACACACCGTATCGATGGTGAACAGAAAGAGTGCACGTGTCGTCTCGTGACATCCCGGACGCCCGTTGGACAGGAGTACCGCCGCGAGTTTCACCCGGGTTCTTATACGTGATTATGCTGTATAGACGCGCGATCGAGTGTCGTCGACTATGTATATGTACACGTTGCATACGCTGTTGAAACTCGTACATTTCCTATATAATGTGTACCTCGAGATATTTTGCGCTTGCATTACGATGTATCAGAAGCTCGCGGCTCTCAGGCGCGAGACACCGGAGTTCGACAATGACAACATGCTTCTGTACGTGCACGCGAGAACCAAGAAGTTACCCGGGCACTTGGTGATCGTCCTAGGACTGTGCGACGAGTCGGTCCTGGACTGTGTGCGTATAATTGGATGGTGCATTGCACTTAATATACCTTACATCAGCTTCTTTGATCGTAATGGTAAAAAAATGATTTGAATTAATCTATGTATCTCTCTATGTTATGTAAAAACTTTCGTCTCATGGAAAAAAAATTATCGCCTTTTAAGTATCTTGTGTGTGTGTGTGTGTGTATGTATGTTGTATGTGCTTGTGTTGAAAATTGAAGGTCGAAGGTTGATGTTTCTGTCCCATGCAATGTACATTTATCTTGAAATATTAGCATACTTTGAAGGTTTTTGCCATCAAATGTAATATCTTGGAGCTGTTAAAGTACCTATTGTGTTGCTAGTTTTATTAAATTGCATTGTTTCATACATTTCATTATTACAAGCTCTATGTATATTTGTTGTATGTATGTGCAACGTATGATTATAGATGTGATCCTTCTGTTATATATTTATGGCAGTAATATTTATATTAAAAAACATACTTTTATATATTATAACATTAATGAAATAATTATCGAACAGACAGTTATCAAAACAATCTTTTATTAGTTGTAACAAACTATTGCATTTCGCACAAAGGTTTAGTTATTTAATGAGAAATATATTTTATGTTTATTGTTTTAATAATATTATTTTATACATTTTACTTTAAGTTTATTATTTTTAATGCATCAGTCAATTTATTGTTATATTAATAAATAGTGCAATTATCATGGAAATTAATTTACTAAATAGTTGCTTCTTGTTGCATCATTCATTGCTATTTATAAGTTTAATTTTCAAATTGTTTTTTGAAATGTTGATAACTTTTGTGTGATAACTTTTTTCTATTGATAACAAAAGTAATTATTGATAACAATAATACACATAATGAATGTCCCTGAAAACTCACTCACATAACACATATCCACTACTTTTTCCTTACGCATGAATATATAATTATATATATTTCCAATGACATAAAAAAATAGATATTTGCAAACTCTTTATATAAAGTATACCTTAATATTGCAATAATAATCTTTAAATATTTTTAAGAGTCTATGTACCATTGTAATTTAATATCATATATGTACCTTAGTAATGAATTTTTACATTAGAAAAAGAGGCACATTATTTTTAATATATGTTGAGCTGATTTCTAAAATATTTGTTACACTTTCATATATGCAAATATCAACTCATGAAATTATAAAGAATACGAATAAAGTTCAAATTGAAGAGTATAATTTATGCAAATATAATTGTTCAATTATAGATAAAACAAAACCAACGTGAAATGTAATCAACATAAATTAAATAAATTTTAAGACGCATGAATGTAAATAATTTATGAGAAATCATAAATTTGGTTTATTTAAGATTAAATAATTGCTACAAAGTTTGTGTAATTTATTTTTCAGGTTTCTTAAAGAAAAATGAAGCAAATCTTAAAGAAGAATTTGCAAAAAAAACGGCCTGATCTAATAGAACGTATTATTTGGAATTCACATACAAAGCTACCTAGTCAAAATGGAATAACTGGTAAATAATAATATATATTATTTGTATCTACTTATTTATGCTCGTTTATATATTGATAATTATTTACTATTATTATTTCCAAGAAGATTGAAAATTAAATTAATTAATGGTAACTGTTGGTTTTCACTCTTTTTTTCTTTTTTTTTTACATGTGCACCAATAATAAAGCTAATACTAATTGTGCACATGCTGTAAAATATTTTTGGTATATTCTTGTTTGGTATCTTTTTATTATATTCTTTTTTAGCTAAAAAGTAGAGGAAACCATTTTATTTCCATAGTTTATTAATCGGTTATGTTTAGCTGACGAGTAAAACTTGAAACTACATAAACTGTCTCGTTATTTTGAAATATATAATGACTTTACAATGATAATATATAATATATGCAATTCCTAATTGCGCAGTTCCATGCTGATATCAGAAACTGTACTCTATGTTATGTTATATAATTCCATGCATGGATGAAATATAATATTTTAACAAGTATAATATATTTCCCTCTCTCTCTGGAACTATAAATTATTAAGGTTTTACAAACTTCTGTGTTATTAAAACCATAAAATAAATAATTATTCTTTTTTTAAGGGAATCATTACCATTTTATTATATTTTAATTGCAGACAGCAGGTGGAAAATAAATGTATCATTACTATCTGATATAGATAATAAAGGAAAAATAGCAACATTAGTTCAAACATTAGCAAGAGCCGTATTGTCGGGAAACTTTGATCCAGAAGACATTGAGGATCAAGTTCTTTCTGAGAAGTTTGACATGAGAGGGATGCCCAATCCTGATCTTGCTTTAATATATGGTTACACTTGTTCCACGCATGGTCTTCTCCCGTGGCACACAAGAACAACAGAATTTTGTAAGACCATATGATATTATCATCATCTAAAAATAGTCAATATTTTTTCCAATATTTTTAAAGTTTAAATTTTATTTTTTTCTTAAACTAATCTTAATATAATTTTTTCAGAATGTTACCGCTGTACGTTAGTATCTCACTGAAAGATTTCATGTATTTACTAGAGAGATATAGTAAAACTGTACAACGGTATGGAAAATGATATATATCTATATATATATATAAAATTTATATATATAAAACTGTGTCTTTATTTATATAAAAAATATTGCATTTCGGTAAGAAGAAATAAATTATCGTAAGGACTGAGCTTTTAATATAACTATTTGATATATGTCAATGTTGCAAGGGTAAAAATAAACTGTCGAAACTGTATCTCGTGAAATAATGTTAAAATTATGATATCAAGAGACGTGAAAAAGAATTATTGCCAAAAGGTCCAGCTGATCACTATAATCACATATTCTTTCACCACAGTTCAAAATTCACCCGCCAACAAAAAATTGGGTCAAGATTTGTGATATAGTTGGTACAACTGTATACATAAAAGAAAATAATTATTTGTTATATCTTTATTCTTATGCAAGCATAAAATTTGTAATAAATGTAATTTTATTTGCATAGTCTATATTAATATTACAAATTATAATATTACAAATATAGTTTTAAAATTCTCAATTATATTATAGTGTTGAATGTTGCAATAATTACACTGGCAAACACTTATGAATATCTTGTATAGCTTTATGTAATAAGATAATTGAATATATAGTTTCGATAGTTTTAAGAGTTCCTGATACCTAATGCTTGTTCCAATTCTGCCCGTTTCTGCTGAACTTTAGTATAAAAGTACCGACACACAGCTTCCTGCGCCCATGGTTGATAATAAAATTCAGCTCTTCGTTCTTCCTCTGGATTGCCAACAACATCCGTCATGGTTTTTAAATCTCTAGTTTGAGAGATGATCCATTTGTTAATAAATTGTTGCGGATCTTTGGCGAAACTGAGAAAGAATTCGCGGTTAGTCTTCAATTGATTAATTGTCTCGACAGTTTCGTGAATCTTGTTATCTAGACTCTGAATTTCCTGCTGGCTCGCGGTTGACAATAAGAAATTATTCATTTGTGCCTTCAGAGTATCATCAACCTCCACATCAATGTCGTAACAGGCAGTCTGCTTTGTTTCTGTGCCTACATAATGTAAATATTATCCACATCAGATACTTACAATTTTAAATTGTAATACAACTACAAATACTTACTAATTCGTGAGCTTATTTCTGTTACTATAATATTCAGATATAAAGTATTTTGTTTACCTTCTACACTTATGACATGATTTATTACGATAGGATCAGGCGGATGCAATAATGGATTCAGTCGTTGCGGTATTTCGGCAAATTTCATTCGCGCACAGGCAAATATCTGTTCCAAGTATTTATCACAATTGATAAATTCTCTCTCGTGACTGTCTTGTAGCTTGTGAGTCTTTATATACTGCCAAAGCGCAGATATAATTACGGGCCGTGTTTGCGTGTGCACACCTAATAATCGTGCTAATCTTGGATCCAATTTAAACTGGAATACACAATTAAACAGTATTAATAATGAAATTGAGTTATAAAAATGTGTTATTGTGATAATATTTACTCTTATAAAAAGAAATACCTGCAATGGCTGATAATCGAGAAGAAGAAGAATTGTGCAACGAACATTTTTATCACCTGGCCTTTTAACTTGAAAGCCATCAGTTTCTTGAGTAGTCAATGTACGATGCCATTCAACTAAATGATTGTCAGGACCATATAAATCTTTATCTAACTCTATCACTAAACTTTTGAAGAAAGACGAGAATTTGCGTTTCACCTGCAAAAAATCACCAAGTTATTACATAATTATTAATGTTTATTAATATATTTATATATAATGTAGTATGATTACATACCTTATTGGGATCATTTTTAGTATCGTCTAAAAGACGTCCTTCGACTCTAAGTTCCCAGGATGCTACAGATCCTTCTTCTCCTTCACCTGCTTCTTTAGCGGGATAAAATGTATTTGAGATAAAAATGCGCAATTTTCGTTTTTGTTTCATTGGACGTTTCAAAGCTTCTTGAATATCGAGACGTTTTCGCATTATAGTTGCATCTAATTTTCTCTCAAACGCGAGTAAATCCATATAAGCTTGCGATTCCGGCACTAAATCGCGTACTTTCTGAGGCAATATTTTGTCTGCCAATTTCTTCTTTTTCTTTGATGTGGAATGTGAAAAATCGCTGTTCCAAAACAATTAAAAAAAATAAATTTAAACTAGATACACAAATTATAAAGTTTTATAAGTCTTGTGTCACAGATGGATCATTTCTGATAAAAGTTTGAACAAGACATGAAAAATTATCACAAATATAAATAACATTTTTTAAATATTGTAATAATTGAAAAAAAACATTTAGCATTTAATCGTTGAAATATGCTTTGAATAAAATTGAAATGCAAAATTTATATGGATACAATGCTAAATAAAGATAAATAGAAAGCAGATTTTTGTAAATTTTACTTGACTTACGGTTTTTGCTGTGACATAGGAATACGTTGATCCGCAGCTCTTTTTCCAGGTGGCGTAGGCATTGGACCTTGACGCATATTTGAGTAAGGTTGGTTCGGTCTCATTATCCCTCCTGGGCCAGGTCCTGCATTACCCATTTGTGGCGGGGGGTAAATCCAGATCTCTGTTGCATCTGTGATAAAAGCATTTGCATGTATTAAAATATATACTTTGGAGTTGATAATTATTAAATATCATAAGTAATCGATTTCATTAAATGTAAAAGTTATATAATTTACAACCTTACTTTTTATAGTTCCTTTATACACTATTCTTATATCACAGTTAAAAGATACGCTTACTGGGAAATTGGGCCCAGAATACTGGCGCAAGTTTGGCGGCACCGATGAAGGTGGATATCGTTGAGGAGGAGGTCCATTACTTCCTGTATTTGGTACAGGAAATCTCTGTGCCATATTTTCTGGTTCCTTTAGAAGAGACGTTTATCAGCAACCTTGAATATATGTCGCAAAAAATCAGTTCACGAAATTGTAATGAAATAATCATAATCGATATCCTAATGTAACATAACCTGATAGCAACAGAAAAAAGTCTCAATTATTAACAATATGTGTGCAACATTGTGTAGTTATTATTTGTGTAATCAAAATGTATCAATAGGTAAGAGATAGAGAAAGATAGAGTATTTGTAGCACGAAATTAATATATCCGTGTTTCTGTGAAAATCACTTTGGAGTAGCCAATTTCTTCAGTTAACTTTCAATTATATTGCCCAGTAAAATGTGGAAAACCACATTTATAAGCATTATTTCTGAAGCAGACAAATAAAAAATATCACAAAATAACCTATGTAACAAGTCACGATTCGATGTTTAACAATATTTGTCACTCTTCAATTATTCCATATTTCTCCATATACTTTTTCCAGCGTCTCGATCACCGGTTTGAACACCAAACACTTTTCACAATGTTATCAACATGGCGTCTAAAAATTGTGTAGAATGCCGCCATTGGCTCCCGCTCTTTAACTGTCATTTACAATCATCGCATTCATTGGTTAGCTTGGTCCAACTTCATTCTGTGATTCGGTATCTCTTTCTAACTTGTCCTTCTCCGTATAATGTAGGTAGAGAAAGAAGATGTTTGGTTCATCGCGATATGTAACAAATTCTCACTAAAATTATCCTCATTCATGTGACAGAGTTTACAATTGACACGATGACGCAGTAGCTGTGGAATGCAGTGCGCAGCGCAGAGCGCAGGTGAGTAAGGAGGGGGGCAGGAGCAGTGTTGCCACCGATCTAAAAGATCTTGTCCCTAGTAATCTAATAAAAAATCCCTACTTTTCCCTACGCTTTATTTTTATAATTTAATTTAATTTTTATTATTTTTATTTTTATAATTTTATTTTTTACGTAGTATATAATAAATTTTAGTTAAATAAAAACAAATTTTTGGAGAGAAATAAAGATTTATTCATATATTTAAACATCGGTATTAACACTGATAATGACAGATATAATAATAAAATAAAATATACATTTTATTTATTAAACAAAATAAAATTTGAATTATTTTATTCATAAAAAATAAATAGTAATTTGACCTTATAATAGATTTTTCAAAACTTATTCGTCATTAGACTGTCTTATTCAACATCTTTCGCTTTAGATTCTAAAATATCGGTACAGTTAAAGTTACTAAAGAGCATGCAAGCTCTTCTATTGAATCTCGAAAAATATGTTGAAAATTAATTTACTGAAGTGAGCGCTTGCATAATAAAAGATAATTCGAATGAAAATTGGTGCGAATTTAAAATATATTTGTAACATTCGCAGCTATTACGATTATTATTTGCATCAACGAACTCTAGAGATATTTCAAATTGCACTTAACGATCTAGTGTTTTTGGGCCATCTGTTAACCAACTTTATTTAGTGATTCGGTATCTCTTTCTAACTTGTCATTCTCCGTATAATGTAGATAGAGAGGGAAGATGTTTAGTTTATCATATGCGCGATATGTGACGGTTCTCGTTGCTATCGAACGAGATCTGGTGAGAAGGTCCATTTTTACAGCCTCTCCTTTACTAAAAGCGTAAAATAGACAGGCGATGGCGAGTCTTGTTACAAAAACTACCGAATTGGTAAAAGGTATGAGCAATTTTTTTAAATGATCTATTGTGCATTTGTCTCGCTATTATTTCAAGAAAATTAATTTATCGTAACCTAATATATGCACCTCTTATTATATAACGTTTAGTTATTCATTTTCACAACATAATTATTTGCATATAAAAATCTCTCGAAAAATAAAAATTTATCGTTGACATTTTTGCCAAATAATTCGTGAACTCGTGTCTTTCCTGATAATCAATTTTATGTTCTGGTTATGTCGAGGTTATATTGATCTTGGACAGTATAAGAATATTATAGAACTTGCCTTTGATAAAGTTTCTGCAAAATATAAAATATTATCTTGAAAAGGTGACTGAGCAAATTAGAATTATCTCTGTTAATTGTACAGTAATGTTATAAATTAATAATAAGCAAAAATTTAATCAAATATTTACTCGCTACACATATGTAAGATAAGATTTTGCAACTAAAAGATAAAATAAAATTGACTGTGTATGCATTGAATTGCAGTTGGTGTGCAACACGCAAGGCCTGTGTTGCATGTATGGCAGCAATACGCCAGGGTAGAATTGACGCCACCTACGCTGAAAGATATTCCTGCGATTCGAAGTGGCTTTTCCAAGTTGATTCAAGGTGCAAAAACCGGTCGCTACCGTGAAGTTACCGTACGGGAGGCTGTTATAAACACCTTGGTGGCTGTTGAAATATATTGTTGGTTCTTTGTTGGAGAGTGTATTGGAAAACGACACATTGTTGGATACAAAGTATAAGTATGTCATATATTTAATCTCTTGCATAGATAATTCTGTATAATTATAGACTCGTAAATATATAAAAATATAAATCTCTATACTCTTTTTTTTTTTTTTATATAAGAGTTACGATCGTTTTACAGTAAATTCTTTTATTTCTTAAAAATTTATCTTGCATTATTTTGCACCTTACAAATTTGAGGAAACTATTGTTTTAACATGTGTTGACTCGCATACTGCCATATGCAAATCGCAGCAGTAACATGAACGTTTAACGATCGTATTACTCCTACTTGAGGTATTTCTACACATTTATCAAAGAGTGGTATAAAATTGGCAGGTATACCATCCTTCTCATTCCTGTAAAAAGTATATTCCTAATTATATTGACTACACAAAATGTAATAATGCATTGCAAGTCGAAATTTAATTACCCTAAAACGAGAATGGTCTTTTTCTCGAATTTTGTTTGCAGCAGATTTATACTATTGGCTGTTTGTTCAGCACCGATTAGAGACCATCCCGCGTTCTTCTTCTCGAGCAAGTACTTTTGTAACTCGTGTGGTTTCACCTAAAAATTTTTAAACATTAATATTTTCTGGGAACAGATTGATGTATGTATAGTTGATAGAAATTTCATAACTGAGAAATTTTCAAAAAAACGAATTAAAAATTATAGTCTTCAATTTTTTAAGATATGAATTTAAGGCAATTTGCAGAATTTAAAGCTGTTTAAATACCTGTAGCATATTTATCCATCTTTCAGCTGATACACTAAGACTTTGAAACTCTTTATCCTTTATACAATCCAAATTTGCAATAACTAGTGCCTTGACTCCAAATATTTCGCATGTTCTGGCAATTCCACCTAAATTTGGTGGTCGATTGATAAAAGATGCTACAACTATCAGACCTTCTTCATATAAATCTTGTTGCTGTATGGATTCTTTCATTAATTCAAACATATCACTGTATAATGGAATTGTATTCTTGGATGGATCAATCTTTTTCTGAATATCGTGCAAACCTTCCAAATAAGTTTCAACATTGTTTGCTAATGATTCGGTATCACCTATAATATAATTGTTTTATATTTTATAAATTATACAATGTTTTATTATGTTTTTCAATTACCTGTAAGAGATTTTGCGAGGTATATAGAAGTTTTAATCTCAGACAGAAATAAATCAGTATTATAAAGTTGTAGAGGATGATTATCATTATGTTCAAACATGAAGGTTTTGAATATGTCTGGACTGATCCATTCATCAGAACTTATATTAGTCAATCGTGGTAATTCATAGTAAATTGTCTATAAATATCATAAAAATTTATGTTAAACGATATAATGTAATTTATCAAAATCAATTCTTTTTTTAAACAAATGTGCAGTATATACCTGCAAACTGTAGTTTTCAATTGGATGAAAACTTGAAAAGTAAAAATCATCCTGTATCCTAGTCGAATTCTTTTTCAAACTATCTTGTTGCAAACTAGCCATAGCTGCCTGATATATGGCTTTGTATTCTGATAGATTATCATCATTTCTTTTTTTCATTAATTCATATAATTGTGTCAAAATAAACTACATTGAAAAATTAAAATGAATGATATGGAATATACAGATATAAGGAAATACGAACATTACATAACAGTTAATTTTTTACTTGCCTGATTATAAAGACGCACATTAAATTGCTGACCTAAACAGCATTGCGCTATGTATGGTAGAGCTGTTTGAATAAAATTTTTCTGATTATCATTCGAAAGAAGTTGCGCGACATGATAGACAATACTGGCTACAGAAATTGTGCATCCTGGTCGCTCTTCTATACTCTAAAAATATATAAAAGATAAGACATTCGAACAGAAATCTTTTTTTATTATAGAATTCATTATAATATAATTAAGTAATAATTCTGTAATTTATATTATAGAATTTATTTAGATTTTACCTTTATGAAAAATTTCCATAGGTTATTATGTAAATTAATATTTTTCTTAAAAATTCGTATCAACAGCCATTCTTGCATCAACCTCACACTATGTTGATTGCTTTCCGAAATAATTAAATCACATAATTTTTCCTGTAGTAGAACAACATGTTCCTGTAAAGCAATTAATTATTAATTTATATATATAATTTCTTCTACAGCCAAAGAGTTAAGATTTAATCGATTAAGCATTTGGTCCACTCACCTCGCTTAATATTGGTTCCAGTATCAATAAAATTTGCATTAATCTATGCTTTAATTTATGTACATAAGAATCATTAAAGTATCTCTTATTTTTGTATTTTTCTAATATTTCGAGTATAAGTGGCACAATTATTGCTGCATAATTTAATTCCAAATGGCTAATTATCTTATGTAGCAATACAGTCGCCTCTGCTCTAACTGCAGCATCATTATTATGATCCCTATTGTGACAGCAGTTAACAAGTCATTTATAAGTCAATTTTAATAATTGCATTAAAAAGTTTATAACATATTTGTATTGATAAACAGACTTACAATCCCAAGATATGCTTTGGATAATATTGGCCCAAATGCTTGATAATAAATAAATGAGCCTGATTTTCAATTCTTTTGTCTCGTCGAAGTACAGAGCCATGAAGAAGGCAACTCAATAATGGTCTTTCTAATTTCAGCAAATTACATTCGTCCAAGAGTTTCATTTTGGAAAGTAATATCCTCTTAAATTTCGGCGTACCATCTCCTTCCTCTATTAATTGATCGACAAACTGCAAAGTGAGATTATGAAAAAGCAATCGATATGTGTACTATGAATCATAGAAATTTTCAACTTACTTGTGTTATAAAATTTGCAGCATTGGGCAAAATCAAAAATTATTATTAATAATAACTCCTATAAGGTTCTGCATCGCTGCCCAAAAAACATTGTTCTTTTTACTGACGAGGGTACATCTCCAGCAAGATTTAAAAAGATCTTCCAAAGTTTCTCTGTCACTCGTATGGTTTATAACTTTATTGTCGATCATCACAGTTAATATCGTTGCTATTTCAGAAATGATTTCTGTTCCCCCAAACTCGAGAAATTTCAGTAGATTAGACAACAGTGTGCTAGTAGAAATCCACGAATGCATAGAACAATTTGTCAGATATTGACGCATGAGTTTCGAAAGAAGCAAATAATATTTCGACGCAATTTTTCCTCTCAAATTTGCCTCATTGTCATCATTATTAACGTTCGTCGGAATCGATTGCATGTTTAACAATTCCACATAAAAAGCTGTCGCGAGTGGCAGAACCGAAACATTCTGGGAAAGATATAAAATGTGTAATCCGTACAAATATCGCGTATTTAGATGTTGCGTATCTCTCAACAAACGTATGCTTTCGTTTTGCAGGTCTTCCACATAATTTTTCACATCTTTCTTCGGCAGAAACATTGACGCGTTAACTATATGAGAAGACATAATGGCTATGTATCTCGTATAATCTTCATATGTTAATTCTTCAGTCATCTTTCTTACATTTTTAATTAGGAATTTAAAAGTAGTGGGTACGTATAATAATATCAAGTCCATCACGCTGTTGAAGGATTCCGTCGTGGAAAGATTTAATAAATGCGATATAAATTCCACTGCATTGATACTAGAATGGATGTCGGCGTAAGGTCTCATATTGACACCATTTAACGTACACAGCCAATTGTTTAATACTTTCTTGACGCAACATGCTTTACTCGATAGTATCAGATCCGCATCGTGTAATAGATGTATTAGCAACGCGAACGTCCTAAGATTTACTTCAGGATTGGTATCTTGGTATAAATATTTCGAACAAGTGTTCTTTACAAGAATTATGGCGTCTTCTTTCACTAATGTTTTTCTCAACCATGTTGTAACAACGTTCCAGGAAGCTGTTCCTCTTTTAAAACCTTCTTCGGAAGGAAACGCAGCTAAAGTATTAGCGAGCAATATCGGATCGTCTATCTTTTGCACATAATTGGGGATCGCTCTTAAAAGTTCAATTTGAGACGCAGTACGTAATATATGAGAATGAATATTCAGGTTTGTCTCCACTAAAGATTTAACGGCATTCAATTCGCTGGCTTGCCAATTATATATTTCCTTATACGAAATTATTCGTAACATGTGTAATATGTAAAATATCGCTACAGGACCCCAGGCTACCTTGCTAACTTTTTTCAGAAAATTATTTAGTAAATTACTTTCCTCGGCGCGTTCAAAGAATAACGAGAGTTCTTTCAAAATTTCTGGACATTCTTCATTAGGTTGACATTCGTAGAGAAAAGTATTATTGAGAACATTAACAAATAATTTTAAAAATTGTTCGTCAAACGCAGTCTCATCTAACTTACAAATTTGCGATACACCCCACTTTACAATATTATTATTTTCATGCTGCAAAACTTTTTCAAGAATGCATTGCAACCATACAATGTCGAAACAGTCATTGTAGGATTTATGCTCTTTGTTCACCTTTATTAAACTAGTTACATGAGTTAAAGCCGGTGCTACTAGGTGGTATTGTTTTTCTTCTAATGCTTCGTATACCAAGAAGAAATTCTGCTTAATGCACTCTATTGATGAAACTGTTTCGTTAGATTTACTACAAATAAATGGAGTAATTTGAGCCTTTGTCAATCTCAAGTCTGCAAACTTAAGTACAAAAATTTCATTCAAAGAATTGATTGCTTTTCTCATCACATATAAAGCTTGTTTACGATATTGTTGCAAAGATGATCGTAATCCTTTTAATATTATTAACCAGAATGTGCTTTTGGTATAAATATCACTATGTATATAAGTGAGATCTATCGAACAGGACGATGTAAAACAGGTATCCATTATAATACTTAGGACAATAAGAGATTCTTTCAAGTCGCTTATTTCATTCAAAATATAATCCCACAGTGGAAACAGAATGTGTTCAGGAGCAAAAGTTTTTGCTAATATGGAAGTATTGAAGCAAGCAATCTCCATTCAGAATCTTCTTCCTTCATCTTTATCCATAATTTCACAATATTCAAAAATATAAAACTAAATTTTTCTAATTCTTCTTTGCTGATACTGTTATCATTACGAAGAAATTGATACAAATGTAGAAATTCTGAAAATGTTCCAGTAACTTCATATATATAATTCTACTATTGCTGTTTGTGAAATAGGTATAACTCGACTTGAGAAAATGTTCTAAGTATTTTTTTATTGACTCGGCATAATGACAATAGAGTATCATTTGCAGAGTGATTATGTCACACAAAATTGCAATCTCCGAAGTAGTTCGTAGATAATGCGGTGAAAAAATTGCTTCTATATTAGGAAGACAGAAACAAATATTCTTTTCATTCAAATATTCTTTGCACTTATTGCGTGGTAGATATCTCTTATTATCAAAACTCTCGATAGCATTAAACGCAAGTTGATACTCGTGACATAACAGCATTCGACAGATCTCAAGTTTATTTAGATCCAATTGTTTTTTAGTCATCTCGTCCCTATAAAATTGTAAGAAACTATGATGGGAAACGAACGTGTCATTCACAAATTCGCAGTTATTTGCCATGGTTCGTAAAACCGAGAGGTCCAGTGTTGAGAGACGTAAATAACGATTATGCAAATCCATCGTTCTACTTCTTTCTTAATTGGTTCAAATTATACAAAAATGGATTTTTTTTACACTGGGTTGACCTGTCATAATCTGTCATTCAGATGTCAATCAACCTACAATACATACATGTAGACAAAGTAAAATGTATTATCTTTGTACGTGTCTAATTATAAAAGTAATTACCTCTTATCATTTGATAATCGAGAATTAATTAACATATACACATCATAATACACATGGACGTACGTCAACAAATAACGTGTTTAATCTTAGACAAGTTTAGGTTATATAATATCGCCCTCTCACAGGTGAAATAAGAAACGATAAATCAAAATTGACATAAATTTACAGATGATAAATCGTAAGTGATTGTGATAAAAAAAAATTTTTTTTCTAACAAAAATATCGAGATAGATATAAAGCACCTGGTTTTTATCGCGAATTTCGAGTTATCGCTATATATATAAATATATACATATATATATTGTAATATTTCGCAATATTAAATCAGTATTAACAATAAGTGAGACAAAACTTTCATCTTTAACACTGCATTTTATATCGCAATAAAATGTTATTAGTCACGCTAGCAAATTTTCGTAATTACTTTTCCGGTTTTCTTGTTATTAGATTGCGATGAAGATTATTCATCTGTACAATCACGTCCGTTTTTTTTTTAATAATACGTACATGATTGCATGATTTTGATGACGTACATAATCTTTTAATTATTATTCAGATTGAGATATGGAAAATTTCAGAGATTTGTATATAAAGATATATGAATAAGGAAATTATATTTATATATTTATAAATTATAGAAATAAAGAGAGATAAACTCTCAGAATGATGATAAGCATATTATAAATACGCAATAATTTTTGTACATTTTTTAAATCTTTAGTATCTATATTTTTATAACGAGTCATCCGAGATAACCGTGAGATAATCGGCTTGCTTATCTTACGTACGCTTTTCCTGTAAAACCAAGTTGTAAAAAATTTATATAGAACGATACGGCTAAACTATTAAATAAGCTATATTTTTAGTTAAACTGAGCGATAGAATTAAAATTAGAATAAAATTCGACGTTGTTGAAACTAGGCACCGATCCAGGATGTTGCGAAATATTTGACGATGCTGTTTCTTATATCAAAGAGACGCATAGAAAGCGTTTACACGTGTAAAGGAAAAGATGAAATAATTTTTATTTTATCCCCCGATAGAAAAATGGCCCAAATAAATGGTACAATTAATTGCATCACGCAAGAAAAGAATTTCACAATGTTTGCATTAAATATGCTTCGTCATAATATAACGCAGCGATTTTGTCAAATTGCAATTTCTAAATAATACTTGCCTAAAAATTGATTTATTCAATTTAGAGTAAATTATACACAATTATTGTGTTACATATGTAATATAATGATTGTGTAATATTTCATATTACAACATTAAAAAATTATAATTTCAGAATAATTGTGCAGTTTTTAAGCATATATATTTTTATTCATTTTATTTTATAAATATAAATTGTAATTATTATAAAATAATAAAACTCAATAATATTTATCATTTATTAGTTAACTTTTACCAAATTTAATTTTGCAAATGTTTACATGTATTGTAATTACAGCATTCTAAATTTTATTCAAATTTCGTCATATAATTTTATAAATATTTTCCTATCGGGATCGTTTTCATTGAATTCTCTTTGCGTTCCTTTTTGAAAGAAGTATTGAATTATCCACACTTTTTCCTTATTGTGTATGTTTGCGTAATTTCGAAAGCATTTTCTTGAACGCATGTCTCATTGCGTGTCACATTAGCAATTAAAAAATAAATTGTTCTGTGCGTGAATGAAGTCGCGTGCGCGACTATTTCAAGTAAATCGTGCGGAAGCGTTTAGCTGCACGAGCCTGAATAATATAATTCATCTCAAAAATAAAACCGCGCGAAAAATCGTGCGTGACGATTATATTCAAGGACAACGTCAATATTACATGCGATACGCGCGTGCGCTGTTTGAAAATGTGGGGGAAGATATATATATGTATATATATTGTACACATTTTTAAGTGTCTTATTTTTTAATATGTCTACATGTATATTATTATTGATATTTTTTATTAAATTTGTATTACGCTCGAAAAAACCTTTTCGAGCGGAACTGCTGTCATATAAAAAATAGTATATATGATAATTTAATATAATATCAATATGATACAAACTAGTTTGACAATGCAGTTGATTTATGAGCAATAGAGTCGATAGCTAACACTATACTTTGCACGTGTACATATTTGCCCAAGGTCAAGTAATTCTCGTTATCTTTTTCTCTCTCTGTCTCACATTTTTGTATTAAGCATCTTATTAACTATACTTGTGCGTCATCTATATAGTATTTAAATATATCTGGGGGGATATCAGCTATAATATTTTATTAAAGATTCTAATATTTATAAATCGGTTTTATGCAAAAATAAATATATGTATATAATATAATCGCAATGTTTGCTATCTAAATAAAATTATATAGATGATCATCTAGATGAAATTTTAGTGACATTTTATTTTTATATATGTATAGATAATAAGAACATATTATCTATATCTGCATTTTAAATGAAAAAAGTGTTATATCTTTACTAATAAATTATTTAAAATAATGTTTAGATAATTTAGAGTTATAAGTAAAAATACTTCTATTTAATTCTATTACGTAAAAATATAAGTTTATTACTTAATAAAAATAAAGTATTTTTATTAAGTACTAGAGTATTTTTATTAAGTAATAGAATTTAAGCGCAGTAAGCGATATTATAAAAACTTACAAATAAAAATATGAATATATTATTTTATATCCCTTGCAAGGGATTACAATTGTAATAATTTTTATATCTTCTTTAATAATTTATATGTTTTTTTATAACTGTATTTACACATAAACGGTAAAAATAATATTATATTGAAAGTTATATACATCTAGATGAATCGCTATATATATAATTTTATCTTTTATCTATATAGATATATTCAAAATAAAATCATCTTTTACATATTTTTATTTCATCTTTATCTAGCTGATTTTAAAATTATCTAATTGTAAGCACATAACATTGAATATAATATATATTGCTTCTGCTTACACATAACTTATTATATAAAGACAAAAAAAATATTTAATTATATATTATTGATGTGTGACGCAGTAACGTTATGATATGATCATCGACTTGTATAGATTAACATAATATAATTGCCGAACGCAAAAAATGAATTCATCGAAAGTTCCTTTTTAAATTTTATTTCGCGGATCGAATTGCGAAACAACTCGTCAGGTCAATTGCATAGCGCAGAGACACGTGCGCAGCGCAGGAACAGTGTGAAAAATGTTCAAATAAATTCTCCCTCTCCGCGCGTCGTCTGCTCCCGCGCATGCGCACGTCGACCCTGCGTGTACCGCATAGGACCGCGAGTATACGCATGTATACGTCATAACGTCACAGTGCGCGCTGTGCGACAGTACGGTACGCGTCGCGTCCTCCGATCCCCGACCTCGTCGTTGTCGGTGTATCGTCAGATGGTCGTGGGAGCAGGTAGCTAACGAGGTATTATCCGCTCCGAAATATCGAGACGCGTTACGTAAAGCGAGCGAACGATCACGATGTGTGTGTGTTATTAAACACAGCCGGCTGATACAATAACATTGCGTGAAAATCTTTTTTTCTCTCTTTATTTTTTTTTCTTTCTTTTAGGCAACCGTGGAGAGAAGGCGATCCTTCTCAGAGAGATAGTGCCGCCGTTCTCCTCCGAACACTAGCACACTCTCGCGAAAACGAGATTCGTTCAAGGACGCTCGTGTGTCCACCGGACACGCTTGGACTGTGATTTACAAAAGAAGCAAAGATCAATCGACGAGTGTCTGTCTTTATTCATCTCTCCGTCATTCGTATGGTCTCGTCCGTGTGGAAGGTTTTATTACTCATTATCTGTCACGCGCGCGCAATGTGTTCCCAGCGACAGTGACAGCTCCGCTATAAGAGAACTTTCGATGCTCTTCTGTGCGTCAGAGTGCGGTATTCTTTGTGATTCTACACCCACACGTAGACGATCAGTCATTGAACACGCGTTGTCTGTCGAACTCGAATCCGGAACGTGTATTTGCGATTACACTCGGTTTTGAGTTTGAGAGTTACATCGTCGAACTAATCGAGATGTCTGCTGACATAAGAGACGTCGATCCCTTCAGCGAGTTGCCTATGGAACAAGATCTCTGCGAAGGTATATATATGTATATATAAAACGAAAATGTATAAATATATTGCCGTAATTTTATTGTATAAAAATTGCCTATTAAAGAACGATATTGTTACTATTACATCGGCGCGAGATCAGAAGCAAATGCTCCGCAATATTAGCTGATACATTAGGTTGTTATCGCTTATCGCGAATGAATTCTTTAGTTTGCGTCTATGGAATGTTTAAATTAGAAAATCCTTGAGAACACTTGAATGCTATACACTGTACATGATAAAGCTTGCAGAGGCACAAATATCTTTTTCGCCAATTAAAGTATATACCTATACTTTTAATTTATTTATCTTTTGATTTAAAGTCGAATTAATTAATTAATTTATTTAAATTTATCGCGCATAACATCTTAAAAAAAACAGCTTAAACACTAGATTAAAAGTTGTGGATAATCCACAGATGTTTAAAATTTTTTTATATTTACAAGTACCTTTTTTTAAAATATATTATGATCCAATCTTTTGTAATTCAAAGTATGCAAATTATCTAACGTTTTTGTGCGTCTGTATGAAGATTAATTAAACTAAAAGTATATTGCATGTGACAGTTATTGCTATTCAGTATCATAATTAATTATAAGCAGATAATGTATGAAATGTAATAAAATGATTTAATTTTTTCCACGAAGACGATGATGAAGCAAACATAGAAGAGAGTCCAAAGGATAATGTAGAAATTGTAAATGAAGTTGCTTATGCAGAACCTTTGACTGCGGAAGAAATACGTTGGTTTTATAAAGACGGCGTTGACAAACGATGGAATGAATTTTGTGGATACGACAGCTTAAGAATAGAGAAAATTTATCAAGAACGTCAAAGTTTAATTGGTGAAAATAACGATGAGATAAACGATTTACCGCCTGCTGAGAAAATTGTAGTTAGGGGAGGCATGTACGATGTCGAAATCGACAATATGAAATGTGTTTCCATATACTGGCCAGGTGAGTATCATGAATTATTTATTATTTACTTTATTTATCTGTTGTTCTCAATTTGCATGTCGTTGTATACTTATCAAGTATAATTATTGGTTCAATCAATGTTAATAAGAGTCAACACAGTTGGAGTGAATTCATATGTCTCAATAATGATTCTACGCCTGTCTAGATTTCAGTATACTTGCTTGTTTGTGTGCAGTGCATCTGTGCTGCAGAGATTACTTTGTCCTTGGAGTTATTATAGCCAATTCCTATTGAATGTGTGCCTATTATGACTTGTACGAAACAAAGTATAATACAGGTCGTAGAGTCTATCATGCTGTAAAGGAAAATTCAATGAGATTATTTATATAAATATAATATAATTAAATTTAACATCAATATATAATATATATATATATATAATCTATATGTTTTTTACACAAATGTAATGTGTATATAAATTATAATATCTTATTTAGAGACATAGTGTATTAGTCTTACAATTAGTCATGTTAGTATACTTTTTCTTAAGTTTTTTTCTATCTTTTCAATGTATTATAAAGTTATCTGTTAAATCTAGTAGTTAATTATCTATCAAAATTTTTTCTAAAAATTAGAATTTTTGAATTTTTACACTTTTTTTTAGCAAAATTAATAAAAGTAGAAAATTTTTAGTTTTATTTTTATTTTAATCTTGTATAAAAGACAATATACATGTATTTTAATTTGAGTTTATAGTAATGTAATATATTGTGTGAATTTTTTAATAAAAGGCGAAGAATGGGAAATTATGAGAGGCACATGGTATTATGACGGAAGCTGGATACCATTAGAAATAGAACATTCCAAAGTGATAGAAGAAGTCCATCTTAAATTATTCCAAAAGGAAAGCAACAATCAAAGTATCTCAAATTGTGATACAAACACAACTCAATCCTATAAAGGTATTCTTTTCATTCAATTTTATTTTCTTAATTTTCAAATATTTACAACATATATTGAATATCAATATTAAAATGTTTGTTATTGCAATATTTATTGTTTCAGTATTACATACCGAACAGTTCTCTGAATTTCACGTTGATTGGCATTCAACTAATGACGTGACATTATACAGTGAATATACACCTACTAAATTGATGCGCAGCGTTACATCAAAATTAGGTTTTGCTAAAAGTAAGTATAGAGCTAGAGATAAAAAAATTAAAATTATTTGTGTAAACGTATTATTATACGAATATATTTATATCTCTTCTTAAATTTAAAATTACAGCAACAGGCTATCGATTAAAGAGGGGTTATAAAACGTGTGCAAATATAGAAGATAAGCCACGTGATATTGACCATTTAGTATTTGTTGTTCATGGAATAGGACAGAAACGTGATACGGGAAAAATTATACGTAACACCACATGGTAAGAATAACAATTCCCCTTTACGAATCTTATTTAATACAATATTTTTATATGATAATAAGCTTTTAAATGTAATTGAAATAACAGTTTCAGGGATTGTGTGGATTGGCTTAAGCAGAAATATTTTCCAAATTCCAAACACAGAGTAGAATTCTTTGCAGTTGAATGGCGGTCGTCGCTAAAATTAGACGGAGGTAAAACAAACAAAATTTTATTACAACACGAAACAAGTAAATTTAATGAATGTGTGATTTTTTTCTTTTTTAGATATAGTAGAAGCAATTACACCCTATAGCGTCTTGAGCATACGTCACTTGTTAAATACATCAGCGATGGATATTTTATATTACACGAGTCCATTATATGGTGCTGAGGTTCGAGTCGGCTTGCAGAAGGAGCTAAATAGATTGTATTCTATGTTTGCAAGTCGGCATCCGGATTGGCAAGGAAAGGTTTCAATTTTGGCACATTCCCTTGGATGTGTAATTGTGTATGACATAGTTACAGGCTGGATGGGACATGACATGCGACTTCCATCCCCACAGGCACAAGAGGTTTTATTGCAAGGATTACAATTTCCTGTAAGTTATTAATATATATATATATATATATATATATATATATATATATATACACAATCATCTAAACTCTAAGCGATACCATAATTAAATAAATTATTTAAATAAGTTAAATTATAATATTATATAAGAATTTAAAATATATTTTAAAAACTATTTAAAATCATTCTCTTGTTCACAGATCGAGAATTTATTTTGTTTGGGTTCGCCATTGTCTGTATTCTTAGCGTTACGTACACGCGTTTCATCTAACAGACTAGACGTGATGCCGCAAGGTTTATGCAAGAGATTTTATAATATATTTCACTGGTCCGATCCAGTGGCTTACCGGATGGAACCGCTTTTGGAAAGAGGCTACAGTAAAGTTGAACCAGTCCTTATACCACCGTACGGTGGAGTCGACGGACAACAGATGCCACAATCGCCTTCGTCATTGAATAATGTGGATCCAATTTTACCGCCTTCTGGTATTTCATTTTTTATATTTTTGTTACTATCTATAACTTAAATAAAATAATTAGCGACGAGAAGAAAAACGATAAGAAATCGTCTTAACATGTAATCTTTTTTTAAAGATTGAAAAGATATAAATATTATCACCTTTTGATTATATTTAAATAATAATATAGTATAATTGAATGTGTTGATAGAAGGCGATGATAAAGATGATAAAGACGATAAAGATGATAAAGATGATAGTCCGGTGGACACACCTCGTAATGCAGAGAAAGGCTGGAGTCTTTGGGATTTAGTGCGAGGTGGATGGGCTGTTAAAGAAGGTCCATCTTCGCCAACACCAGACTCAAATCCACCGATCCGTCCAGGTCAAGGTACGTGTCCTGATTACACAATTTCACAGTCTAACACTTTCTAAAAAATCATTTACGTTTACTTTCTTCTTACTTGATTAGAATTAGCGCAACGATTGGATTATGTACTACGTGCAGTCGGTTTAGGAAGGAATTATTTATACACGGTAACAGCTCATACGGCGTATTGGAATAATTATGACGTGGCCTATTTTGTATTAACAAGACTGTTCCCGACGTTGGAAACGTGATGGCGGTTGAAATATTTAATAGCCAAACTTTGACGTTTTTTGCTAAAATGTTCTAGTCCACTGGAGGCCTGTACATTGAACATGTGATATCGCAAATAGGCCTACCACCAAAACAATCTGTGATAATGGAAAAACGATGCAATAATGTTGTAAATTCTGTAGAAATCATTTTATAATGTTTGCATAATTTAGTATCGCTGTATATATCAAGTTACAGGAGACGAAAGAACTTTGCCTCTGCTCGGTTCAAAAGTAACTTGTTTGTACCAAACATAATAAGTGATTAACATGTTTGTATATAATATCATACAAGAGAAAAAGAGAGATTTTGTAAATTGTAGGAATACATGAAAAAAATAAGTTTTCGCGAATTACGTTGCCTCCTGGTATAAATATAGTTTATGCACAATATTTATTGAAAATATGATATTTTACAAACTCTCTATGTCTTGTGTGTTACGAGACACGAAACAGTTGTTTTTGAATAGTTTATGGGTAACTAATATATTCTTGTTGATCGGGCCTTTGTTATTTATATCACTATATATAAATAACATATTTTAAGATTAACGTCCGTGCTAAGTGCGTTACTGGTCTTAAATTAGAACAAAATAAGATAAAGTGATGTGTGCTCTTACGAATTTTTCTTACATACATATTTAAATCGTTAATCGACTTATGAGAACACGTATATTCAGAAGTATTTACTAATAATGCAGAAACACCACACTAATTTATATAGACTTTTAAATAATTATATATATATATATATATATATATATAATTCTTCAAGACATGTGCTACTAAAAATATGTAACATCATTTTTTGTATCTCTGACTTCTATATATTTCTTTAATAGCAAGTTCTTATATTATTATATTATAATTATATGATTTTAAACACGCTTTAGAGATCACAAAGTATTCTTATGCATTTTTCAAGAACAAACGGATTTAATTAATAAAAACTTTGAACGTGATACTATCGACGTTTTTCTGTAAAGAAACTTAAAAATAAAATTCGAAATTAATCTGATTAGATATTTCCAAATTCAGAATATGAAATGCTGTGCGATATAATTGTTTAATTGTAAAAGAACATATTACGTGTTAAAAACTTTATTTTATAAAAATCTTTCTGTTATTAAAAAATAGATAAAACAGTATTGACAATATATATAATTAGACAAAATTAAGATTTTATCAGATAATAATTATTTTTACGCTTTGGATCGTGATTTTTTAAATATATTTTTATTGTTAAATTATTTTAAATTATTTAAACATTTTTAATTTTAAAGATTTTATAATTTGAATTTATTAATGGAAATCCTTGCATTGTTGCTTAATATTAGATTAATGTCCTTTTTTTATATATTTAAATAATATCACAGCTATTTCTGATCTGTATAGATCAATTAATTATTGCTTTGCGATATTATTTTAATTGTTGAGTAGTATTTCAATATCTATCTTGTATTATAGTATAAGCTTAAACGAATTTCCGATATAAAAGTATCACTTTTGTTTTCTGCTGCAGAACATATGTATATTTTTTTTGCGCGATCAAATTATATATGGATTGTACTATATTTTATTATTATATATTATATTTAGAAAAAGGCAAAAATATATATATATTATAAAATCGCTTTGCGATTATCGAAACAGATAAAGTTTATTAGAGTGACAATAATAAAGAAATTTATTACATGTGATTTTATTAGAACATACAGAAAGATATCAAATTTTATATAACATATGACATCATTATCAATAGATATATAGAAACATTGATATATAACTTTTTTTTTTAATATAGAGATTAATAGAGAAGAGATAATTCGTTATTATTATAATGTGATCAAAAATTTGTCTTTAAAGAACGTTTATGACGTAATAATAACAAGAACTTAAGGCAACAAAAGCTTGAAACAAGCAATCTGCCATAGTAATAAAATTATTATATTTTATGTATTAACAAATACATGTTTTTTTTTTTTTCAAACATTAAAGAGAAGTTAGGTTTTTCTACATTTGTTTCGATTGCGGATAAATCATGTTTTTCTTTTTCATAAGAATACTTACTACTTATTAGTAAAAGCATCGGTTATGATAAAGATTAAAAAAGCAAAGTTTCGAGAAAATCGAGTATTCGAATCACACTATATCATAAAATTGAAATTATCTTTTATGCGATTACAACAAGAACTTAGTTGATTCTACAAATATTTCTGCAAGTATATAATCTTATTGTTAGTAAGATTATATTTGGATAAAATCGTAAGAAATAGAAAATCAATAAACATCATATCAAAACGCGTTATTTACACTTCTCTTTTACACTTTGCTGAGACTTAGGTCGTAATAAATATAAAAAAATTGATTTACATTGTAAAATACGCGTACCGATGGTTTGATATCTTTGGTCGAAGGCATATAAGTAGAGGAATAACATGTTTATGACATTGATTGAAATTTACATGTTTTGTACTACATTAGTCATATATATAACTTCGATCTTTCATATCACACAAAGTAATGTTTTTTCCAAGATAATAAAAAATTTTATATCCGTTCTTTGTACACGCTGCGTTGTAATATGTAAATTGAAAGCATTTTTGAAATAAATATATTACAAAAAATGCTTTCTTTTCTATATTAATTATATAATATTGAAAAGACATTTCAATACCAAATCTTTGTTAGTCAAGTATGTTTTTTATTATGCGTTATGTGAATTTGCGCGCATTTACGATCAGAAAACACTAATCTCTTTATATTTATTTAAATTCAATGTCATAAAGCTTTATATTTAAGAGAGGACCAATGTTACTCTAGATTTGTTATAGTTTTATACATTTTAATATGATTAAATAATATTTGTTTTAAATACGACTTTATTAATGATACCGTGGATACAGTATAAAATTGTATTACAGCATGATTGATATGAAGAAAAATACGATCAAAATATTAAATTTGCACATTGCATCAATATCAAGAATGTGCAAATAGCCTCGGCGGCGGCTTATATAATCAAATAATCATTTTTTTCAAAAATGCGAATACATACTAGATTAAAAGTCAGTCTCGATAAAATTTTCTCATGTATGTTTCCCGAGTACGAGGCCTTGGCAATATATGCGTAAAAATAAAAACTTTGCACTCTATACTTAAAATTAATTCACAGTATATAAAAATACTGCCGCGTACGAATAAATCGGAATCGTCTGTCATGTGTCGATGACGAATTAAAATCATATATCTGTCATTTTACATTGGTAATTAATGTGATAAGTTCCTTTAAGAATACTTGTATGCTTATCCTATGGTGACAGATCGTTGTTCTCTTAAAAATTAAAGAAATAAAATATACGAGAAAGATATGTATTACGTAATATAAAATATTTCAAATTGAAAATATTTGAAAAAAATTTTAATTATCGAAAATAATTTAAATTTGCAAGTATGACTATCTACATTCGTAGTTTCTCCTCGAATAAAGGAAATAAAAATATAGAATATAAAATATATACGAACGTTTGTATAAACTTTCGATGGAATACACATAATCGCCTTAAATTCAATTCGCTAACATTCAAGAGTATAAAGCCATTAATAATTGTTTGCATAGGTACTATCTAGCCATAGGCAAGGCGCATATAATGACGTCACATCCTACGAGAATACGTTATGTATATCGGTACATAAATTATTTGCTCGAACAGTTAACAGATCCTGTACAAGTTTTTGCGGACAGAGTAAGTAAAAGCAGTTTAAATATCCAAAATATCTATATAATTCTATGCATTCTATAATTTAAGAAATGTTTTCTTCTTTTCTTTCATGTTATTACAGAATATAATATGCTTGTTACTACATGGTTTTCGTTGCCAGATGTATTTAGGAGATTTTTATTTAATATATATATATATATATATATATATATATATATATATATATATATATATACAGAATATATTACTAATATGTATGTATATTTTTATTTACATAGGTATATATATATATATATATATATATATATATATATACATATATATACCTATGTAAATAAAAATATACATATATATTAGTAATATATTCTTTCGAAACTTTATGGTATTCTGAATTACGATAATTACGAATTACTGATTCAGTCAATATATATATGTCACTACAGGCGTTTATCGTCGATGCCGTTGTTTGCATGTGTGTAATATGAAAGTAATAAAAAAAAATAATATATATGATCTAATCTATCTATATAATAAAATAAAACAACTTATACTAGGGTTTCTTGAGTAAATGCTACTTTATCACATATTAGTGTGAAAATAAATTAAATGACTTAATAACACATCGAATAATATAGTCATAATATGTAATCGTATGTGAGTGATCTCTTAATCAAAAAAGATTATCAAGATTACTTGTTTCTAGGACGCGAATCGCGTTTATGGAAGAGATTCTTTATATAGTAAAATCTTTATTATTCACACACTGTGCGATATAAAAAATATCAAATTTGGCAGTTTCAGTCTGAATAAGATAGAAAATCTCTTTGAGAAGTTCTTAATTGGATAGCTGAATATTCATTCATTATTTTATATTTCTTCAGTCTCTGCAAGTTCCCTGTTGTGCAAAAGTTGTTTTTCTTTAACATAAGTATTTTACATGTGTAAAAAAATATCCATAATAAAAATAAATTTTTATATAAAAAACTGTTTAGTGAAAAGGAAATTAAAGAAAAGCTTGCTTCCACAAACGCGATAAATGCATATGTGTCCCGTACTATGTTTCTTTAAAGACACTTTTGATCTAAAAATATTTTTTATATTATGCGCAAAAGAGCATATGGTCCATGCATAAAAATACAAAGTCATTCCTGCCGTGATATTACGCCGATAATCTACACCTACAATGGTTTATACTTCGAGATTTTTCACGTTATCTTACATTATCTGAGTTGAGTACGAAGAGGTATACAAAGAATAAGAATACTTTGCATATTATTACGCGCAAAGTTTTCCATTAAATTCTTAACCGTATCAAAATGTGTCAATCTTTTGTTTGAATTTTAAAAAGTTTCCTTCAAAATACGATTAAGCCAAACATTTTGTAAGGCTGAAGGCATAGCTGTTTACTTTATTCTATCTTTTCGCATTTATTTGCTGTGTGATCTTGTGCATCATATAAGATATCTTTTACTCCTCATTAAGGCTCCTGGCTCCTCACCATGGTGAAATTGTAACGTCAGACGTATTTTAAAAGTATGCTAAAGTCATCTGAAGTGCTGTTTCATCGAAATATCTTTATTTCGAAATGGCGTCTAAGAATTTTTAGCGTGTTTTCTTAGAACCCAGGAACCTTAAGCTACACGCTTTCCCTGCATGTCTTCGTCATACTCTCTTCTGCTTTTACATTCAATATATTACAATTTGATTCACATTTATACACATACATAATAGTCCACGTGCCTTGTGGTCGAACACACGTATCTCGGATATAAAGAGAACAACATTCATTTCTCATTGCTAAACAGTTTTGTAAAATATTATCGTTAATTCTTTAGCATTGAGAGCAAACTCATACATCGGTGTACATAAATATCTACATATAAATTTTTCTTTTTCTTTTTAATTGTTATTTTATATTTTAGCTTTTACATTAATTAATTGTCATGTGTTTCGGACAGGTACTACTATTATACGTCGCACCACAAAGGCGTGGTCATTAAGTTTAATCATTAATCCGTATAATCTCGTAGAACACTTATCATATTGATCTATTTAAGTATTCAAAGTATGTATCTGTGCCGTGAGAAAATCTTGTTCCCGGAAAATTCAACGCACGCGTTATATTCGAGAAACAAGCTTTCGGATCTTAACACGCAGACTACACAATGATGAGAGCCTTTTCAATCGACACGACCGTGCTTAGGTACGATGTCCTGCTTTATCCAGTAGTCGCAATTAGGATAGTCTTGTTGGAGTAGGGTGTCTTGACCAACAACTAGGACTCGCTTTGCGCCCGATGGATCAACTTGCGCGACCTCACCATGCCACACGTAATGATTAAATAATTGTTGCATAGCCGATACATGTCTCTTCTCTTCAGGTGTGACAGCGGCATAAGTTCCTAGAATGGCTGCGGCATCGCTATCGGGATCGGCCAAGTGGGATCGACGGGGTTGAGTAGCTACGTAGAACGGTATATCGGTCCTCATTCTGGCGACTGTCAGCAACGGGCAGACTACACGAATGTCGGAAATCATTGTAACTAGTCCTTTCAACGTGGCATTGTAGCGCCTGAAAAATAGAGTATTTGCTTTATTAAATTGCAATTTATCGTTTTACAAAAATTGGAGAATAAAATATATTATTACTCTAAATAAATAAATAGAGATTACTGCGATTATCAATCATAATGTGATCTTGATCGCTTACTTGAAAGCTTCATCCATCAAGCCTTGAATTCCGATCACAGACTCTCGTAAGTTTTGCTCAACTTGTGTTGCATTCAAAGTAATGTTCGGCGACAAGTATTGCCATGGTGTACCAGAGTGTGCGGTAGTACCCATCACTACTTTTATCAAATGTTTTTCCCGCGCCAGGATCTGACCGACGTGTTGCTGGAGAATATTACCGTCCAAAACGAGCCACTCATGTTTCCGCTCCTGTTCAGTTTCCTTGCTTACAGGCAAATTTACGTTACTCATGTACCACGACTCTGGTACGGCGTCCATGATATCCGTGGCACTCTTGTCTTTTAGACAAGCGGCACTGGGACATGGAAACATATTGAAGAAGTCTTGGTTCAGAGTCTCGGAGCTACTCAATTCTTTGCCCGGAAAGATTGCGCTACCGCTAGATATCCACATCTTCGAGAAGAGATTTTTGGCACGACGGTTGCCGATCAGTGTCGTTACAAGAGTGCCGCCCGCTCGATGTCCCCACAGAGTGACGGAAGATTTGTTGCCGCCAAAGTTTTCGATATTCAACTGCACCCAGTGAAGGGCCGTTATAATGTCTGACAATCCGTAGTTGCCCGAGCTCGGAGGATGAGCGGTTTTAGTAAGAGTCTCGGCCGCCAAGAATCCGAAAATTCCCAAGCTAAAAATTTAATAATATGAGCATCTTGTAACCCTATGTAATTAGGAGTGTTTTTTTAATCATCTTGAAATTCCTATTAACTCTCTAAACTAAATTGAGAATAAAACTTAATATTAAAAACTATTATTATTTTATTAAAATGTATGTCGTGTCGTAAAATGTTGAACATTTGATGAAAAAAGAAACTCATATACGCGGAATATATCCTACCGGAAGTTTGGTCGCACGAACACGATGTCGCGAACGCGCGCCAGCTTGGCTGAAGGTTGCATCACTCCGGGCGAGCCACCGCTCAGCGTCTCGGCACCGATCATAACAACCACGGGCAACGGAGAGTCATAACGAACCGCTGGAGTGAACACGTCGAGATAGAGGCAATCCTCCGTGCCGTATGTCTTGATATTTGTCGGCTCGCGCTGCCAGCAAGCCTCGGAGGAGTTGTGCGCTAGGTAAATGCCGTTCCAGCAATGCTCGATACGACTCAAGCTCTCTGCTATTTGCCAGCGACGGTTGCCAATCGGTGGTACCGCGTAAGGGATTCCACGGAATGCGTAGGCACCATCCTCCAGGACGCCCTGTACCAATCCGCATGACGTCACCGCTTCGATGTATTTGCCGTCCTTCAACGGCTGAGTAAGGATTCTTCTGGGTCCGGCGCAGGCGATGCAAATAATGATGATGACGCTGAGCAGAAACAGGAGGACCACCGCTATCGTCGACACAAAGTAATACGATTAATATATTGAATACATAAATGTTGAGATTATAGAGAATGTCATAAGAAATTATTTTCTTTTTACCTGAGAGAATCATGTGTCTTCTAAGCAACGATATCCAGAAGATTAGAGGATGCTTCGGCGATTCGACACCATCAGCACCGTCATCTCCATCGAGACGAACGGTTTCCATACCGTCTTCGTTGGCGATAGGGTTTTTATCTGTACCGTCATCGAGTGTCTCGACGCTCGCTAATCCTGCGGTGCCAGTCGGTCCTAACTCAGCGTCAGTTTCCTGGGAAAGGAAAATATAATTATGGTAATTTAGAAAATTACATATAATAAGATAATTATTTAATAATAAGATAAAAAATTATTTTTGTATAAAAAGAACAATTGGCACAAACAATATTATTATTTAAGATACATGCGAAAGAATTAAAAAAATTAAGTTTCTTCTTTATCAAGTATTTTTAATATAATCATATGTAAAATTACAAATATTAACTACATAGTAGAGATTATTAAAATTTCCGACATACCTTTATTTAGTCAAAACAGACTTTGCATAATCTCAAAATCTTCAATAAATCTCGAGTATGCTATATGATTCTTTCTTGAAACATCTTTTTTTTTATCTTGCCACGTTTTTTCTTTTTCATTGTTAATCTCATATACAAGGAAATATATTTTTGCTGTCATAAAATATGTTGAGCTTTAAAAGTAAAAAATAATTTATTTCTGTGAAACTCTCTCTTTTATGAATCGAATCATATGTAAATTCTGTTTTGGATTTACATATGATATCAATGATTCAATTCATAAAAGAGAGTTCCACAAAAATAAATTATTTTTACTTTTAAAGCTCCAGACATATTCTATGACAGCAAAAATATATTTCCTTGTATATGTGACTAACAATGAAAAAGAAAAAACGTGGCAAGATAAAAAGAAAGATGTTTCAGGAAAGAATCATATAGCATACTCGAGATTTACTGAAAATTCTGAGATTATGCAAAGTCTGTTTTGACTGAATAAAGATATGTCGGAAAGGAGGATGTTAAAAAAGGTCGATTTCCCGACTATCGATGGAACCTAAAATTCGAGTTCCATGGGTATCTATGAACCATATAAGATGTAAAAATGATGGTCTTTTTTCCTAGAGACCTAGGGAAAGTATTAAAAATCTATCAAAACTATTCTCTCAATACTGATCCACCATATTGGATCCGCAATTTTGAATTGTGCAATCTTGATATTAAAACATTATTGATCTCATAAACTATTTGATAAGTGTTTAACCAGAACTTAATTTGATTGAAAATTCATCCATGTCATCGATTTTATAGTTGTCTTCAGATCGATCGAATGACGCTATTTTCAATAGTTTTGATAGATTTTTAATACTTTCCCCAGGTCTCTAGAAAAAAAACCATCATTTTTACATCTTATATGGTTCATAGATACCCATGGAACTCGAATTTTAGGTTCCACCAATAGTCGGGAAATCGACTTTTTTTATCCTCCTTTTCTTGTCTGTGTGTCGCAACAATATAAAAATAGCCCTTATTCTTTTTTATTTTGTTGTTATTCCGCCGCTCGAATCACGATAAAAAACAGTGAAATCGAGTCTTATATCCTCGCAATTTGACTAAATTAAGTAGAGAATTTCTCTTCAGAAATAAAGAGAGTACGGTTTAATTTTCTTACTTCCTGTAGTAAAATTTTTTGCTGCGCAACTACGATACAAATATTTTTCTCTTTTTCTCTAGATATTATTGAGAATTTCTAAAACTACTTCGACTTTAATAAACAAATCTTTAAATAAATTTTTTTTTGACAAGAAAATTTTTATGAAAATATCGGATGAAATCTTTCGCGAACTTACCTTCTTCTTTCTCGGGAAAACGGACGATACTAAAGGTATCCGAATGGCATTCAAAATTCCCTTTCGTCCTTCCTTCTCTTTAGAATCTTTGCCAGGTGTTGTAGGTTTTTCCACGGTATTCTGCTCGCTTTCCTTTGTCACCACAGGGGCTGATTCCGCATCCGTGGACTCTGCTGATTTCGTCTCCTCATCCTGAAAAATCGATTGAATAAACTTAATATAGTTACGCGATGAAAATATCGAAAAAAATCGAGTTTTCATAAAATATCCACATCCTTAAAGTGTAAAGTGCTGTGAGAAGTGACGAAATTAACTCTGTTCCTTGCAGCTGCTTCTTTGTACGATTTATTTTTCTACGGAAAAAGAAAAAAAGACCAGCGTGATGCCAGAAAGTGTAAAAGAAACAAACCATCGTTTTATTATTTAATAACAGTTCTATTCTACTCGACTATCCTCTGTATATCCTATATACTTAAAGTAAAGTTTTTTTGGAAAAAAATGAAAGAAGCAATATTTAGTGCTGCTATACACATCATTTTTTTACTACAAGTTTTTAAGTCAAAAAGTTGAAAGTCAAGGTACTCGTTCCATTTCGAAACAACGAGGAGCATATGCAGTGAAATCAAGGTCAATCTCGACAGGACAAAGAAACGACGGCGACCGGATGACGATGCGTTGTCCCTGTCGCCAGACATTTGCCCGGAGTCTTCTCTGGAGCTCGCAGACTCTTTCCTTTTCTCTTGCTCTCAGAAAAACGCAAGAGATTATTATTTTTAGAGTAACGCCACTCCTATACGTCTGGAAACCTTGGACTTGAACACGTCCAAGGCGATAACTTGTGCCGATGCTGTTTCTTCTGGGCTACACTTTAGAGCCAGCTGTCTCGGGACAGCGTCATACTTCAAACTTCCATTGTAGATGCAGCGAACGATCATTTATTTTATTTCAAGTACGAATCCAAGTGACAAGAATAAAATTATAAATTATTACGTGCCTTTTCAAAGAGTGCTTTGGACGAATGAGCTAAAGAAATATTGTCTATTCAAAATTAAAAAAAAAAAGTGAAATTAAAAACATTTTCATTTAGAACAAGATGCGAAGAACTTTCCTTTTCGAAATATTAACTCGCTGTTATCTCAGCTCTAGTTTAAATAAACCAGTCTCTGCTTTTCATAAATCTCTTCTAAATCCCTTAATTCCGCGCATTATAGATCGATCAATCATTTATTTGGGACATTAATCTCTCCCTAAGTTCGTCGGTGTATTTGGTACTTATACGTGTATGTGCTGTTATATTTGGATCTCTCTTGAATATTTTTCAAGTGGAGTCGCGTGGCGCATCAGACACGCACGCAAGCACGCATGCAAGCACGCACGCACTTATATGCACGCACGTGCGCAACGCCTATATACTCATACACGATGCTGGTGGGCCTTCTGGACTCTCGTTTTCATATAACGATCAATATAATTAATAAAAATTACATGTTTTATTATGATAATCCCATATCACTCCATCCATTAATTTTTTAACATTACTTTTTGCATCTGACTGCGTATAAAGCAATTATTTAAGACTATACGCGATAATTTTTACTTATTGTTAAAATTTACTCTGAAAATCATGGTATCGTGGGACAATATGAAAAAATTTTATAAGAGTTTCTTCAATATTTAGTACAATTAAAGTATTAATATATACATAGTAAAATTAATCGATATTTTTATCTTATTGTGGTAGATATGAATATTTTTTATTGTGATAAATATTAATCAGAAAAACTCTTCTAATACCATATTGTCCCATACGATTATCATGATTTTCAGGGTAAATTCCCCCAAAAAATTTTCTCTATATATATAGTTTTAAATAATTAACTAATATTTTTAGCTACAGTTCAATGGAGAATTCTATAGCTAAACAATATTAATTATCAGAGCCAAAATTTAGGCATGATAATTAAATTTTAAGTATAATATAGAGACAGTTTTCAGCTCAGATGGTTATATGTATATGTATATGGAAATTTTTCCTTGTATATTTTAAAAGTAGATTTTAGAATATCCAGTTTTCACGAATAACATAAAGATAATTAAAGATTCGAGAGAAAAATGTTACGATTGATATATGTATTTTTAGAATTTTTTTTTTAAAGAATGACATGTGCTGACGCTAATAAGTGTGATCAAAGTTAAAGACATGGAACACGTATTTCCTTCTATTAAAGGGTCCATGGCAGCGCCATTCACGTTCACGTATGCGTATTTCCCTTGACTGTCATCCGGGACCCATCCCACACCCAAATTTCTATAAATAAATTTCACGCAACGGGTATCGCAAAGTCGCGCACCGTGACAGCTTCTTGCAGGATGCGTTTAATAATAATCAGCGTTCGTATTGCGATCAATTGCATGGGGTTGATCATTGTTCGTTCGATAAATTCATATTTTTTACATTACGTTGTTAGCAATTAAAATCCTAAAAATATCGAAAATCGCGGGTGTTGAAAGAGACTCTGCATAACAAGATTGGCAATAGTTGATACAATATATTTTAAACTTCAAATCCATTTATATAACGCGATCACGAATAAAATTAACACACAAGGGCTAGCTATCATATGACTTTCTGCAAGGAAAATTCCAACACGCATCCATTATACACATACAAATATTTTAAAACACATCTATTTCCGGTTGACATTTTTTGACTTGAAAACACATGGTTTGACATGCAAAATAAATATGTCATCAATGCCTTCTCGACCATAAACTAAACACTCATCAAGTTTATTTATCCGGCTTCATGTTTGGGGTTATTTTCAACAAGAAATGTTCTGTTCTGAAAATGGTACTCTGTATACTGAAACACCTTGAGATTTAAACCGTTTTACTCCTTAATCTTGATGTAACTCTATTATGTCACAACTATCTTGTTAAATACACAGAGAGAATTTTCTCTCAGAATTTACCCTGAAAATCGTAATAATCGGGGGACAATATGATTTGAAAGAATTTTAATAAAATTTTACATATAGTAAATGTACATAGTAAAATTAATCGGACATATTTTATATCTTATTGTGGTAGATATTAATTTTTTTTATTGTGATAAATATATTAATCAGAAAAACTTATAAAATTCTTTCAATATCATATTGTCCCACGATTACCACGATTAAAACTTAATAAAAATTTAATTTTGTTTTATGGTCTAATAATATAGAAACGGGGGACGATTGTCAGGATCGCAACAAATACGGATTATATATATTGTGTCAATGTCCTTCGATGGGATAGAATCGCTATCGTGTTTGCAAATGGTATCCTTCACTACGACACAACGGATAGTCGCCCCATTGTGGCGCCGCACGAGAGAGAACGGCGGTTCTTTTATCTTATAGTTTAATTCCTCGTGAAGAATAACCCGCTGCCACTTCTGGGAAATTGCATCTACTTTGTAACGGCTACTCGATATAAATTATTTCTACAGAAGAAGAAGTAAATATATACATACGTCATTTCTGTAGTCTGTTCTTATCCGATAGTAAATAAAGCATATGTGTATTTAATTCAATGGTGATCACATATAAGTGTCATTTATGTCGACTAGTATACATCTGATGCGATAAAATATGTATATTTAAGAGATTTAAAATCGTCGACCGAAATTTTGAATATAGAATCACTTCATTTATCTAAATTACTACACGGAGAGAATTTTCTTTTAGAATTTTCTTATCCTGAAAATCATGGGGCAATATGGTATTGGACGAATTTTATAAGAATTTCTCTGATTACCGCAATAAGGGCCGGTTGTTCCAACTCTTGGTAAGTTTTACCCGACAAGTAGCATATCTTTATCTCTTTTTTTAGAACCTATCTGAAAAGAGACGAAAATATGCTATCTGTCAGGTAAAACTTACCGAGAAGTTAGAAAAATCGACCCTTATTGCGGTAAATATTAATCATTTTTAAAGGATAAAATTTCCTGACTTTTCCAGGTTTCCCAAATTAAAAATCTCAATTTTCCATGACCTTTTTTAACGAATATCTATGTCCACAAAGACATAATCTATAATTCAAAAATTAATAGAAAAATAGGTTTCGGTGAAATACAGATAAAATAAATTATAATACTCCAGAATGGAAGAAAACTGTTTCCTTGTTGAGGAGTGTTAATTATCTTCAATAAATGTCATTTTTAAAGGATTTTAAAAAATTCCAGAAAAGTCACAAAATTTCATGACTTTTCCAGAAATCCGAAAATTCCCTGACATTTCCAGGTTTTCCAGGTTTCCATGACCGCTAGACACCCTGATTATAAAATTCTTCCAATACCATATTGCCCCATGATTTTCAGGATAAGAAAATTTACCAAGAAGTTGGAAAAATCGGCCCTAAAAAATATTAATATGTGCATAGTAAAATTAATCGATAACATATTTTATATCTTATTGTGTGTAAAAATATTAATCAAACTCATAAAATTCTTCCAATATCATGTCCCACGATTATCATAATTTTCAGCATAAATTTTAAGAGAAAATTCTCTTTGTGCAAAAATTAGAAAGACAAATCTGACAGTTTAGTTTAGCTTCGGTTAACACTGCATTTAACTTTGCCGACTATTTGCAAGTTTATCGCTTAAACGCGAAGCATGCTAAACAGACCCGCATTTAACACAAAATGTATACGCTTATATGAGTGTGTACGAAAAGTGCACGGTTAAATTTCCATAATTTTTTCCTCTTTATCCTTTTCTCTCTTGTATCACAGGTGGCACACCGGAAGCGAGGGTGACCATCGCGCGAAGGAAAGCCTCAATTTTCCGGTCTGTCGAATTCACCGGTTCGCAAATGAGGGCGCGAGGTCGACTTACTCGAACCGGTAACGGGATCTCGAAATACATACCTATTACGTGTAGGAAAATAATCTTTAAATTCGATAAGTTAATATCGATAAATATTCATAAATAAATCGCCACTAACGTTGATACGAGACTTTCACACAAATTTCCAAATTCCTTTTAGAAAAATACTTCTTAATCTTAGGAGAGCATTATTCTTTATTAAGAATATATTTTAAATAATAATTAAGATAATAAAAAATAATTTCTAATTATTTATATAAAATATAAATGATTCAATTAATAATTATATATATATAATATAGAATTTGCGTGAGATGTG